AACAAAATTGGGGATGGAAAATGAAAGGTGGGATAAAAGGAAAAAATGAGGAGGGGTGAAGAGAGAGAGGGGAGAGCAAAAAGGGAGAGAAAAATAAAAAAGGGGGGAAGTTGTGGGGGAGAGTATCAATAGCAATAGCAGTGATATGGAGGAAATTTTTGTTTTAAAAGAGAGTGGTGGTCGTAGCTGGGGGCGAAAGGTTCCCCCCTCAAGAACAAGCCAACAAATAGAAAAGAAAGGGCTTTAAAAAGAGAAAGGGGGGGGAATTGTATGTTTTTTAAAAAAATAATAATAATAATAATAATAATGTTTCCCCCTAATTATTGTTATTATTTTTTGTTTGTAAAAAAGTAATTAAAAATGTACAGGTAAAAGATAAAAATGAGAATTAAAGGTAAAAAAAAGGGGGGGTTGTCTTTAGATAGATAGATAGATAGATAGAGCTTTTTATTTTATTTAAAAAAAAAATGAGTAAAGTATAGGTAAAAGAGGATAGGTAAAAGAGAGTGGAAAGTCTGGGGCGAAGTGGCAGTCCCAGGAAATGGCCTGTGATGGTTCAGGGCTGTTTTCTGGGTACTGCCATTTTAATTCTTAAGAGGGGAGTTTGAGGAGGAAATAAAGTGAGGCTTAAATTGAGGGTGTGTGTGTGTGGAAAAGTGTGTCTTTAAATAGTGTGTAGAAAAGATAGAAATAAAAATAAAGATTCAAATAAAGGGTGGCTGCAGCAGCAGTGGCCCCTCTTTTAAAAAGAAAAATGATAAAAGTAGGTATATGGGGGGGGGGAATAAAAAAGAATTATTTTTTTTTTAAAAAAAAAAGGGAGAGGGGGAGGAAGGGGTTAAAAAGGATTTTTTAAAAAAAAAAAAGGAAAAAAGAAGGGGGTAGTTTCTTCCTTTCTGCAATAGATCTCCTTTGTCATGCGGTTTTCCTCTGTTTGCTGGAGGCCACGTGTTTCTTCGGAGCCTCTCTTGCCTTCCCGTGCTCACCTACCTCCCCTCTTCTTTCCCGTCGGCAGAGATGGGGGCAGCAGTGGTAAAGTTGGGGTTCCTTTTTCTTTCTTTTTCTTCTTCTTTCCCCCTTTTCTTTTTCTCTCTGCGTTAGCTCCACTGTCCTCCTGGTTTTGGAGCTCCTCTCGGCTGTTGGGGGGGTGGTCGGGTGCCTTTCCGGCTCAATCAAGGTCGTGGGGGGGGGGGTTGGCTCCTTTAATAGGCGCCCCGGGCACCCCCGATTCCTCTCCGCTGGCAGTGCTGGCGGCAGCAGTCCTGGGGGTCCGGGAATCGGCCAGACAGAGCCTTTTACTCTGGCTGGCTTCAGGAGCTCTTTTCTGCTGTTGCAGCCGCCATGCTGCCTCGCCGGAAGTCCTGAAGACAAATGGATTCAAGAAACGAAGGAAATTAGTAAAAACTTTGGTAGTTTTTTCGGAAAACTATATAAAGAAGGTCCAGAGACTCTAGAAAAAATAATTGATTATTTCGGCAAAAATAAACTACCAATAATACCTAAGGAAAAAAATGAAATCTTGAACTCACCAATAACAGCTATGGAGGTGCAACAAGCTATACAGAGATCAAAAATAGGAAAGACACCGGGCCCAGATGGTCTCCCAGCTAATTACTATAAAAGTTAGAACAAGCATTATTTCTTCCCATGAAAGACCTAATGAATAATATTCTGGCAAATGGAAAGCTTCCGAAAACCTGGAAGGACAGCTTTATTACTCTTATCCATAAACAGGGAACAGATGCCTCAAACATGGCCAATTACAGACCCATTGCACTGCTAAGTAACGATTACAATATATTCACAGACATTCTTGCAAATAGATTAAAAATGGTGCTGAACGAGATAATTCATAAAGATCAAACCGGATTTCTTCCCGGACGATTTATGCAATCCAATATTAGATGTGTGATTGATGTATTAGAATATTTGGATATTAAAATTGATAAACCAGCAGCTATTATGTTGGTGGACGCTGAAAAAGCTTTTAATAACGTGTCCTGGAAGTTTATGAAAAAATTAATGGAAGAAATCAGACTGGGAGAAAATATTTGTAAAGGAATAAATACCATCTATTCGGAACAATATGCAAAATTGATCATCAATGGAAGAATTACTGAGGAGTGCAAAATAAACGAGGGAACAAGACAGGGCTGCCCACTGTCACCACTGATATTTATCTTGGTGATGGAAGTCTTGAACAATCAGATAGGAAAGGATGAGCTTGTTAAAGGCATCACTCTGGGAAACAAAACATATAAAATTAAAGCTTTTGCAGACGATTTACTTGTTATGACTGAAAACCCTAAAGAAAGTCTGAAAAGAGTGCTGGAATTGATTAAAGAATTTGGAGATGTGGCAGGCTTTAAACTGAATATAACAAAAACAAAAATGCCTGTTAAAAATGTAACCACAGAAGAAAAGGACGACTTAGAAAAAATATTGGGCCTTAAAATCTCTTCAAAAGCGAAATACTTGGGTATTTGGATCACCCCCAAGAACATAAACTTATTTCAGGATAATTACACCAAAACTTGGTTAGAGATTAGAAAAAACTTGGTAATCTGGAGTAAACTAAAATTAACATTTCTGGGTAGGATTTCCATTATAAAGATGAATGTGCTTCCAAAATTAATCTTTTTATTTCAAATGATTCCGATACTGGGTGAAGCAGGTTGTCTCAAGATATGGCAAAGAGAAATTTCCAAATTCTTGTGGGAAGGGAAGAAACCTAGGATTAAACACCTGATCTTAATAGACATAAAAGAGAGAGGAGGCTTTTCCCTACCCGATCTAAAACTTTACTACGAGGCTGCCTGTTTCACCTGGCTAAAAGATTGGTGCACGTTGCAGGATCCGGACCTCTTGGACCTGGAAGGTTTTGACAACCGTTGGGGATGGCACGCCTACCTAATATATGTAAAAGCGAAAATTCATAAAATGTTTACCAACCATATAATAAGAAAGTCACTCTTTGCTGTATGGGAAAAATATAAAGACCTGATGGAGCCTAAAGTCCCGTGGTGGACTTCTCCAGTAGAAGCCATAGCAGTAAAACGGAAAAATACTCAGGAAAGCTGGCCAACATATAAAATACTTCTAAAAAATGAGGATAACCAAATAAAATTAAAAAACTTTGAGGAGATAAGAGACCACATTTCAGACTGGTTCCAATACCATCAGTTATTTGAAAAATTTAAATCTGACAAACAAAAGGGGTTCTCAGCAGAAATTTCCCGATTCGAATCTGATCTTGTAAACTCTAAAAGAAAAACTCTTTCCAAAACTTACCGACTCCTCCTTGACTGGACAGTCAAGGAGGAGGAGGTAACAGTGGCAATGGTGAGGTGGTCCCAGGATTTTGGCCATCCAATAACCATGGCCCAATGGGAAAATTTATGGAAGATCAATTGGAAATTCACAAACTGTTACACAATTAGAGAGAACTTTCAAAAAATGCAACATCGATGGTATCTAACACCATGGAAACTTTCAAAAATGTATAAAAATGTGTCAAGTAATTGTTGGAGATGCGGAGACTCAGGAACATTCTACCATATGCGGTGGATATGTAGGAAAATACAGGTATTCTGGGAGAGTATACATGCAGAACTGCAAAAAATGCTAACGATCTCTTTCAATAAAAAACCAGAGGCCTACCTCCTGGGAATAACAGATCTGGATATTCCACAAAAGAGGAAGGGTATCTTTTTATATGCGACGGCGGCAGCAAGAGTTTTGATCGCAGCAAAATGGAAGAGTAATGAAATCCCCTCTATACAAGATTGGATCCAAAAGCTGACAGAATATGCCGAATTAGATGGTTTATCAGAAAAAATAAAGAATAAATCCAAACAGGAATTTGTTTCTAAATGGGAGGTTTTCAAAGAATATCTGAAAAATAAATATAGTAGTTTAAATTCTGTTGCAGCATTCGAGGAACTTCAGTGATAGTTGCTAGGTAGATAGAAGAAATTAGATTTATTGAGAATAAGTTTAATTATGAAAAAAAATGTGTATTGGCAATACGTAATATGAATTTGAAATATGGAATAGACGGGAAGTTGGGTCTTTAGTGTTAAGACCAATAGATGTTTTATTGTTTGCCAAGAAAATTATGTGTCTATGGTTATTTTTGTAATTTGTGTGTATTTTGGTATTTGTGTTTTTTTGTGTGTGTTTTTTTCTTGTTGTATAAATAAATAAATAAATAATTAAAAATTAAAAAAAAAAAATTATAAAAATTCAGACACCCCATTGATGGAATCTTTCAAGGAGTTGGAGATGGCGTTTATAAGTGGTCCATGTTTCACAAGTCTACAGTAAGGTTGCTAGTACAATAGCTTTGTAAACAACCATTTTGGTTTCCCTGCAAATCTCCCAGTCCTCAACCGGGAGAAAGCTGCACTCGCAGAGCTCAGGCGATGCTGGATTTCAGCATAAATGTCAGCCCTTGTGGAAAGGTAGCTGCCCAGGTGGAAGCGATTTATGCTTGGATTTGTGGCGCTGCAGAGGGGTGTTTTGTGCTTGTTGGTGCAGCGCTTTGTTTTTGCGGATGTTGAGTGATAGGCCAAGCTTTTCATAAGCTTCTGCAAATATATTTAGGATGATTCGGAGCTCATCCTCTGAGTGTGCACACACCAGGTTGTCCTCAGCATGTTGAAGCTCCATGACGGAAGTTATGGTGACCTTACTCTTTGCCTACTCAAATGAAAGAGATTTCCACCTGTTCGAGAAATGATTTCTACCCCGGTGGGGAGTTTGACAATGTGTAGGATCATGGCCTTGAAAATAATAAAGACGAGTTGGGGTGACAACACAAGCCTGTTTAACACCTGATCCCACTGTGAACGGTTCACTCTGAAAGCCCTGGGCCTGTCCTATATGCGGGCTAGGGAGACAGACGTTTCTTTTCGTTTCTTTTCCCGCTGGCCAGGCGCAGGTTTGGGGGGAGGCTGCCGGGCGAGCTGCCCCAACGGGGCCCGGCCCGTTGAACAGCCACAGGCGAGGAGGAGCCGTCCGCCTGCCGCCCGCCTTTGGCGCGCCTCTCCTGCGGGTGGCTCCTGAGGCAGCTCCCCGCGGGCCCGGCGCGGCCTTGGCTCCTCCCTCGGCCCGCCCTCTCCCGCGGTCGCTTGCCGGGCTGGTTGGGCGCCTGAGCCAGGAGGAGGCGGAGGCGGAGAGCGCAGGGAAGGGAGGCAGAGGCGCAGGAGCGGCGCGCACCTAGGCCCCAGCCGCACCCTCCGCCGCCGCCGCCGCCGCCAGCCCAGCGGAGAGCCGGGATCGCCCCTCAGCCGCCGCCATCATGGTGAAGGTGTCGTTCAACTCGGCGTTGGCGCAGAAGGACGCCGCGGGGCGGAAGGAGGAGGACGAGAGCAAGGAGGGCGGCTGCAGCCAAGTGCTGATCTTGCCCCCCGGCGCCAAGGTGAGCGGGCGGGCTCCGGGGCGGCGGCTCCGTCCGCCAGGCCCCTTCGGAAGGGCGGCCCGGGCGGAGAGCGGCGCCTGGGTCTCGGCCGAGCGCCTTGCAAGCGCCGCGGAAGAGCTCGGGGCGGATCTAAAATGGCTGACTCGGGAGGAGCCGCCGAGCTTCGCCCCCTGCTCTTGGGCGGCCTTGTTTTCTCCGCGCCGCGCTCGGAGCTGCCTCCTCAGTCAGTCCGGGGGGCGGCGGGGCCCTTGGGGATGCCGAGGGGGCCTCGGTCCGCTCCGCCGCAGACGCCTCGTTAGCAGGGAAGGAAAGACGGGCGTGGGCAGATCCGCCCTGCTCCGGGCGCCGCGTCTCTTGCAGCAAGACGGAGGAAGGTGAAGCGTTTTTGTGCCAGGTTCCCAGACGGGTAGGATGCTGCCGCAAAAAAAAACAGCGAAGACAAACAGGTCTATTATGTCGGAAGCTTCATGGCTGGCATTTCCTCCAAGTGCAGGGAGTGTAACCGGTTTTCTTTACACCTATATTTCTGCCCGCTGAAAAGCACACTTAATGTAGCTGATGAAGTAGTCTATAATCAAGGAAAACCTATGTTAAAATTAATAATTGCTCTTCACATTGCCACGTGATGGTCATATTGTACCAAATTGTGATGACATCAAGTAAATCATTAGTTTTATGCAGTGAAGCAATGAATTTAATCTCCAATAAGGCAGTGGATGAGCCATTTAATTTCCATAATCCCAGTCAAGTTAAAACTGCCTTGCAGCATTCTGATAAGTTTTAGGTTACCATTTTATAATGATGGTACATGGTAGTTAAAATAGTCTGGTGTTTTCTGACTTTCTAAAGACTAAACAGTTCATATTTACACTTTATAGTTCTCTATGTTGCAACTATACATATATACATTACTATAGCAAAGAGGAAATAGGATTCAGCAACATCAAGCTATTGAAACTTTTGCCATGGTTCCAAATTTGGCATTCGTAGGTTTGGGTTTAAGCAGTTTGGAAAAGGGATATACAATTGTTCTTCAAAATGGAGGCAAAAATTAATTATGAGATTAGTGACTGTTACTTTTTTTAAAATGTTTTCAATGTCAATTGGCACAGTTAGATCTGCTCAGTATACTGTGTTAGATTCCAACTGTCTATCTTCAGTTCCTCTGATATTTTAGCTGCAGTAGACCAAAGATCTTTTGCAAAGTTGGTGCTATCATTTGATGTGGAAAGGTGGGGGGTTAATTTGGTCTTTGTAACAGCTGTTTAAGAAGCTGCTCCTCCCCCCCCCATTCCTTACTTGGGATCCAAGATTTAAACAGTTTATTGTGGGGTTGAGGTAGGGATGACCATTTTTTATTTCCCTTGAGTTGCTGGTTTGTGTTATCCAGCAAGGGCCTAGCATTAATTAAAGGAGGAAATCAAGCATACAAACTTTGCTGGTATGTTGATGTTGTTTCACTCTTCCTCTCTGACTCGATTTAATCTTGCTTCATAACAAGAGCTACAGAATCAACTGGGCAATGCAATCAGCTGGACTAAGCCAAAAGCAACCCCCCTTGCCCAGCACTTTTCACTGTCTGCCTTGCCTGGAACATTACCTGGAAAATGAACAGATTTGATGCCTACACTTCTGTACAGTGGACCTGCCACTTACACAAGAGTTCGGTTACAGGGGTCCGTGCACAAAGGCAGAATTGGGAACCTGGTGAACTGCCTTCCTGTGAGGTAGGGGGCTGCATACTGGGGTCTGGGGAGGACCTGGGAGGGCTCTGAGAGCTTTCCAGGCCCCTCCTGTGACTTTTCCAGACCCCAGTAAGTGAGGTGGTGCCTCCTTTACTGGGTTTTGGGACATTCCCAAAGCCCTCGCTCCGCCTTCACCAAAGTCGGGTCACTGAGGGAAGGAGGCATGAGGGCTCCAGCCTTGTCCCAGAGTCCTGGCACCTCATTCGCAAAGTCTGGAGACTGTTTACTTGGCTTTGGGAAGGTGGCTGAAGGATTTCTGCTCTCCATTCCACAACAATACTTTTAAAAATATACAGCTGTTTCAGAGTTTTTTCCTGGGGGGTGGAGTCTAAGCTATGTAAAACTTACTCCAGATAACATGCTAACTGCAGAGAGAGGCTTGATTCATTAAAACATCAATCATAATCAATACCAAAATACATTTTTATTAGCACAAGCTAAATGATGGATTACCTTGACTGGGCACAAGTGACCCTATCATTGCCATAGCATGGCTCAGATTCACTGGTCTGAATTAGCTATTTACATATGATTGCTGCCAGGAAATAGACTAGGAGTACAGTGGCATAGCAAGTAGATTTTGACCCATTTGCTGTTAATTTACTCAGTACAGTGATACCTTGGTTCTCAGACTTAATCCGTTCCAGAAGTCCATTCCAAAACCCATAGGAAGTAATGCAAAATGGATTAATCCGTTCCAGACTTTTAAAAACAACCCCTAAAACAGAAATTTAACATTACTTTTAGTATCTAACGAGACCATTGATCCATAAAATGAAAGCAATAAACAATGTTAATGGTTCTCTTGCCTTTGCTGCTTTTATTCATTTCCGCAGTCACACAATCGATCAGTAGCTGAGCTGGATTCTACACAGTTACAAAAATGAAGTCACAAGTCAGCCACAAAAATGAAAAAGCCACACAAACAAAAAGACCAAAAATAGCAAAAATAAAAGCACCAAATATAAGATCCAAATATCACCTCAGAACACCTCAGAAACAGAATACTTCTTTTGGAATGGTAGGGCGCAAATTAGCAGCACAATACTAAAACCGGAAGAGGAACTTTTCAATTACAATGGTAGGACACAAATTAGCAGCACAACACTAAAAGTGGACGCTCAGGACTCAAAGCGGAGCATGTTCGGCTTCCAAAACAAAGTGCAATAACTGGAACACTCACTTCTGGGTTTTCAGCGTTTGGGTTCCAAGTAGTTCAAGAACTAAGCTGTTCAAAAACCGAGGTACCACTGTATATGGAGTTAGGTAAAGAGACACAGGTGGCACTGTGGTCTAAACCACTTAGCCTCTTGGGTCAGCAGTTCAAATCTGCACGATGGGGTGAGCTCCTGTTGCTCTGTCCCAGCTCCTGCCAACCTAGCACTTCGAAAGCACACCAGTGCAAGTAGATAAATAGGTACCACTGCAGCGGGAAGGTAAATGACATTTCCGTGTGCTCTGGCTTCTGTCACAGTGTCCCGTTGTGCCAGAAGCGGTTTACTCATGTGACCCAGAAAGCTGTCTGTGGATAAACGCCAGCTTCTTCGGCCTGAAGCGATATGAGTGCCACAACCCCATAGTCACTTTTGACTGGACTTAACCTTCCAGTGGTCCTTTACCTTACCTTTACCTATCTGGGGTAATCCACATATCCTGACCTCCTTTAAAACAATCCTGTGGAATGCACAAATGTATATACTCTAAATGAAATCTTGTATGAGAATACAGTGGTACCTTGGGTTAAGTACTTAATTCGTTCCGGAGGTCCGTTCTTAACCTGAAACCGTTCTTAACCTGAATCACCACTTTAGCTAATGGGGCGCCGTGCCGCCGCCGCACGATTTCTGTTCTCATCCTGAAGCAAAGTTCTTAACCTGAGGTACTATTTATGGGTTAGCGGAGTCTGTAACATGAAGCGTATGTAACCCGAGGTACCACTGTAGTGCCTTCATATATTTTTACATGTTCCAATTTAGGTTGCTGTCCTTATCTACCTGGCAGTGTAGACTCAGTACCATGCTAATAGTGCTGAAAACTTACTGGTCCACTTTCCATGCAACACACTAAGCCAATTTAATGAGTGAGTATGAATGTACTCAGCGACATTTACAGCTGTTTCACTTTTCTTGCAATCCTGCTGCTGCCATGTTATGAATGGGGCAAGACAAAGAGAGAAGCAAAGCAGCTCTGACCTTTGCTGCTGTGCCTGCACTTTTGCTCATTCACACTTAGCTATGGTTTGATTTAGCAGAAAATGCAGATTAGGCCACAGACCTAAGTCATGCTTAGAACAGGCTGTTTGAAATTGCTAACTTATGCGTGTAATATGTTGGGCATGATGCACTGGATCCCAACACCTTTCCATTATCTGAATGATATATGTTGGTGATGCGGTTCCATTCAGGTGTACCTTTTGGAACTTCCTTTTGGAAAAAAGTTGTGTGTAGAACTATAATAACCATTGAGACATCACTCCCTGTGCTAGGCTTCAGCCCAGTGAAGTAGGTGCTATCAAAAGGCAATCCATCTTCCTTGTGTTGAGGATTCTTTCGGGAAACAATCCCCAAAGAATATGAGAAAGCTTGAGTGCCAAGAGTTCTGGCTTGAATAGCTCAGTTGGTAGAGCATGAGATCCAGCTGAACTTCCCAGTAGAGGACGGCAAACTGCAACATGGTACTTGCTTTGTGGATATGGAGATCTGCACAGTGTACCTAACCAAGGATCCTGGGGAGACAGAGACTATCAGCCTAAGTTTTGGAAACATCCCTGCTCTCTGCGTGACTATGGTGAAAAGTGGGGAAGAAGAAGAGAAAGAGACATAAATATCCTGTGCTGGATGTTGGAAGCATTTGGGTCTGGTCTGACTTGCAGGTATAGGGCGATATACTACTACCGTAGTAAATAAACCGTTTTGACCTCTTGCATTTTCCTGCAGAGATGCTTTAAATTCTTATCAGGTTGAGCACCACTTGGGGAGATTTTTGTTTGCTTGTTTCAGTGTTAGTGTACATCAAGGGTGGCCAACTACCAAGAGACTGCGATCTACTCACAGAGTTAAAAACTGGCAGTGATCTACCCCATTTTGGGGGGGGTTCAGGTCAAAGTTGTTGAGCTTTTTTTTAAGAGGAGCCAGAATTCTTGAGCTTCTTTGTGGGGAGACAGTGATGATCTACCACCGACGTCCCAGTGATCTACTGCTTGATTGCAATCTACCTGTTGGACGTGCCTGGTGTACATCAAATATGCTAGAGCAAAGCAGCCCATCAGTAGAACATAAGAGCTTTACATATAATCGTTTTATAAAAAAATCTAAATGGATCCAGTAAGTTGTTTTGGTTTGGCTCACTATGGGGTTATCCACATTGAAGTGTAATGTGGATTTGAAGCTGGTTTGGTCTTTTTTTGTGGTGGCAGCCTCTACAGTCATACCTCGGAAGTCCATTCGACTTCCAAAATGTTTGAAAACCAAAGTGTGACTTCTGATTGGCTGCAGGAAGCTCCTGCAGCCAATCGGAAGCTGTGGAAGAAGCCCCATCAGATGTTCGGCTTCCAAAAATAGCTCACAAACTGTAACACTCTCTTCTGGGTTTGCAGCATTCAGGAGCCAAAATGTTTGAGAACTAAGCTGTTTGAAAACCAAGGTACGACTGTACTGTTAAGAGGGATTTCTTTGGGTGGGGAGTAGTTTGAATGATGTTCTGTGCTCCTTCCAAACCTGTGATCCTGTGTATGGGGCAGAATATATAAGAGGAAACAAGCCAAACCAGTTCCTTTGTTAAGGTAATGACTTTGGCTGCCTGTTTAAGTAATGCAATTTACCAGTCTAAAGAGGTTGCCATAGAAATAAATGGGTGGGTGTCAACACCCCACCTGGCTGGAAGATAAAAGTAGGTACAGTGGTACCTTTGGTTAATTTGTTCTTAACGTGAAGCCGTACTTCCGGGTTAGCAGAGTCTGTAACCTGAAGTGTTTGTAACCTGAGGTTTTTGTGCTGGAGACACAGAAAAATGTTTGCTCTGTGCTGGATTTTGGGGGCTCCCTTGGAAACGAATGGGGAAGCAAGAGCTAGGTAATTTTAATCTGCTTCACTATGTTAACTTTTGTTTGTTTTAAAGTAGGGTTGTGATTTTTTTCTTGATTTTACTGTGTTATCATTTTGTAAACCACTTTTAGGGTTTTACAATCAAGCAATGTATGAATTTTACGAAATAAGTGAATACAGTATAAATAAGATTTGCTGCAGAGCTAATGCTGACCTTCATTCAAAGAAAACCAAGCTTTGGGTAAGCGCAGGAACCTATGGATTCTCTCACTGTGTAGAGATTGGAGTGGCACGTAACATTTCCCTCATTAAATTCAGATTTTCCCAGTCTGAAGATAATCTGATATGGGAAGAAAATCAAATATAAAGTTGAACGTTGTCTGATAGTAGACACCGTGGAACATATAGTATTGGTGGGTTCTTTTTCATATGTGGTGGCCTCACCCGCTCTTCCTATTTAGGTTTCATCAACCCAACAGAAAGGATACAGCTTGCTCTTTTTATACTGGCTGTTGCTGAAGGCACATTCGTAGTGATTGTTGTTGGTTTTTAAAATCTCTTTTCCACAGAACTGCTCTTGCATGAAACAACTGTATTTTTTAATTTTAAAAATTGCAGGAAATGGAGTCAGGAAAGGAAAACAAGGGGTGCAAGGAGGTGACAGACTATTCTGCAAGTAACTCCAAGTTCTTGGCTGCTTTGCAGCAACACACGTGCACACACACACACACACACACACACAGTGATGTTAAATTCTCAAGAATATTCTCAATTACTGAGAATATTAGAGAATTTTCATTTAAAATAGGAGAATTCACCATTCTAAAGTGATGGCAGCACTAATTGTAATGTTAAGGTTTGGTATAAGGAAACTCGGTAGTTAAATCGTATTTTATTCTTCCATTAGAACATGTACATGTTATAGGACAAGGCAAAAAATACAATTGGCATGTTAAGGTTTGATACAAGTAAATTCAGTAATAGGCTATCCTGTGCTTCTAATAGCTCTAACACTTAACTATTTTGGTGACTAAAACACAGCTTGATAAACAAAACTTTATGCATACATATAAAAAAGAAGCCATTAACATTAAATATATTATCTTTATATGATAATATATTTCAGTATGTCACTGTCTTTTAAATGGCACTGCAGAAACCAGTTATTGGCACTAAATAATAATATAGAAATGAAAAGCTGTTTAAATCAAGGCCACCTCACATGCTGTTACATGTAATTTTATAGGCCTGGGTACTTTAAGTGAATAAAGCATTAAAGCTACTTTCTGTAAAAAAAATCACACTGTATGGCTAGGGGTATGGAATTGCTAAGAATAAGGTCACATCAAATTAGAAAAAAGGCTGTTACATATAGTTGAAATACATACGCATTCTAATGTTTATTAGATTAAATGAATAGCATTTTTAAAACTAAAAAATTTTGTTTTCTGTAGTTCACATTTCAGAACTATCAGTGGTGAATGACACAATGTCAAATAATGTAACTGGATCAAAAAAATCATTATTCATTACTTACACTGGCAATATCACAGCTTGACTTATTATTTACTAGATTTTTTATTTTTATTTTTATTTTTTAAATTATATTTATTCAAAATTTCATCAATACATAGACACACACAAAAAAGAACAAGACACACAGGAAAAAAAATATACAGCAAGAAATAAAACAAAAGGAAAAAACCCCAAAAAAGAAAGAAGAAAAATACAAATCTCAGATTGCAACTTTTCATTTGCTTAATTCTTGAACCTCCTCACACCTCCCTTTTTGTATTCTAGTTTAATTCGTTATTTCAGCAAATTCTTCCCATGTTTCTCAATTTTAATTTAAATGGTTAATCTTCACAATCTCTCTTATTTATTAATCAAGATATCCTTTCCATCTTTTAATATAATCTGTTATTCAATTTACCTTAATCTCTTTAACCTTATCTTATCTTAAAAATCTTAAAATTTCAAAGTTTACATCATATTCATACATATCTCCTTAAAATCATTTCTACTAAAGCCAATTTAGTTCCTTTCCAGCATATTCCCTCAAATTTCATTGATGTTGCACTAATTCCAAAATTAGCAAAAGAATTTCCCTTGATATCTCTAATTTTTATCCAACGTCCCTTCTTCCTGGTTTCGGGTCATGTCAGCCCTTTCTGTCCATTACATCCAGTCCATCAATCTGGTGTTCTAATGTCCGAGGCCCTTAAATCTCTTCTAGGCCCCTTCTGCAAATTTTTTTGTTCTTGTTTGTGCTTGCGCACTTCTTTGTCAATTGTTGGTTTCTTGGGGAGTGGGTCTCCGGAGGGTTCCATCCGGTAATAGTTTCCATTTTCCTTCATCAGATTGGCCCCTTCCCCCCAGTCCCACTCCCCGTCTTCATCTTTGTAATCCAAAAAATATTTATCCAGAAGATAGTTGTTCACCTGTTTCATAGTCCCACTAGAGTTAAAAGCTTCCTTGACTTCAAATACTTCCCAGCAGTCTCCAAGTTCAATCTTCCAACGCAGTAGCTTTTGTTCCTGCAGGACTTTGGATCTTTCCATTTGTGTTGTTTGAGGAGTAATCACTGCCTCTTCTTTCTCCATCTGCCCTTGGACTTGCCTTGTCAAACCAGATTCCTGAATTGATCGCTGTATAACTTCTTTATCCTTATTCCCTGTTAAATCATATTCACTGGCCACAGCACTCATCAGGTCCAATTTTTCATGCATCAAGTTCATTTTCTCATGCAGCTGCTCCAGCAAAGCATTAGTCATGCCAAGGGCAGACACCAAACCTTCCTGCCAACACATTTCTGTTCAAGATCAAGGTCAAACGGCTGGTCCCACGATCCAAATCTCACATCTGTAGAGTCTCCAAGTAAGCTGCAACAACAAACTGACAGGCTCCCTCTAGGGGACACAATTTCTATTTGTATCCATTTTTAAAATATATCCAACAAAGGAGATTACTTTCGATTTCAATTCCTTTCGATTTCAAATACTTTGTTTCTTTAAAAAGCAGAAATGCAGAAAGTAGCGTTGAAGTTAATTTGTTTCTCTTTTTTTAAAAACTATCTGTCAAAGTGCTCCACTTTCAATCAATGGACGTCTCAAACAGTTTCTGTCCCGACACCCCGTCCCCAGGTTTGGGGCGATGGAAACTTAAATTCCTTTACTCTCCTCCTGCAGGATTAAACAGTCAAATCCCCCCCCCTTTTCTCCTGCTTCCAAGGGGGTTTTATTGGTTGTGGATGCAGGAAATTTCCAACTTTAAAGCAGTTTTTCAGGCTATTAGGTTGCGAGGTCTTTGCTTCAATCTATGTACAAAAACGGAAGGCGGACTTCCTGTTTACACCTTCCCGCTTCGTGCCTAATTCATAAATTTTGCAAATTTCTTAATCCAATTCTCCGTTTTTACTCACGGGTGCTTGATTTAGAGTCCAAATGTCATCAGGAAAAAGTCAGCGCTCTCCGGCGATGGCTGCGCGGCTTCCCTCCATGGAAATAGCGATCGGTTCGCAGCACCGCGCTGCTCACCCCACTTCACTCCGGAGCCCCGTAAAGGGGTTTCCTCGTGAGTAGGGGAGGCGCTCTTGGTGCTCTGCCGAACCCCACGTTCCCAGGCTTCTCCGCCTGGGATTTCTAGCGGGCCCCCGCCTTCGCCATGGCGGGAAGACCCAATTTCCACAGAGCCTGTTCCTCCGATCGGAGGAACTCCGCCATTCGTCGTTGGCGCTGACCTGGAAGTTCTATTTACTAGATTTTTTAAATGTGAGTTGTAAAACTGGTTCTTACATCAGAATTTACATTTTGTGGAGAATATTCTCCATAGAATTTTATAGCAGAGAATATTCTCACCTCGCCTCACTACACACACATACCTTTGCAAATCTGGTATATTGAAAAATGTGTATTAAAAAAAGTAAATGTTCGAGTACCCTTGCTTTCTAGCTAGATTTATCCCTACAGTACCAGTGATGCAGCCAGCATAGCTTTGTGCATGTGAGCAAATGTCTTCTCAGCACAAGCTTGGAAGTGGAGGATGGGCCAGCTTGGCAGTGGTTATACGCTTACAGAGATGTGACCAATTTTCAGTTACTTGATCTTCAAGACAAAGCAGGGCCTGTGTCTGTCTGTTTCTCTTTCTCAGGTACTTGCAAGCATGCCCAAAGTGCACCTCAGGTTTCTGGAATTTAAGGAGGGCAGGAAGGGCTAATTGAATGGAGGGGACAATAGCATACCGTGCAAGTACATCCCATAAAGCACTGCCCACTAGTGTGGATGTTGAGATAGAAATTGCAAGCTGTCATGTGTGGATGAGAGTGTGCACATGGAAACAGTGACCCGTGTACAACGAACAGCCTAGTCTGGACACAACCCATGCCATTGCCATTAGCAGGTGTTTTTGCTTTTTCTGTTGTCTTTATATTATTGCACTAAATGCACTTTATTATACGAACAGTGTGTGTTCATTATATAATTGTATTTGCTGTGATTTCCCACCCTAATTTAGAGGGGGAAATCCATTTCTGCTTCTTCCATTCTTTTTTTCCAAGAAAAGCGCTTGAGGTTTGATAGCTGTTACAACTGATTTCACTCCAAATTGTACACAGAATCCTTTCTTTCTCAACACTCTTTCTGCCAATTTAGGATGTCTCTTGATCTCTCCGTCCATGGCTTTGTTGCACTCCTTGGCTGTTTCATTCCTCCTAGACACTGTGTGAAGGACCTTTCCATTTCACCATCTATTGCCTTCAATTATACCATTTCACTCTCCTGTTCTGGCAGTCATTTATCAGTCTTGTTTTCCATAGCCTTTGAGTCCTCTTTAATTCCATTTTCTATTTCATCCTGTTTTCATTCCCCATTTTATCATTTCAGCTCTAATTTCTCTTAATTGCTCATCTAATAATTGCTGTAAGATGCCAACAGTTAATGGAATGCCCAGCAATGTATTTGCCATACTGAATATACTCAGTCTTGTTAATGGTTCAACCCAGCCACTCCCTTAAGATATTCACAGTTTCTACCTTAAGAAATTCAATCTCCCGCCTCCACCATAAGATCTTCACAGCATTCTCCCTTATCAGACCAAAATTCCTTTCCCATGGGAGGAACTGTTAAGTAGAGAAATTACTTTCCATTTCAAGGCAAATCTTCTGTAGAGAAGCAGAAAATTAAAAACAGAACACTTAGAGTGCTCCTTTGCCCATTTAAAAACTTCCTTGGATTAAAAAATTAAAGCATGCTTTTTGTTTTGTCTTTAGCCTTTTATAATTGACTCTTCTCAAAATCAGAAAGTAGCTCACACACCAGATGTAAATTTCCGCTGACAGACAGCTAAACCTCTCAATTTCAGAGATCTTAAGTCCCACCCCCTCTGGGTTTCTAGGAGCTGGCAGCTTCTCAGTCGTCTGACTCAGGCAGCAGCTTTTTCAGGTTAACCCCCATTTACTCTTTATCTCTAGAGTGAATTTCAATAACCAGGATTGCTTTGGCTTTCATCATTCACCACGTAATTATCTCTGTTGGTGAGCTGTCGACAAAAGTTGGTCAATTTGCCATGACCCTCCCCAGAAGGCCCCCCCCCCCGGTTATATAGCAATTTCAATATTAAAAAATATACAAGATAACAATTCAAAGCTCTCATATTAACCAGTTTTACTTAGAAGTAAACAATGTATGTACTAGAAGTAAACAGTGTATCTACTTTGATTTCAGTGAGTGTACTCTCTGACTGTGATTTAGTTTGGTATCACCCTATGCCTTTACAAAGAACCACATATCCATGCATCTATATGGCCTTATAATGCTTGATGGACACAACTGATTGCTGTTTCCCTTTCTATATTTATAGGATCCAGAGGGCGTGGTACCTATCGCACAAAGGAGGGCTTGGTGTTGGTGTATGTGTTTTGGATTAGCTTTTATGCTTGCTGTGGTGATACTTGGGGGTGCCTATCTATACAAGTATTTTGCATTCCAGGTAGGTTGAATATATGACTTAAATGAGTAAATACTTTAATTGTTCTCTTGGTACTATTTTGACAATTTTCTGCTAGTTACCCAACTTTAACTCTTTTAAAAAAAGGTGAAGGTAAAATCTCCAACATATTTTAACCGCTACCCCTTGTATACTTAGAGCTAATTCACATGTTAATTTTAATCTTTTTGTAAGGAAAGTTCCTGCATTTAACATGTATGGCCAGGGATCATCAGTTTTGGGGGACTGGTTTTACTTGCCAGCCCCAAATCAGTTGTTGTTAGGACACTTCTTTCCCAAAGCTAGGTCTCTGAAACCTTGCATGAGCTCAGGGATAATAAATCTGCTCCTCTTTCCAGCTTCAAGCTTGGAATTGAGAGCTGAAACAAACCTTTCCCCCACAAATTAGAGATAGAGGGAGGATAGATGCTTCTTCTGCATCTGCATCTAATGGCTGCTGTGAGCTCAGCTACAGATAGGTGCTTCAAGCTCAGAACTGGGAGAGTTGAGGCACAGATGCAAGCCTGCGTAAGCTCTCTTCTTCCATCGAGCACAGATTGAGACAGAGGCAAGATAGGAAGGCTTAAGGCATGGGTAGGCAAACTAAGACCCGGGGGCGGATCTGGCCCAATCGCCTTCTCAATCTGGCCCATGGACGGTCCAGGAATCAGCGTGTTTTTACATGAGTAGAATGTGTGCTTTTATTTAAAATGCATCTGGGTTATTGGTGGGGCATAGGAATTCGTTCATTTCCCCCCCTTCAAAATACAGTCCGGCCCCCCACAAGGTCTGAGGGACAGTGGACCGGCCCCCTGCTGACCCCTGGCTTAAGGGTATGATGGAGTAGAGATTGGGAGGTGATCTGTTTATTTCCCCCCAATGAACTTTTCCATTAGAAAAATGAGAAAATTGAGAGAAAATAAAAAATTGTGCAAAAGTTTTTCAAAATGATATATGAAATCCTCTTTCAACCATTGTTTTGAAATATTTTTTCAGCCAACTCACTGCTTCAAAACAAGTAGATACAAGCTTCAAAGGCAATAATGTTAGTGATTGCTGATTGAATTCTCTGAATTGCTAAGTAGGGATTCGGTGCTGGAAACTACTTTAAAAGCTTCAGAATGCAGAACACGTCAAGTATTTGAGCTAAAGGAGTAGTCTTATATCAACCATATTGCCCCTGCAACATGACTGCTAAACATCTTTACACTATAGCCTATAACACCCTTCAGATTCCTCCATATTGTGCATCAAATGAAAAATGTGATGCATGTTTGAAAAGGCATATGTGCAATCAGGGAATAAACTTAACATGAAAAACTGGGGAAATGTCTTTCAATTTTTTTCAAATCTTTGAAGCTCAAAGTTAAAGTTCAAAATCCAAAGCTATACACCTGAAAGATTATGATTAGATGAGACAAAATAAATGAGTTATTCTGTTATTTTCAATTATATAGGATATAAATAATTCAGGCTTCAAGATAACTAATCAATTATGTGCATACATGACATCAGCTTCCTGTTTATAATTATGCTACAGTAATATCCAAATTTATTGCAGTTCTTTAAATACATTGAGTTGGATCCAGACTTAGTCAAAACTGAATTAACATCTATTGATTTCATACTTGAAGCATGACTAATAGGAATATTTTTTTCTATAGGAAAACTCTTAAGTACAAGAATATTTAGAATTTTTTCCTCTAAAAGCCAAAGTTTCTTCACCATAATGCTGGTCTAAATATTGGTTCCAAACCTTCATAATAAAACTTTTCTTTATTTTCTACAGTGTTCATAGTTTCAATTTTAAACTGTTAAATTTTATTTTTCATCTAAATAAAATAGGCTATAATAAATATTTATAGCAAAGCTTCCAGTGTATTTCGCAAAAACACAGTAAGTTATATGTGATATTTTATTGTTTTTAAGAACATGCAATAATAATAATTTTACCCCACCCATTTGGCTGGGTTGCCTCAGCCACTCTGGGAGGCTTCCAGTTCATAAAAGCATAATAAAAATCAAACATTAAAAATGTAAGCTTAGGAGATGTAAGTCTAGGTTTGAGAAGAGAATCCATAATGTATGTATTTCTGTTTTCCCAAATCACTCCCACAGTATTTTTAATTGACTTTAAAACTTCTAGATATTTTAATTGATTTCCCCCCCAGAAATTTCCTGTCTCTAGCTGGACACATGGACCTCCTGGGTTACACCTGTTCTTCATGCCCTGCCTCCCCTCCACTATGCTTCTTGAAATAGCTTTGAGATGAAAGAAAAAAGAGCTCTTTAGTGCATAAGGAAGGGGTCTGGTACATAGTACTGGGAAGGGGTCTGGTACACATTAATGGTTTAAGGGTGCCTGAAAGCTTGCATAATATTTGCTTCACTTTTAACTTTGCCCTTTAGGAAAATGGCGTTTACTTCTGTGGAATAAAGTATATTGAGGATGGCTTAACATTAAGTGAGCCAGATTCAGGCGCCCCAGCTCCCCGTTACCAGATCATTGAAGAGAACATTCAAATCCTCAAGGAGCAGGAGGTTGAGTTCATCAGTGTGCCTGTTCCAGAATTTGCTGACAGTGATCCAGCTGATATCGTTCATGACTTTCACCGGGTAAGGACAGTCTGTAATGCGAGTGAGAGGTTCTTGCCATATGCTTGTTTGTAGCCATGGATTGGTTGTGTTGACTTTCAAAAGCAGGCTGTGGTTCAGTCCCTGAAATCTCCGACAGGGCTGGGAAAGGCTTGTATCTGAGACCTGGAGAGCTGCTGCCCGGTGGCATAGACTAGGGTGGGCAACGTATTTTCACCTGAGGATCTTATTTGTTCCTGACCAGTCTTCTGGAGGCTGCATGCCAGGAGAGGGCAGTGCCATCATGAATAAGGCCTCTGCTCACATGCATCCACAAGTGACACAAAAGTGATGCATACACTCAAGCAGCACACACATACCAGCTTCTCATGTGCCATGCCTTACGTAGCCTTTGGGAACTGCCACGTCAAGGTGCTCCAGGGGCTTTGAGATGGCAGCTTCATGCCATGAGTTATTGCAAAACACTCCAGCTGTCTTCTCTACCCTTTCATGATGGAACTCCCACTCCTGATGAGTTCATTGAAGATCCAGTGCTCAGGCTGTATTGGAAATGATGCCCTTTTCCAGTAATGCTCAGATACTGGCACTGATTGCTGAACGTTCTGGCGCAGAGGCTGTATTGTGAAATTGGAGAGAGGCCAGCATGGGGCAGGTGAAGCCAGAGGAGGACCACTAGCCACTGACAGTTGACAGAACTTGTTGTATATTTGATTTTGTTGCCAATGCCACAATGCATTCAAAATCAGGGAGTGTCTCGAGCCCAGATAAAAATGCTCAGGCCGTTCATCATCCTTGTTTAGTAGAGAATATTCGAGCTAGCTGGACTGATGATACGATTCAGTTTAATACAGCTTCCTATGTTACTGTGCAATAACGTAGTTGCAATAACGGCAACCTCTGAACATGTTCTAAAGCCTGTGAACAACAGGTTTTGTGGGAACCTGGGGTTTGGAATGTGGCAGGTATGGAAATGGGAATTTTCAGTCCTTAACAAAAGTCCTGATTTTCTTCCCTAATTCATGTCCCAGACAAGGAAATGATGGATCCCGCCCCCACCCCCCACCACTGATTATGGTAAAAAAATTATGATGCGAATACAAGGGAGCCCTGCAGCAAAACGTTGCAGTGCATCTTGCTCCTAACAGAAGTACTGTCCTAGGCTTCACCCAGCCTGAAACAGGAACCTCGCACTGCTTGGAATTTACCATGGGCACTTTCCCACTTTTTCCTTCCTGTGCAAAAGGGCTCCAGATTGGTATGGAACAACATTTTATTGCTGCGTAGTGTAGTGAGTGGGGTAATTCACTGCTTGCCGTAACGCTTTTAAGGGCCTGTGCAGGTAAGCATCCTCACTCCCTTTTTCATTGTTTTTTCTGTTACTCCCTTTTCAGCGTTCCATGGTTTATCTTCCCACAATCATCAGACTTGCATCATTTGCCCAAATTCCAGTTCCTTTAATCTCCCTTGCAGTGGGAGTGAGAGCTGCCCATAGAAAGCAGTTGGAAAGCAAATTGTTTGAACATGGCTATGATTGAGCAGCACTGTTTATATTGTCCCCCCACCCACATTGTTTAGGGAAGTTTTTAGTGATTGATGTTTTAATGTACTCTTAATCTTTTGCTGGAAGCCACCCAGAGTGGCTGGGAGAAAATAATAATTATTATTAGTAATAATAATGAATTTCTAGACTCAAACTAGCAGCCGCCCGGAGTTCATGTTTCTGGTATTCATTGTGAACTAATCAGTTTCCTCCATACAGTCAGTTATATCCAGCAGTTTCCTTCCTGCAGAATGGGGATGCTGTGATCTTCAGGTGTTGCCCTCCAACTCCTATCAGCCTGAGCCAGCATTCTCAATGGTTAGGGACCCTCAGTGTATTTTCAACTGATGAGATATGTGGCTATTTGAGTTTACTTTTAGATGAAATTTCCCCCCTTCTCTCTCTCCCCCTCTCTCCAATTTTTTTACTGCTCTAGAATAAACCCTCAAATTATGATTTGTCTACCTTGCATAAATTGGGTTGTCTTACTGTAGTAACTGAAATTCAACACATAATTATAGAACCCTGCATATTAATCTGATATTTATTTTAGAGAGTTGAATAAGGAAAATCACATTAAGCACACTTTGAGTGTCATCAACCATTTTGGATAGTTTGCATGTGACTTGAGATGCCTGGAACTTGAGGGTTGTACTGCATAATAACAATTCTCCTCCAAATACTTTAAATCACATGCCCAGAAAACCATCACATTTACAATTTGAAAACGTTTAGTACATAAAAAGTACTAGGTTTTATTATGTTTTGCATTTCTTAAATTAGGCCTGGGATATTCATGCAGCAAAATGGGGTGGTGGGAACCTCAGTTGTTGGCAGAATGGTTTGTGCCACTTCAGGTAATTGGATCACATTTTTTTTAGTGCTTCCCAATGTGAAAGACACTGCTCCCCCCCCCCCCCGAAGAAACAACCACAGAAAACTAGTACAGAAGGCTGGACTTTCCTTGGTGCTAGTTTTGTTTTATCTGAAGGGACATTACAAATAGTATCTGCAAAGGCAGGCATTCGGCCGGAAAATGAAGTAGCAATTAGAATGATTATTCATACATAATTTTGTATGTTTAAAATTACTAACATGCTATTTGTGACATCTTCTCATCAGAGACTTACAGCTTACCTTGACCTCAGCCTGGATAAATGCTATGTTATTCCTCTAAACACATCGGTTGTTATGCCGCCTAAAAACTTTTTGGAGTTGTTGATCAACATCAAGGTATGATTAAAATTCACGTTTCTTTTTTAATATATTCAGGCTAGATGATTAAACTTTCATACTGGAGATATAAGTGTATGTAAACATGAAAGAGCACTTAATGTACTACAGGACAGCAGAATGTTGTAACTTCATTAGCTAATTTTTTATTTATAAAGTTATTTTAAGAATTAAAAAAAATTAATAACACTGTACACAGTTCAAAAGCATAAATTACATTGTTTGAAGAATGTGGTTTAAGGCTACCTTGTCTATAATCGGTTAATTTTTACATTATAGCATATACATAAAACTTGTTTATGCATTCAAACAACTTCTCAACAAGAATGCTGTTTCACAGAATAGGGGTGGTCACGCTGAAAGCAATGCTTGGAGCTATGGTTGACTGGGCTTCTGATATTTTTGATATATCAAGGAGAAACTGTCCTGCAGAACACAGTGACTTACTGAGTAGATAAGAGTTAAGGGGGTCTCTGAAGTAACCTGGTCCTAATCAGTTGTTTTGAAAAATCTTAATACAAATTACTAATATTCGTTTTTTAAAGTAATCTTGTCTTGAGGGCCATTTTTGCTAGTAGCCAAAACCTTTCAGTTTAAATTTGAGTTCCCCAAATTGTCCAAATTGAGAGAATTGCAGTTCACTTTAGTTATGGAAGGGTTGCCATACGTCCGGAATTTCCTGGACATATCCAGAATACTCCAGTCTCTAGCTGTGTCTGGGTAGAAATCGGTCAAATGTCTGGGAAAATCCGGATGTATGGCAGACCTTGTCGGTAGTGCCGGTTTTGCTTATTTTCCTTAAAAAAATTGGCCAAAAAAGCTCAACAAGTTTGGCCAAAAAAAGCAGAACAACTTTTCTGTCTGGATTTTCACTGTTTGAAATATGGCAACCCTAGCTATGGTTATTTTAAAAAATAGTGTTATAGTGGTAGCATTAAGCCAAAAACCTTTCGGCAGCTTTGAGAGATCTTATTGAATATATTAACAGGGCAAAACTGCCACACTCCTTGACATTAGCCTTGGCAGAAATATATGATGCAATAGTTATCTTTTTATTTATATCAACTGTCCATCAAAATGTGATTCACCATTTCTCCTCTATTGTTTTCTAAAGTGTGCAAAATTGATAAAGAGTATTTTTTAAAAGCAGTTTCCTTCTACCTTCTGCAAGAAGTCCCTCCCCTCCAACACACATTCTGCAGAACTGAACTTTTTTCCCCCGCAGAGCAATTGTAAAAACATCATTAACATTATTGAGACTATACTGTTGCACTTTTATTTGGGTTGATGTAGGCTGGAACATACTTGCCTCAGTCCTACTTGATTCATGAGCAGATGATAGTTACTGATCGTATAGAAAATGTGGATCAGCTGGGCTTCTTCATCTATCGCCTCTGTCGTGGCAAAGAGACCTACAAATTGCAGCGCAAGGAAATGCTGAAAGGTATGGTTGGCATGTGGATGGGGAAAAAGAAAGGTACCTCAACTTTGTTGCGGGTGATGGCCCTCCTGTTAAGCGCCATATAAAATAGTGAAAGGGTAGCGTCCCAGTGCTCTGTATTCATATTGTGACAGCCTGAGACTTTGCAACTTTGCTGCAGTTCAAGTGTAATCGCGTTTGTTGGCCCTCATGCTAAATAGTTACATTCTCACATGGCAACTCTTAGCACTGAGGACAGTTTTTTGTGCCATTGAATATTGTGCCTTGTGCACTGTTGCGATATCAGTAATTGCATGTTTAGCACTGTGGTCTGATTCAGAGAATATGCTTCACTAAGAACTGTAATAATAAACGTATAAATGGAATGGTGAACTCATGGGCAAAAGACATAAAACCTATTTCACATGGTACTTGATTATTTAACCAGTTTGCCAGTTTGAATCATGCATCAAGCACTTTGCATAAGATTTAACAACGGTGCAGTGGGCACCAGTCAGATGTAAGCCAAGTCACCATTATTTTCAATGGGTGACAGGCATGAGGTTAAACATTTACCATTCAAATCAGGGGACTAAAAATTGCTTAACTTGGGCTGAATCATGAGTTGTAGCATCTTGTGGTATGTTGGAACAGAATTGACTAATTTTGCTGGAGCATTGTTTGGGACACAGAAGAAAGGAAGTACAGTGGTGCCCCGCAAGACGAATGCCTCACAAGACGGAAAACCCGCTAGACGAAAGGGTTTTCTGTTTCTGAGTTGCTTCGCAGGACGAATTTCCCTATGGGCTTGCTTCGCAAGACGAAAATGTCTTGCAAGTCTTGAGATTTTTTTTCCGCTCCCCCCCCCTTTTTCTAAGCCGCTAAGCCGCTAATAGCCTTTTAGCAGCTAAGCCGCTAATAGCCTTTTAGCAGCTAAGCCGCTAAGCCTTTAATAGCCGCTAAACCGCTAATAGCGCTAATCCGCTAAGCGGGTTGCTTCGCAAGACGAAAAAACCGCTAGATGAAGACACTTGCGGAACGGATTAATTTCGTCTTACGAGGCACCACTGTACCTGATGTGGATCTGAAGACTATACCTGATGTGGATCTGAAGAAGTGTGCATGCACATTAAAGCTTATACCCAGAACAAACTTAGTTGGTCTCTAAGGTGCTACTGGACAATTTATTATTTTTTTAATTTCGACTGCATCAGACCAACATGGCTACTTACCTGAATCTTGATTACTCACAATTTTTAACAAAAGTAACTGTTGAGGCTTTCACCACAGCTCTTCGGATGGGTAGGAAGAACATGACAGGGATGGCTGATCTGTGGCTCTTCAGACATTGTTGGACTCTAGCTCCCATCAGCCAGAACCAGCATGGCCAATGATCAGGGATGATGGGAGTTGTAGTCCAGCAATATTTGGAGAGCCAGTGTTAGCTACCCCTGGTATAAGGTGGCAATTCTTGCATTTGCCTGCCTTTGGCAGCAGAAACTGAGCTATGCTGGGGCAAAACTGAATTTAGTGGTAGCCTGTTCTAGAGCCTAGATTTGTTATACTTGGTATGGCGATCCTGATTAAAGGACAAAAGTATCAGATGCATCAAGTTGGTTCAACAAGAACTGTACATATGAGCAACTCTCTTGTGAGAAGACTGCTCAGAGCAAGTCTTGAGAGAGCCGCTGTGTCTGCTTTTCAGTTCATTAAATGTCTGCAGCTCCCTGCATCATCCAACATCTGTAGATTTGCAGCCTCCAGCCTTCACAACCTTCCTATCTTTCCATGTAGTTTATATGTAGTAGCCTCTGTGTCTTGCAGGTGCTCATCAATGCCCTAGTGCAGCTGAGGGGCCTGAAGGAAGGTGGTGGCTTGAATTGAAGCCATTTTCTCAGGAAAGACAAAAAAACCCCACTCCAATTAAAAACTGAACTTTTCTTTTCAGAAAAGCAGTTTGCATTCAAAACATTTTCACCAGCACTTTGAATACTTTCTGCCTATAACTGACTTATCAGCTTATAAGAAGTCACAGGGAGCCTCTTTGAAGGCCCAGCACCCATCAGCTGGGAGCAGCTCTAAAGGAAGTTGCTGTAACAGTTCCAATTACCTCCTTTGAACTTTGGCATACACCAGGCACATGTCATTGTGATGCCCGGCTATTGATGGGTGGGTGGTCAAAGTTGAGGGTGGGGGAAATAAGGAGCTGGCCTGCTGGCCAAACCCAGTTCCCTATTAATGACCTTCAGAGTCTCCAGTTTGACAGAATCCCTCACAACAGTTTTCACAGGAAGCAAAAGGCAACTCTCATTAAAAATAATAATAATAATAATATTTATATTCTATTCACTTTCCCACAACAGGAATGCAGAAGCGTGAAGCAAGTAATTGCCGAAAGATTCGACACTTTGAGAACAGGTTTGTCATGGAAACACTCATCTGTGAAGAATAGACATACTGTTGTGACTGAAAATACACACATTGACCCCGCCCTTTATATTATGTGCAGTGATCTTTATTTTAAGTCATTTATGTAAGTAGTGGACAAGGCTTTATAGCTGAATGCCAACACTTTTTATCTTACAATAAACCTTTTTAACGTTTTCCCATATTTTGAAGCATGGTGCCCTTTTTATATGTTTGAATAGCTGCTATATAAAGTCTTAGTTGTTAGTACATTTCACGTAATGAACCTTTAAGTAATACCAGGTCAATAATTTATCCCATTTTAGAGTAAAATTGGAGAATAATTCATCTGAATTTATTATAAAGAATACATGCACAAATGGACTGCAACTCTTGAGATTTTTAATAGCATATTACTTGCAATGTTGGGGAAGCATTGGGAAAACAATTTGTAATAAAAGTGCAATTCATTTTCTTCTTTTAATACAGTCTCATTTAAGTTTGATTTCCAAGTCGCTGTTCTAGTATAAGCATCTGCTGTAACAAAGTTAAGCAGTAACCGAATGTTACTGACATGTATATATGCTATGTATGTGCAGTGAAAATAAATATTACAAACCTGTTTGTCTAAATGTTTTTGTAACTTTTCTTTGAGCAATTTTCTTTTATGTGGACAGTATCTCTGGGAATGTTTGAATTACTGGATTTTAATGCTAATAATATTTTAGAGCAGACTTGAGACTAAAATACTACAAATCACCTTTATGGATTAAACAATAGAAACCATTATTAAATGGGAAATCTTAACAAGTAAACAGAGGAAAGTGCTTCATGTTCTCAATTTTGGTTGTCCTTTTTTACCAGTTAGTTACCACAGTTGCCCCAGTGAAAGGGCCTTGCTGGGTTGCCAGTTGTGTTGCTAGAATGTGCCCCAAAATCATCCAAGTGACCTCAGTGAGCATTTCAATTTCAAATACTCATATTATTTCTACTTTGAGTTAAGTATTTTTATTTATTTACTTGATTGGGGAGGGCAGCTGTCCTCTTGGCTACACCCATGTCAATGTATTTATGTCCACAGCATTCCCCCGATCCACCAAACTTGTAATTATCCAAAAAAGAAACGAGATTTGTCTGACATGGCTGGGTCTTAGTAATTGCCACATCCTTTTCTAAAGTACCCACAGACTAACTGTTGAGATTAGCTAGGTTTTTCCTTACCACCTCATTTCCTGTCTTAGGCTGCAGCTCCCTCCTGATATCATTTATTATGTTATCACCAGGTTGGGCATTATTTTCTTTTTGGATGAAGATGGAGGCAAAGTAGGGTGGAATCCACACACACATAAAAACTGCTCTGAAAATGCTTTTTTTTAAGTGTTCTTAAAATACAGTACATTGAATTTTCCATAAGGCTCATCATCGCCATCATCTCATCTCACTTAAAATGTTTTTTTATTTGCAGCTGTATAGCTGAGTCCTAAGTGTTGAGGAGTTTTGCCTTCTGTCACCCAATAGCATTTCTTTGTCTTCTCCACACAAATGACGTACCACTTGCTTGTTCTTCCTCTTGCTTCAAACACAGGCAAAGAAACCTTTATTATTTTTAACGTCTCTTTCAAGCCTGAGCTCATTCTGAGCTTTTATCCTGGCTGACCCTGCAACTGTTGGCTTCTCATGTGATTTCCCCTTTCTTCCATTTTTATACATGCCCTTCTTAAATCTTAGCTCATCTGTAAGCATTCTTTAGATGCCTCCCACTTTCTTGTTGGAACTGTCTGCATTTGGGCCTTCAGTATTTCACCTTTAAGAAACTCCCATCCTTGGACTCCCTTCTCTTTGAGTATTTCTGACCATGAGATCTCACCCAGTAGCTCCTTAAGCTTTTTAAAATTGGCCGCCTTAAAGTGCAGATTGCATGACTAAGTTGCTTTTGGCGAACCAGAGCAGCGCACAGAAACGCCGTTTACCTTCCCGCTGGAGCGTTACCTATTAATCTACTTGCACTTGACATGCTTTTGAACTGCTAGGTGGGCAGCAGCTGGGACTGAGCAACGGGAGCTCACCCCGTGGCGGGGACTAAACGCAGCTCTCCCTTGCTTCTGAATCATGAAACCCAGGAGGACTTGATCATTCCCTTCTAGGTTTCTGAGTACAGGTGGTGACTATTTTGTGCATGGGTTCTGCACCTGGTCCCTGCATGCTCCACCTTGCCCCCATTCTGGCTTCTTCCTGGTCCAAAAGGGCCTACATTGGTGGTCACACATCAATGGGGTGCACACAATATGGTTGCCATCTTTACTTCCACTTTGTCAGTCAGTTCCTCCCTATTGGTGAGTACAAAGAGGGACTGAAGGGTTCAAAAAATGATTTCTCTGAAGTGAGTGACTGGGTGGAAAAATTTCAAACAAGTTTAAAATGATGCATTGGGGGGGGGTATTTTTTGGGGACGTGGGTGGCGCTGTGGTCTAAACCACAGAGCCTAGGGCTTGCTGATCAGAAGGTTGGCGGTTCAAATCCCCGCCACGGGGTGAGCTCCTGTTGCTCGGTCCCAGCTCCTGCCCACCTAGCAGTTCAAAAGCACATCAAGTGCAAGTAGATAAATAGGTACCACTCCGACGGGAAGGTAAACAGTGTTTCCACATACTGCTCTGGTTCGCCAGAAGCAGCATAGTCACGCTGGCCACATGACCCGGAAGCTGTATGCTGGCTCCCTTGGCCTGTAAAGCGAGATGAGCACTGCAACCCCAGTCATCTGCAACTGGACCTAACTGTCAGGGTTGCCATTTTATTAATTTCACAGATGTGATGGTGTCTGAACTGGTGGCGATGGACCAGAAATGAGACCTTGGAGTGGTGGTGGATAGCTTGATGTGCACCATTAGCAGCAGCTGTTAAAAAGGCAGATTCCATGTTTGTGATGAAGGAGTTGAGAATAAAACTGGTGCCCAGTTCTGGCCCCACCTCACTTCAAAAGATTCGGGGCAGAAGGAAGAAAGCGCCTCTGGGCGCAGCGTCCCACTCGAGGCCCCGCTTCTACGGGAGCAGCGCTGCCCTCCCTCTGGCCCCAGGCACGCAGGACCAGGCTCTGCCCCGCTCCGCGCCCACCACCTGCCGAGGCTCCGCCGCCGCCCCGGCCCGGGCAGCCCGGCATGCTTTGCGAGCGGCAGCGCCCGGGCGGCGTCCTTCTGCCCCGGAAGTGACGCAGGGGGCGGGAATCTGCCGGAAGGAGGGGCGGGAGCCGCGGGCGCCGGTGGGAGGCTCGTCCGGCTGTGGCGGCGGCGCCCGGGATGGCGACCCCCAGGACCCCCAGGAAGACGGAGGCGCCGCCCGCCGGCCAGGCCACGCCGGAGCGGGACAGGTGAGGCTCGCTGGGCGGGCGCGGGAGGGAGGGCGGCGCGTCCCCCTCGGCCAGGTCTCTCCCAGGCGGGGGCGCGGCGGTTTCTCTCGGTTGTGGCGAAGGGAGCCGGGCGGGGCTGCGGAGGGTCCGGGGCAGCTTCGCGTCTCCCCGGGGCGGGGCGTGGAGGATGCCCGCCCGCCTCCCTCCTTCGCCCGCCCGTTGCTCTGGCGGGACTCGCGGCGCCTCACCTGCCACCAGCAGAGAGAGAGAGAGAGGACAGCGCTGTCCCCTCGTAACTCTCCTGCAGACATCCTGAAAAGGAGGGCGATGTATGTGAAGCAGAGAGAAAGGAAACGGCAACAGGGACACCAGGGAACAGAGATCCCGAAATGGATCTCCTCTCTCTCTCTGCCCGGCAAGGAACTTTTATTCTGACCAGTCCTGTCGTAGGGAGTGAGGTGAGGATTCCCCCGGCATCCCTGCTCCCTCCAGCTCCCACCTCCGCCTCCACCAGACTCCAGATGTCTCTTCCTGGGACCCCAGCTGCTGCTGCTGCTGCTGCTGCCATCCTGGCAACTACAGTGGTACCTCGGGTTACATACACTTCAGGTTACATACGCTTCAGGTTACAGACTCCGCTAACCCAGAAATATTACCTCGGGTTAAGAACTTTGCTTCAGGATGAGAACAGAAATCGTGCTCCGGTGGCACGGCAACAGCAGGAGGTCCCATTAGCTAAAGTGGTGCTTCAGGTTAAGAACAGTTTCAGGTTAAGAACGGACCTCCGGAACGAATTAAGTACTTAACCCAAGGTATAGCTGACACATTTGCATTCCAGCACACTTTTGATCCTGGTGACATCCGGAATGTCATAGAGATAGGTTGGGAAATGAATAGAGTGCCCTTGCTCTATCTTGTGCTCTATCACTAGAGGTTTAGTTATAGGAAGATGGGACATACGGTTGGCCAGAAATACAGATCTTATGGATGACGTCTCATGCCTTTCTCCCGCCAAATGGAAATGGATAAAATTAGTGTCTAACCAGAAAAGCTTGTTCTAGCCCAAGGCAACGCATGTAGTGCTTCAGGGGGAGTCCAACATGGCAGCCATATTTTTGTCTCGACCCACCTTGGATACAAGCCCACTGGTTGAGGATCCCTGCCTTGTCCTGAGCATAACCTCTAGGCCCTGTATCTATTTCTACCGTTCTCCCTTGGCTAGGTTTAATCAGACATGAAGGGCAAGGCTTGCAATAGCACGTTGTTAGGTGCATAGTCACAAGCACCTTGTCAAAAATAAAAGGCTGCAAAAACTGAAATGAATCCCATAAAGCATGATTTGATGCATCATTGGAAATCTCACTTGGAGCTGCATCAGTCATTCATACAACCAGCTTTAAAATCCAAATCTCAAAAATTATTTCTGTCGGTGTAGAACTTTTCTCGTGAGCCAATAGTACTGTTTGTTTATTATAGCTATCACTTTGCACAAAAGTTACTAATTTGGTTTCGGAATCACTGAGAACTCAGTTGCATCTGCAAATGTTTGCAAGGAATTTGCACGCTTACTTCAAAAGCTAGCCAGACTTAGTGGCAGCTCTCAGTGCAAGACCTTTCTTTAGATGACTGCTTGTTCTGTTCATGGAAAGATTTTACAAATTCAGTAGAGTGTTGTCCCAATAAAACACACCCCAAAAATGCATCCAAAAACTAATTCTAATCAAATGGGTTCTGATATTTGTAGATTTTAATAAACTGCAGCTGATGTTCTTTAATGTATTTACCAATAATTGTATTTAAACTTTTGATCAAAATTGTGGTCCATATTTTGTAATATTGGTTCAGGAAAGCAATGGGTTAATAATACTCTATTCTAGAGAAATAGTGGTTCTTTTTTTGTTTTACCACCTGTTTGACTTAATCCCTTTTTTGGGGGAAATATTGCATTACTTAATTTATTTCTTCTAACAAATTATATGCTAATCCCTTAATAAATGTTTTGTAATATTCTCCTGTAAAACTATCTGGCCCTAGTACGGTGCAATAAGTTGATAACATTCAGTAATAGTTCCCAGGTTTCAGTATCTGTTGCAGGTCCATCTGCACTGTACATTTAAAGCAGTATCATACCACTTTAAACAGGTATGGTGTCTCCCAAAGAATCCTGTATATCTGAAAGAGCATTTCCACCACCAGCTCCGAGGGCCTTCTGGTGGTTCCCTCATTGCAAGAAGTGAGGTTGCAGAGGGCCTTCTTGGTAGTGGCACCCTCCCTGTGGAACACGCTGCAATCAGATGTCAAGGAAAGAAACAACTATCTGACTTTTTAGAAGACCTCTGAAGGCAGCCCAGTATAGGAAGCTTTTAATGTGTGGTGTTTACCGTGGTTTTATCATTTGTTGGAAGTCGTCTAGAGTAGCTGGGGCAACCCAGCCAGATGGGCGGCATATAAATAAATAAATAAATAAATACTCCTCATCCTCATCATCCTGGGAACTGTAGTGGTTTAACAGTTAATCCTTCCCACGGAACTCTTGAAACCGTAGCTCTAAGCAATAGTGCAGTGCAGCTGCAGTATATAATTTGTGTTTCTTGTTCTGGTGTAGAGTACGAATACTGTGGATAAAAGCTGGTTCATTATGTGCTGAAGTTGCTGCAATACTACATGGTCTGAAGAATGAACTTTATGATTGCCCAAAGAATCCTGATACTTTTCATCCTGATAAGTGAAGAATAATCCATAACCCACCTTAAACTTAGGTTATGGTCATTTCCCCCTACAAGATTACAAAGCAAATGAAGGCAAGATGGGGGATCTAGCAGAAGATGGAATGAATGCTGTGCACAAAAGAAAAGTTCTTTAGAACACAGAAGCAGTCAAGTGGGAAAGCAGCCTAGAAGAGAAGGGACTGCAGTTCCATTCTAGCAAATGTAAAAACCAAACATCTCTTACTCAATTAGAAGAGGTAGTCTGGCAAAATCTGTATCTCTATAAATTTGTGAACAACTTTGCATAGCCAATTTATTTGGTTCTTTTTGTAATTTGTGGTATTTGGAGGATTGTAACCAGCCATAGTAAAACAGTTCATACAGAGAGCAGAGGGGGACTTTAAGACAGTAACACCCAGTGAACTTCATGGCTAAGTGGGGATTTGAACCCAGGTCTCCCAGGTCCTAGTCCTACAGACACTCTAACCGCTCGCTGGGGAGAACCTTTTTCTTTCGATTTGCAAAGTCACAGCTTCTGTGATAGGAGCTGCCAGTGAGGGACGTTGACTCATTCTGTACATTCATACCCGCATAGCATGATTATTTTAAAAGTTCTAATGTTTTTATTTCTGTAAAGGAAAACACTTCCCTGTAAACGGTATAGGAGCAGTGGCGTAGTTGGGGGCGGGGGTTGGAGCTGGGGGAGCATGGCCCCCAGGCACATTTTTTGGAAGGGAACTCCCCACCCCTGCAAAAATCCTAATCCTTTTTGTCATAGTTTCCCATCTGCTCAACCTGCATTCCTAGAAAGAAAAGATGCAGCAGATCCAAATAAAGGGAGCAAACCTTTATTCTTCCAAGCCAGCCAGCAAAAATAATATTATGAGAAGAAATGAAAGGCAAAGCAAGAGGGATTGCTTTACTGCTAGAACCATTTATTTTTGAGAAACAAGATCACCATTAGAAGCCCCTTAAATCATCAGCCAGCACAGGAATCAGCAGCAGAAGCCCCACAAGCTTGTTTGCAAACCACAGCATGTCTCAGCGAAAGTTTGGAGGGGACGGGTGAAAATCAGTCAGATTTTGATACATTTTTCTTCCTTAGGCTTCCATTTGCTGAAAAAGCATTTTTTGCCCTATGTGATGCCTTGCATGTGACGGACAGTGTGCGAGTAACCGCTTGGAAGACTTATGAAAAAGTGTCTCTGGATGGAGTTGTAGTAAGTATATAATTTATTTCTTAACAGATTAATGGCCATTTATGTTAGAATGTGCTCTAGATACAAAATACTTATGAAGACTGAGACAATAACACTAAACCAAAAACTTTAGTAGCCTCTCTTTATACTCAAAACATTTTTTTCTGCCTTTGTTTCTATTTCATCTTATGCAGTTGAGTTGGTTTGCGAACAAATAGTATTGGTAGAAATCATGCATATGTAATGGTCTTCTAAAAAATGATAAAGTTAGTGTGAACCTTAGATGTTTCTGAAATTGCATTAATCAAATGTTGGCATTTATGACCAGTAACTTTGAAACAGGGTTCAGTTCTTTCCTGTATAAGCACAACACTCATGTGCATAAAGACCTTTCCCCCTCCCCACTTGCCGTGTGCTGTTGGGCCCTCAGCAGACCAGGCAGGCCTAGGAATGGGAATCCTAGGCCTCCTGCCGTTCCTGTGCAGATGTTCCAAGCTCACATTGTTGAATAAGGTGGAGAGGAGAAGCTGTATGGGCATGTGGGAAATGTTTTTGTTCCTCACCATGTCTAGATATGTCCTGCACATGTGTCTACAGGTACCCTGAGGAGGGAAACCTGGGCTCTGGTGTGCCCTGTTGGGCCACACGCATGGGCCACAATCCACTTCTGAAGTGTTGCCCTGCCAATTAGAGTGCTTTTGTTTCCTATGGATGTCCATGGGAGAGCCCGGGATGTGCTTAATTTTTTCACATTGACATGAATGGGGTTTCAGTATCCTAATCTTAAAATCTATCTTAAAAACGAATTCCACTGATTCTGAGGGGGTGCACGAGAACCTCAGCTATTTTTATATCAATCATATCCATTTGACATTTGCTTCTTGGTATCATTTGCCAAATCATACTAGCATATGCATATTCCTAAGAAAACGCTTTGTCTTAAGAAACAACATTGACTACTCAGTTCTGCTTCTGATTTACAATGAGCATGAAAATTACTATTTGTTTTTTGTAGGAGAGCCATCTTAAAAAAGAATGGTGGGGGATCTGTATTTTTACAGCAGCCATTGACCTGGATGAGGTGACATTCACTTTTACAGAGCTTCTGAAATGCCTAGGTATTAGGTAGGTTTGTTGTATCAGCTGAGTTTGATACAATTCAACAGGTATGGAATAATTCTGTGTGTATATTTTGTCCGAGGCTTATTTCCCGACTACTGTGAATGGGTCTGTTGCTGTGGTTTTGCCTAAAGCAATGTCTAACCAGGGTCTAGGATTTAACAAGATAAATGTTTCCTCATTTCACTTGCATGAAGAGGGGTCTGAGATCAGTTTTCGTCAGATTGTACTTGACAATGGGTAGGGACTGTTAACCTCCCTCCCTATTTCCCATATCGAATCCTACCCTGCTGTGGAAATCCTGGCACTTCCTCCTGGCTGCAAAGCTTAATAGCAGCTTGGCGGGTCTGCACTTTTGGTCAGGGAAGTGCTGTGCTACTACCCTGATAACTTTTATCAAGCCCTCCATGCATTGCAGCTGCATTTAAATAACGGGTGGTGGAGTAGGGAATCGTGATAGCAGCTTTGCCATCTCATGTCTGTTTTAGGCCAGGGAAAGAGAGTGGTGTGAGTTGGCTGAAGGTTGAAGTGCGATGAGATACAGTTTCTTTCTTTGGGACTCCAGGGTGAAGTGCTGGATAGGCTGCCTGGGGCCAGTTTGCCTCCTCCTGTGCCTGGCTTGGGGATAAAGCAAATATTTTAAAGGCCCTATATCAGGGGTCTGCAACCCGCGGCTCCGGAGCCACATGTGGTTCTTTTACACCTTTGCCGCGGCTCCGGGGCGGATACTAGCGAGGGGAGGAGGCACATTGTGCGCCCCGACACTCCCCACTGTGGTGGACGCTGTACTGGCTGTGACGTCACATGGGGGCGGTGCGTGCGTTAGTCATGTACCGTCCCGACGTCACCTTCCCGCCCGCCCGCTACATTGTAAGGGGCATGTACACTGGTCACTGCATTGAAAGGGGGCATGTATGCTGGTCACTGTTTTGAAGGGGAGTGAAGAACACACACACACAAAAAGGTAACTTGTTAATTTAACGTTTATTTCTATGAGGAGGAGTAATTCTGAGGGGTCAAACAAAATAATAATTAAAAAAAAGTGACAAAAAAGTTATTTTTATAATGATGAGTTTTGCGGCTCCCAGTTGTTTTTTCTTCGGAAACGGGTCCAAGTGGCTCTTTTTGTCTTAAAGGTTGCAGACCCCTGCCCTATATGCTTCAGTGCTCTGTTAGCTGAGCAAAGCTTAAACCCTGTAGCATTGCTGAAGCATTTGGTCCTTTTTGAGAAATTGGCTTTTAATATGTGCTTTGAGCCTTATGGAAATACTTGATTATTGACTGTTATGTTTTTCTTGCAGCGTTTGCAAATTTGTGTACATGGTTAAAGAAATGGATGTCAACATGGACACCATTAGTACTAAAGTGGAAAGTACTATATCACACCTAAAGAAAAAATATGATGTTCTGCTTGCACTATACCACAAGTTGGAAAGGTAAAGTGCTTATTGTTTGCTGCGTTCTAAAACCTAGTTTAAATTTAAATTTACTGTTTTGAGGGAATTACAGCATTAAAATGAACATTGTATTTGGGGATTAAGAATGGTGTAGTGGCTGGAATGTTGGTCTGTGACCTGGGAGACTGACGTTCTAGTCCCCACTCAGCCATGAAGCTCGTTGGGTGACCTTGGACCTGTCACTGTCTCTCAGAAATGATAAGTCAAGATATCCCTGCAACCTCCAGCTTAGTCTTCCTATTATTGATTGACATATCCCCCCAAGGTTCAAAGAATTGACAGTCTTTCTGTTTAAAGCAGCACAATCCCAAATCACACAGATAAATGAACAGAATATGGTTTATTGGGCTTTCTGACTGTCTCACTTACCATGCCAAAATTATTCAAGGCACTGCTAAGAAAGATTGTTTTGAGTCTGTCTGGTTCCCCTTTTAAGTTAAGATAATAACAACCTAAATGTCAAACCTACAATTGCTCAAATCTCACTGTGGAGAGGTTTAGTTTCTCATAAACAAAGAGGCTTGACACAGGTAACATGTTTATGACCTTAGCTTAGCTTATCTCTTTTATTTCATTGTAAAGGCAATAAAACAATTTGGGGAAAAATAGCTTTATTATCCTGTGTTTGACTGTAACACAGTATGCATTGATGGTATGATAAAACAGAAAAGCAAATAAAAATTGATTTAAAAAAAATGGGAAAAAAAGTTCACAATTCAGCCAAATTAATTCAAAATTACACAAACACACACAGTGTTTTTTGAAAACTGATAGTACAACAATGCTTGTCTGGATCATGTACTACTACTACTACTTTTAAATTTTTATTTGTATCCCGCTGTCCCCAGTAGAGGCCGGGCTCAGAGCGGCTAACATTATAAAAACAACACAATATGCATAAAAACAGACATCAATTAATTAAAATACATCTTAAAATTAATTCAGACAAGTTAAAATCTGTGCAGGTGGCAATTATCAGGTTAGAATTGAGAGTGGTTGATACTTGCCAGGACCAACTGTTTCCACTGAGCATACAAGGACCTGTGAGCGGGTTGGGGGACTCCTTCGGGCTTGTTTTTATACAAAGGAAAGTAAGTCTGACCTATAATTATGTAAATTATTGTGCTACATTTGAACTTGCATGTTTAAATTTGTTCATTCAATAAAGATACTGGTACCATACTTAAGATCTCAAAATAGTCTACTCTTTATTGCTCTTGGATGGCCATCTGTCATGGATAGTTTAGCTGGGTGAGATTCCTGCATTGCAGGGGGTTGGACTAGAGGACCCCTCGGTCCCTTCCAACTCTGCGATTCTGTGTTTCTAATACGTCCTTTAGCAACATCCTTCCACCACAAATTTGCAGCATTGAAATCCTCTGGGCTGGGAGGGGGTGTTTGAATGGTGTGAAAGGGAAGAAGGAGGAGGAGTTTAAAACTTCCTGTTAAGTCACTCTGTAAAATACTGCAGGGAGTACAGTGGACACTTGGGTTGCAAACATGATCCGTGCAGGAGGCACGTTCGCAACCCGCGCGGGTTGCAATTCGGCGCTTCTGCGCATGCGCAAAGCGTGATTTAGCGCTTCTGAGCATGTGCGACCGTCGAAACCCAGAAGTAACCCATTACTTCCGGTACTTCCGGGTTTCGGTGTGTCCATAACCTGAAAAAACGCAACCTGAAGCGTCTGTAACCCAAGGTATGATTGTATCAGCATATTACAGTACATAAAAGGGAACAGAACAGTTCCCTTGAGCTGCCAGTTACTAGTATGTCTCTCAAGCTGAGCTGAAGAGTTTGGATAAGGGAGAGGAATAAGCAACTCTACTACACAAACACAAAGTAAAAACAAAAACCTGGTATTCCTATTTGGGGCTTTCACAACTAAGCATTGTTGTCCAAGAATATCCAGGTAACCCTGAAAAGACGCACCCCAAGTTACTGGACATGTTTTGCTTTGTGTGCAAGGGATCTCCCTCCTTCCACAGCCCAGAGGGGCTCCATATCCACACTGAGCTCTTCCTCGGAGGGTTCCTGGACCCTCACAAAGCTCTTCCTCCCCACCTGCACCTCCTCTGCCCCCCTCAGCCTGAGGGGACGTAATGCAGGGGGCTTCTCGCAGCCTCACACAGGAGAGATCCGTTCCCTGGTCTGCTTCCCTTCCCTTCCCCAGCTCCCTCCAGCCCTGGGAGGCGTTTCTCCCCCCCCCCCCCCGCGGGCTCAGCGCCTGCAGCCACAAGTTGGATCTGAAATCTTAGGCGAGGCATAATGCGACAAGACTTCAGAAACTGCTCACAATCATAAAATTCCTTGTTGCAGAACGTGCCTGCCTTGGGCTTTTCAGGTGCTTGCTAAATGGTACATATATTATATATAAAATAATAGTGTATAGTATAGTACTATATAGTATAGAAATAATAGTAGACAGATTTTAGCATTCATATGATAGTATAGGTTTCAGCATAATTGGAAAAACCGCTGCAGAATTTCATTTTGCATCCCTTTGGCTCCTGCTAAAACCATCTAGGATCCAACCCTTTCCCAGCAAACACATTTTCTTCAAAGCAGCTGTGACTTTAGAATACTCTGGGCGTGCTGAGTTGAAATCTTAAGTTTTAGAGTGCACTGATACACCTTTTTTCTTTTTCTTTTTAAAAGAACTTGTGGACTTATCTATGTTGAGCATCCTGATGATCAGTAAGTTTGTCTGTTTTCAGAAAATCAAAGAAATGTTGATGTGTGAGCTGCTAGCTAGTGCATAGGTTCACAAGATAGCAGTTGGCAAAGGGTAGGAGTATGTTTCACCGTTATAATGTGAAGATATATTGTTTTAATAAACTCTGTTGGGGGTGTGGGGGTGCTGTTTTTGTTTGTTACTATCTTAGGTATTTTTATATTGTAAACTGCCCTGTCATCCTCAGATGAAGGGTGGTATAGAATTATTATTATTATTATTATTATTATTATTATTATTTTAGAGAAAACTCCACGTCCCAGAGCAAGCAGTTCAAGTAGCCCCAAGTATACAGTAACTGTATTTTTTGGCTTAAAAACTCACAGCCACACAAAGCATTAAACCTTTGGTTTAAATCACTTAGCTGCATACCTTTTAAAAAGTGTTTTAAAGCAGGAAATGTAGAATCGTCACTGTAGTGTTTTTCTCTTCTATTTGTAGAGTTTGTGGTGAACTAAGTTCTTCCCTAGTTCTAAAACTATGCTGGATCATGTTTCTTTTGGCAAAAGGTAAGTAGTAGTATCCTTCAGTGTTTAAAAGAAAAAAGAACCCCCCAAAATTGGTTTGACTATTTTGACTATTAAGCTTTGCATTAATATTTTAAGCCACCTGGAGAATGCTGTTATTGGGACCATATAAATGCTGTAGGTAGATCAGTCAATCAGTAAAATAATTTGAAATCTGAGAAAAGTAAGCATAGGGCTGGTTCCTACCGTGTGTGTGTGTGTGTGTGTGAGAGAGAGAGAGAGAGTGTGTTGGGCGATATTTAGCTGGTAGAGTGATGACAAAGCTTATCTCAGGAATACAACTGAAAGAAAAATAGCAGAGGAAGATACTTATCAACTATCAGCTGAAAATTTTTTCTAGGCATGTTTGGCTTAGTTAGAGAATCTTCCTGTCATTTTTACCATATAGTTGCCAAGCTAAGCAGTCATATTACCAAGCTGAATTCAGTGCTGCATTTGTGCTGAAATAAACCACCTGATCATGTATAGTGGAGCCCTTTGTGTAATACCTTGGTGTACTACTGCTGTTTAGCGTGGGCATATCCTAAAGCATAGGGGCCATTTTGGATAAACCGTGATGAGCTGCCAGTGACCTGATGTCAGGCGCAAGAGAGTTAAGGGGATCTCTTGTTTCAAATCTACATAAGCACCATAGCACTAAGGTTGGAGGGAAGCCTTCAATGAGGAAAAGGTAGCAATGAGACCTCTTATCTCTTCTAAGCACCACGGTGGTCAGATCAGAGAGAAGCTGTCAGCTTAAGGGAGAGGTTTGTGGAAATGCTGCTTTTTGCTGTCGTTATTATCCCTGTGGTGCTCAGTCCTCTGGAAAAAGCAAGCAGAAGAATCTCCACCCCAGAATTTAAGGGGAATGGGCTGGAAATGCTAAGAGTGTGTGTGTGTGTGTGTGTGTGTGTGTGTGGCTGGCTGGCTGGCTGGCTGCTTGCAGGTCTGGTGTGTGAGAGAGGGAGATGGAGAGGGAAAGAAATGTGTGCCTAGTGTGCATGTGTGGGACAATGGAAGAGGGAAAAGGCACATGCATTTTTCTTGTTTTTGCCTCCTTGCCTTTACCTTGCCAAGTTTTGCCCTGCCCACCATGGGAACATGCCCCTCAGAATGTTGGACAAGCTGTGATCTGGCCCTCAGGCTGAAATAGGTGCTCAGTTCCTGTCTTAAAACTTTATTTGAGTGAGGTCTTGAATACTAGGCACTGAAAATTGTTCATGATTATAAAGTGTTTGGCAACCTAGAGAATTTGCTGAAGAGCCATAAGATACAAAGTGTTGCATCCAGATTGTCTCTTCTGCAACAGGAAGAGCTCCTTTCATTCCCAGAAGGAGAAGAGCTCCAACAGAGGCCTCTGCTGGAGGGAGGGGAGCCAATGTCTGCTGATTCCCCCAGTCACCCATCCACCTTCCCCCTGTTCTGGAATGTCCCCAAACTCTCCCTTGTAGCTTTTCAGGAAGCAAAAAGGGCTGCAAGGGAATGGGGATTGTGCAACAATGGCCACCCTCCCTTCATCCAGCAGGCGTGTCCCTTGAGCTCTAAATCCGCGCCTAGATCCATTAGCAGAAGCCAGCCCAAGGGCTCCTGCTAACCCAGTGGGGTTTTGCCTCATGCCCAGATTGGGAGAACCCTCCAGAAGAGCAGGAAAGGGGAGATCCTTAGGCTGAGCAGGCAGAACTGCTTGCACTGACAGAACACTCTCCTTAGCCCTGTCTTGAATTCCACCCTATGTAGTTCCAGCCTAGTTTCCCCAAATGTGAAACATGATACATTTTTCACTTATGGCTTAAAGAGGTGTTGATTGAAAATGTTCTCTCATTTTTCTAATGTTTTCAGGAAAAATACTACAGATGGAAGAAGATTTGGTTATTTCCTTCCAGTTGCTGCTTTGTGTCCTTGATTATTTTATCAAACTGGTGCCCCCAGCAGTACTCAACGAACCATACAGTAAGGATTTAAGCTTTTCATTGCACACAAACAGTAAACATGTTTGTAGTCCACATAAGAGATTGTGTGTTCTGTCCTGAAAAGATAAAGAGAATTTTATAAGTTGTTTAAACTGACCCCACTTTCATTTACTGTGTTGCTTATATTTGTGCCCCTTAGTGCATTTTGTACCAGAGCGACTGTTCAGCCCTGCAGATATATGTTGCTACAAAGGAGCAGTGAAAATGTAAAAGCTTACACTTAATAATATTTGGGAATCATGCTTGAGTATTGAAAACTAACTGCAATATTTGCATTTTATAATACAGTACTGTACTTGCATAACTTTTGTATTGTTAGAATCATTTCCCCATATTCTCTACATCTCTGAAAGAGTTGCTGTGGTCACGGACAGGACTTTCAAAAAGAAATGCATAAAGCACATTCCAATTGTACATTCCAAACCCAAAGTGGGTTTGTACTGAAAATGACACAAAGAAAATTGAAACGTCTGTTTTAATCTGAGTTTTGTTCTTGTATTTTTGCATGATGCTTAAAAATATTAAAATATTGTTTACAAATCCTTTTTTAAGGCAAATAATAAATATTTACCTATGAAAGTTTTATTTGTACTTTACTAACGGCCTGGTAGATGCTTGAATATATGTTAGACTTTGGTTTAAAGCATCCCTGAAACCTTTCAGAGAGCTATGTCATGTTTAAAAAGGTTTTTTAAATAAAATTGTTTTGTGAATCTGTCCTAGAGCTCTGTATAAACTGATATTCTGGCATCAAAAATATATGGTGATACATATACTATGAATGCACATGTCACGTGAATGTGTGCTCTGAATTTTGTACTGATCCGAGTCAGACTCCGTAGGCCAGGTGATGCCAACCTTTTTGGACCAGTGGGCACATTGCAGGTTTTGAAAGAGTGCTGTTTTGCAGTAACAAAATGGCTACCATGGGGGAGTGGCATAACATTGCAGCTCACTTCAGAAAGTCAGCCAAAGTAATTGCTGCCCAATTACAACAGAAAGCCTTCCCCAGTACCAGGAAAAATGTACACAGTAGCCGCAATCACTTCTCTCCCTCGCACTCATGCCACATATGCAGACCACCGACACACAGGCCCCCCCCCCTCTCTCTTGTGTTCACACCCCCTTCAGGTATGCAGCCACACGTGCCACCCTTCCTCTCTCTCTCTCTCTGGCCAAATGTATCTCCTCTCTCTCTCTTTCTCTCTCTTTGACCACGCAGTCATGCGCCCCCCCCATCTCACACTGCACACATCTCTCTCCCCTGCCTCTTCTCCCCTCACCCCAAATCTTTCCAAATGAGCCAGAATGCGGGGTGGGGGGGGGACGACGACGACGACTTCCGGTTCTAGCAACCACTCCACACTTCTGCCATTTCCTGTTATTTAATTTTTTGTGGGTTACCTGGACTGGGCGCCTTTGAGCACAGGTGCCTGGGGATGCCAGGGAAGGGCTTTGTGAGAGCCATGGAACCCAAGGGCAACAAAGTGGTGATCCTCACAGTAGGCAAAAGGCCCCAGTCTATTGCATAAGGCTATTGCTTCATCCTGTTCTTCATTACTGTTGAAAGAAAATCCTGAAAGAGTGCCAGTTGCAGAATCATTTTAGATTTCAAGATGAGGCAAAATTGTTTTGGTTGGTGGCTGAAAAACCAGGCACATTTGATTCAGAAATACTAAGTTCTATTTATTCCTAAGTGTGAGACTAAAATAGTGTTCCTGTTTGTAGAATGACATAGAAAGAAACACAATGATGAGTTCTAGAACTATCTAAAATGCAACACAGATATTTCTAATACTGTTTTTCTGTTTTAATATTTATTGCAAAACCCCTAAAAGGGACAAAAAATATAGATATCCATATATTCCTTTCCTATACAGATATAGCTTTTAAAAACTTATTTTCATATGCTTAAAATAATTGCTTTTTTGCATTTTGCTTTGACTTCCTGATGTATGATGAACAAATACTTGCCTTCTTCCCATAGAATCCCTGAGTGCTATGTCTATTAATAGCTCAGCTCGAACTTACAGGCGAACTCAGAACAGGAGTATACGTACTTCAAAAACAGACACAGAAATAAAGGTTATCGAAGAGCTTTGTAAAGAACATGATTGTAATTTGGATGAGGTAAAACCAGATTAGTGTTACTGTTGTTGTTGCTGTTGTTTTATAAAAAAAACAGTTTTCTGCAATGTCCTCCCCTGCCCCCCCAGGTGACCCACTCCCTTCCTCAGTTGCCTACAATCCCCCACTTCTCCTACTAGTTTCTCAGCCTGTTATGGCTTGTGTCCCTCTCCCTGTGATCTAATGCCTTCTGAGCCCTTTTATGTTTGTCCTGGTAAAACGGATTTCTCCCACCGCTTAGAGAAGCTGCCCTGCCCTGTTGCCGGCACGCCACGGACTTCTCTTCTCCCTCACATCTTGACCTCAGCAGTTAAATATATGTGAATGTTCCATAACGCCATAGCCCCCCAGTCAGTGTATAAGTAGGGGTTGAAGTCCAAGAGCAACAATCTGTTATTTATCTACAGTGGTGCCTTGCAAGACGAAATTAATTCGTTCTGTGAGTTTTTTCGTCTTGCGAATTTTTCGTCTTGCGAAGCACGGTTTCCCATAGGAATGCATTGAAAATCAATTAAAAAGGAAACAAACTTGCAAGACGTTTTCGTTTTTCGTCTTGCGAAGCAAGCCCATAGGGAAATTCGTCTTGCGAAGCAACTCAAAAAATGAAAAACTCTTTCGTCTTGCGAGTTTTTCATCTTGCGAGGCATTCGTCTTGCGAGGTACCACTGTATTACAGTTTCATCTGATGTATCTACTCCTAACATTAATGACAAAATAGCCTTCGGCACTGAAGGATTCCTTTCTTTCCTCTTTGGAGATTGAAACCTTTGCCTTGTTTTCAGTATAGTGGGGTCAGGAAGAGTGCCGTTGAACAATGTCTTGAATTTAGCTCTCAAAAGTTAAAGCAATTGAAGATACTTCATAAAGTAATTTTAAAATCTAACGTCTGTGTGTGGGCAACTGCTCAGACCTGGAAATACTAGCAAATATCGGTACACCATAGTTTTTCAATAAGCTTGTTTTGCTATATTATGCATGAAACTAAGAGACCACCTAATAGTGACACTTTATATTTTTTTTACCTTTTCAAGGTGAAAAATGTTTACTTTACTAGTTTTATTCCATTCCTGAACTCTTTGGGTATTACACCTTCCAGTGGACTTCCAGAGGTAACATTAGTGTAATTTAAGAATCTTTAAGGGTTGTCACAGTGAATCCTAGTTATGTTTTAGTTAGTTTTATTCTGTCTAATTCTTATAAATAGTTTAAACAGGAGTAGCTACTTCACAGCTTTTTGATACGATAGGTCCTTGGAACTGTCAGATTAAAGAGATTAAGAAGAACTTTAAACTGACAATCAAAGGGTTGTCATATAGATGATGGGGCAAATTTATTTCCTGTTGTGCCAGAGGATAGGGCTCAAACCAGTGAGTTCAGTTACAGAAAAAAGGACTTAAACTAAACATCAGGAAGAACCTCCCAATTGTATACACCAGCAGAATACCTTGCAAAGAGCTAGACTGTTGAAAGTATTGAAGTACAGTGGTACTTTGGTTCTCAAATGCCTTGGAACCCAAACACTGCAAACCCGGAAGTAAGTGTTCCAGTTTGCGAACCTTTTTCGGAAGCCAAACGTGCTCCATTTTGAGTGTTACGTTTCCGTTTTGAGCGTTACACTGAGGTCTGTCTGCTTTTGCTATTTATTTTGCATTTTTTGGTAGCTCTTCTTGTTTTGTTTTTGTGGCTGTAGAACACAGTTCACCTACTGATTAATTGATTGTGTGACTGCAGTACATTGTTTATTGCTTTCATTTTATGGATCAATGGTCTAGTTAGATAGTAAAATTCATGTTAAATTGCTGTTTTAGTGGTTGTTTTTAAAAGTCTGAAACGGATTAATCCATTTTGCATTACTTTCTATGGCAAAGCGTGCCTTGATTTTGGAATGGACTTCCGGAACGAATTGAGTTTGAGAACCAAAGTACCACGGTATAGGCTCTTGGATGCTGTAACAGTAGATTTTGTTAATCAGTAGTGGGTTGGTGGAATAGATTATTTTGGAAGTCTCTTCCAACTGCACAGTCCTCTAATTACTTTCAGGAATGAATTGAATTGCAAATAAATAGCTTTCATATGAATAGTTAGACAATTGTGAGCCTAGGTCTCAGTCTTAGTTTTTTCCTTTTGTCCCCTTTTTGTTGAAACCCAAGGTTGAGAATATGTCGAGCAAATATGAAGAAATGTATCTGAAAAACAAGGATATTGATGCCAGATTATTTTTAGAGAAAGATGAAACTTTGCAATATGATCGCACTGAATGGTAATTTTTTTTAATTGCTTTTTTTTGCATTGTAGTAAATTCTACTAATTCTTGAAGCAAAATGGAAACCTGGGAGGAATGTTTCTTAACTAATCTTATCTTGCAGGATTTTTCCAATGATAAATGAGTTAAGAGCTGTAAAATTCTATGAGAAGTGCTATGTGAGAATAAATAATAAGGCTTTAAAACCGCTGCTTTAGAATATGGCTTCTATGAATAATAATATCTGTATGAGTTCTTTCTAATCATCCTCCTTCTCCCAAAATGTCCTGTCATTTTCCCACTTGCTTTAATTAATACATTTAGAGCTGAGATTCTCAAATATTGATAATGAGCTTCTCTTCACTGGGCTGTCATCATGGACCTCAGCTGGAGGCCAGTTGCAGCTGGAGTCTGTCATGGCCGCAAGTGAGCGCTCCATCCCTGTGTGCCCAAGGAAACTGGCCTTTTCCCAGCACTGACCAGCAGGGAAAAACCTTCCCCTCCCCTGCAGACGGATTGCTTGAAGTCCCACCTGGTTTGACTTTCGGGGGAGTTAAAGCTTTCAAAAGATTTCATGTCGGTGACACACTTTTTAGATATGCATCATTTCGCAACACAGTAATTGAGTTTTACTAGGAAACTGGAGATTAAACTAAGCCATTTCCAGCCCCAGGAGGAAAGTGGGAGCATTCGCGTGACACACGTACACAGCCAACACACTAACGTGTCACGACACACAGTTTGTAGCTCTGCTACAAGTGGAAAGGCCACTTTTTAAGAAATCTTCCCTGGGTCCCGAAGACTTAAATAACTATCACCAAGTTGCAAATGTCCCCTTCCTAGGCAAGGTTTTTGAGCAGGCAGTTGCTAATCAGCTCCAGGCTCTCTTGGAAGAGACTGGTTTTCTAGATCCATGTCAGTTGAGGTTTAGGCCTTGTTTTGGCATGGAAACTGCCTCTCCCGTCTCTTGGGGAGTGCAACCCGTCCATCCATCCATCCATCCAGCCATCTCTTCATCCAGGGCAGTCTACAATATAAAAAGACAAAAATACACACCTTAATAACAGACAACAACACATACCCCCCCCCCACCTACACTCACAGTTTAAAAGGGCATAGATTAGATAAATTAGATGAAGGCCTGGGAGAAGAGGAACATTTTTGCCTGGCGCCTAAAGGTGTCTAATGAAGGTGTCACACAAACCTCCCTGGGGAGAGCCTTCCACAAACAGGGAGCCACCTCTTCACTGGAGCAGAAGTGAGCAAACCACAAGCTCTTGTATGATTCAGTGAAACCATGGCTTCATATCCTGGCTTGTTTGGATATTTCCTGGTTTGAACAAAATGGGAGAGCATAGTTCATGAGAAGACTTCCTGGTTTGTTTGTCCATGGGCATAAAGGGTAAAGCAAGGAGGTTTTGTGCAAGATCAAAGTGCTCATTCATACCTGCCTACCAAGCCAAGAGTTTGTTGTCCAAATGCAGGCATCTTGGCTGGAATACATCAGGCTTTTATGCAGACAAGTTAACAATTTTCTCATGTTAAGTTTACAGTTGGAGAGAACACCAACCAAGAATAACCCAGGTTATGATCCTCCTGTTGTACTTCCACAGACCCCGGTTCGGTAAGAATAATTGTCCTAATTCTGAATTTAGTTGAAAAGGTTTAGAAAATTATTTCTACGGGTATAGGAAATACAGTGAGTTTATCTGAAATTCTGTTTGTCCTGCAAGTGCTTCAATTCTGATTTAATGCTTCTGCATAAAAAAGCATTTGCAGAGTCCCTACAGACAGGCTGAATGGTATCACTGGTCTTTTCAGCAAAACCAGCCTTCAAGTTCAGCTCACAAAAGTAGACAGTAGTCAATGTCTTCTGGCTGACAACTTCTCTCCACAGTTAGAATGCGTGTCAACATTGCATGGTTTCAATCAGTTCAGCCACTGCTCCCCAGAAGCTTAATCAGAACTTCCACAGCTGCCGCAAAATTAAGTTCATAGACTGTATGAAATGTTGGATACTAGTGATATGAATGCAAGGAAGTACCAGTCCTGTTTTTAATAATGTTCCAAAGAAGGTTATTTCTGATAGTTGTGTTCAGCTGATCAAATCTTGGCTTACTAACCTCTGGGTCAGTAAATTCTGACTAAATTGGGGAGTCACAATACTTCTAGAGCTAATGTCTGTATTTAGGTTGAGGAAAACAGAGCTGTGGAACACCTTGCTACCAGGAAAACACCAAACTCTGCCTCCATCTGCTGCCCTTTGGTGACTTCTGCCTCTGCAGCACCATTTTGTGATTGATGAGTTTCAGTGAGTTAGTGTGTCCTGGAGGTAGAATTTTTGAGAAGCCCTCTTTTAATCTTTCTTCATTCAGGAGTTGCCCCAGCCCCCTGATCATTTGGGTGGCTCTACTCTGAAACTTGCCCAGATCTACAGTATCCACAATGAGCTGAGGCATTTTCATATTAGCAGATCTATTTAGATCCCTTTTCTAGTAGGATGGATTTTGGTGTGGACAAAGCACAATGCATTACTTAATGCTGCCCTTTGCATTTTATTTATATTATTGTGATTTTATTGTTATATTGCTTTACTTATCACATTAATCTCCTGGTTATAATAGGCATTATATACTGTAACTAATGTAATTAATAAATAATGCCCTTGCACACAAGCTAGGAAGCTATGGTTAATGACTTCCAAACAAGCCTGAATATAAAGGGATAGTTTGACATTGGCTGCATATCTTGGTTTGTTTAGAAGCCATTAACCATAGTTTCCAGTGTTGATGTAACAGGAAACTACTGTCACAGCGCTGTCAGACAAGAATGTTCACAGTGAGGAGTTAACTCTTCATTGTCAAAAGTACACTTGCAAGTTAGGGGAAGGCAGGTCTATCAGTCCATGTCTCAGCTGCTACAAGGTGTGCACCTGATGAGGCAGTTGCCGCAACAGAGAGTCCTGGCCCCCGACCTCAGCTTATGTATCTCCCTGGTCTGAGCTGTGTGCAAGCAGGTGCAGACTCTGCCTTTGTGTAACCTGCTTCTGCTCCTCCCTTTGCAGTCCTCTTCTGGACCTGGGAAGCAGAGGAGCTGGGGGCAGGAGGAAGTGATGTGGAAACCCTGGGCTCTCCACCAGCCTCTTCCTTCTCTCCCTACATGCTCCCTCAGGTCACTGATCCTTTCTTCCAAGTCAGCCCCAACCCCCCTTCTCCCAGTGCCCACTCTTCAGGGTCCAGCCAGTCCCAACAACTACGATTTCTCCTGCTTTCCAGGTCCCTTCCTTGCTGAAGGAAGGAAGGAAGGAACTAAGCATGCAGGTGTAGGAAGCCTGTTCATATTGCTGTTCGTTATGTAGATATTTGATGTCCAAATGTGGCTGATGTATCATTTTATGTGGTGATTTTTTTCTGCTCAAAGGCAGTTTCTTCATTTCAGAAAATAGTAATAAAAATACTTTCACCCTCTGTAGTGCTGCGATGAATACTATCCAACAGTTAATGATGATTTTAAACTCTGCAAGTGATAAACCATCAGATAACCTTATCTCATATTTTAATGTAAGTAACATCATTTTAACCAAAGGGACTGGTTTGAATGCAGTATAAAAAAATCAGAATTTAATGTTATTTTATGCTTCACAAATGTTTAATGTTCTAACATGCCCTTTTCATGCTATTTTCCCACCCCACCCCGGCTTCAGGTAGTATAGCCCTATTTATCTCCCAGTCTCCAGAGGCGGAGCTAGCTGTGCACCCGGGGGCAGGGCGAACTGCCTGTGGGGGCGCGTGGCGCAGTGATTTCTCTCCCCCCTCAGGGATGACACCCAGGGCAGGCTGCACTCACCGCACCCCCCTTCCTCCGCCAGTGCCAGTCTCTATACCTTTTTCTAACTCAGAATATTCTAAAGTAGTAGAAGGAATAGATGATAACTTTTAAGCATCATATTAAAGCTCTACTAAGTATCCTAGTACGTTTGTTTTGCCAGCAATGTAACTTTGAATTCCTTGGCAGGACATACAGATTTGGGTAAGAGTGGAATGGGGATGGAGCAGGGGTAGTGGTTGTTCCCAGAGTTGAGAGAATGATCCCATCACAAACACGCTTACTAAGTAGACTTTAATGTTTTTTGAAAAATGGAGAGGCATTTGTGAACCTAGATATTGTAGTGAGAAAACCCTTTTTTGCAGTGTTTTATTTAGAACCTCCTTGTTAGGTGGTAGTCTCCTGAATTGTGGTGAAGTAATTGGATGTACGTATTTAGACTTTTGAGGATTTCATAGAAATCTTTTTTGCTGCCAGGAAAGATCTTAGCCCATTTTCCGCTCTCAGACTTCCTTGATAGTTGGCTTTCTTTCTTTCTTTCTTTCTTTCTTTCTCTTTCTCTCTCTCTCTCTCTCTCTCTCTCTCTCTCTCTCTCTCTCTCTCTCTCTTTTTCCCTGACCTCCCAGTTTTCTCACTGAAAATCAGTTCTTCATGACTTAGTAATTCCATTAAAGCACTAGCAGAGGATAGTTCTTGTTTATCCAATATATCTAAGGGGAAGCTTTCTCCATCTCATTACAGAACTGCACTGCAAATCCTATGCAAAGCATATTGGAAAGAACAGAAAACCTGAGCCATGTCTTCAGAGAGAAATTTGCTGAAGCAGTTGGGCAAGGATGTGCTGAAATTGGATCACAGGTGGGGTTCTCCGTTGTTGTTCAGGCATCATTCAAACTGCCCTTTTGCAGTACTCAAGGAGTCTGCTGCTGGTGCTCACAGTCCAAATGTAGAGGGCCTTTGCTTACGCTCTTTACACATAGCTGAGATAGACCAGTGCCTGGCCTATGCAGGCTGTGCTGATTTAATTTCTCCAGGACCCCTGCCACTCTCTGGATTGTACATTTGGTATCCAGCAGGAAGCTTCTATCTGAATATCCCAGGGCTGGGGTGGGGAGTGTACACTCTAGTCTGGACAGTACAGTTTACTGCAATTATGAAGCTAAAGTTGTTTTCCAGAGGCAAACTCACGACTTTTCATTTCAGATTCGTTCTTGATGTATCGTTTGCTTCTAATTCTGTGACTAGGAATGCTTGATTGAATGGATATTATGCAAAAATATTACATTAGACTTAGTGAGCCATACAAGCCCATGCAGAGCTTGCTTGAGTCTTGTACAATAAAGTTATGAACTCGGACAAAAAAGCAGCTGTTCCCTGGAGGGCCCCCGCTTACCTCTGCAAGGTCTGGGGCAAGTGGAGTACCAGGTTGCCCCCCCACCCCCTGTACAGGCCTGGAGCCATAAGGTTGGGTTGAGTTGCAGGGCCATAATGTCTTGCCAGTAGGCATCTAGCACCCTTTCTCCTGAGAGTTTGCTTTGATTTCCAAATAGCATGTTCCAAAAAAAAAAAAAGCAACAAAAACATTTGTTGGGGATGGATTTCTACAAATATCCTAGTCTTGGATATGCCCTTTTCTTCTTTTCTGGGGTGTGCGTGTGTCTGATGTAGTAGAGCAGTTCTCGCTAAATGGCCACATCAAACCCATTAATCACAAAGAAACTGAAGTGTATTACAGAAGGTCATTCTCTTAAAGCAAAGTATTGTTACAACTTATTACATCAGCTTTTAAATTGTTTTCCCCCTAGAGGTATAGGCTTGGTGTACGGTTATACTACAGGGTGATGGAAGCCATCTTAAAGTCGGTAGGTGTTCAACATACAGAATTTTTAATATTTATATTCCCTTTTTAATGGGCTAAAGCATATCTTCATTTATTCATTTATCTTAGGAAGAAAAACGCCTATCAATTCATAATTTTAGGTATGTTTGGCAAACCTACTTCAATGTTATATTTTAAATACATTAAAAAATGTTAATGTTGAAAGACTGTCTTTTTTCTTTTTTTTATAGCAAACTTTTGAATAACAACATCTTTCATACATCTCTGTTGGCCTGTGCTCTTGAAGTTGTCATAGCTACTTATGGCAGTAAGTTGTATATCTATGCCATATTACAGAAGGGGCTGTTTCATCCATAGTGATCAGTCATGATGCTTTCCCCCTCCTTTTCCTTTTCCCACACAGCCACGACTTCCCTAGACTTCCCTAGTATTTACTTTATTTCACCTAATGCTGGTAAGAGTCCATTGTGGTGTTTTGTGTGTGAGTTTTATCCTTGCGACAATGCTTTTAATATCAGAATATTAAAACTGAGTTATTTACATTTGAAATACTGATTACTACATTATTTGCAAAAGGAACACCAGACAGATTAATACCAGAAGGCTTGGGGGGGCCGTTAATGTATCCAATTTCCTAAACTGTTATAAAATTGCCACCTTTTGTATAGCATTCCTTCCCCAGTCTCAAGTTAACAGATTTCCAGTTTCCTTCAGAAACACTGAACCATTAGGGCGTGTTGAATTTTTCAGATTCCTTAGAATGAGAGGTCCTGAAACACGGCTTGGGAATTCCAAAGATATTTCAGTTAAATTAATATAATTTAGTTTTGCTTGGTAAGTAAAATATGTGTACAATTGCGGGTGGTGCTGTGGGTTAAACCACAGAGCCTAGGACTTGCCGATCAGAAGGTCAGCGGTTCAAATCCCCACAATGGGGTGAGCTCCTGTTGCTCGGTCCCTGTTCCTGCCAACCTAGCAGTTCGAAAGCACCTCAAATTCAAGTAGATAAATAGGTACCGCTCCGGCGGGAAGGTAAACAGCGTTTCCGTGCACTGCATGGTTCACCAGAAGCGGCTTAGTCATGCTGGCCACGTGACCCGGAAGCTGTACGCCGGCTCTCTTGGCCAATAAAGCGAGATGAGCGCCGCAACCCCAGAGTCTGCCACAACTGGACCTAAGGTCAGGGGTCCCTTTACCTTTTACATAAAAAATGATTGCCAAGTACTTGCAATAATATTCTATATTATTTTTTATTAATAATAATATTTAATATCATTTGGCATTGTGCTATATTTTCAGAAGGTAAAATTAAAATTCTTAGATTTTCTGAAAACAGTAAATGTACCAATTACCAAGCTAAATGTGGTCTAGTTACCAAAAAATAGCAGGTTTGAATTCCTCACATCCCAAAATTATTTTTAAGACCAGACCACTCACTGAATTTCCCCCCAGATAAGTAAGTTTAACCTCCTAAAATGACATGCTCTAGAACCATAGTTTGTGTGCGAATTTGTTGTCTGATCTCAGATCTTAAATGCTGGAGCAAAACTTGTTTTCAACAGGACTTCCTTGGATCTGGAACTTTGAGAATAGGGACATGATAAAGGGCACATCTCAGTGTGTAGGAACAATTTATTGAGGACTTGCGTTATTCAACAAAAGAATAATCAGTTGTGTTCTCTTTAGCCTCAAGGAATGCTTCACAAAGTGAAAGTATGAATATGGAAACAGATTTATCTTTCCCATGGATTATCAACATATTTGACTTAAAAGCCTTTGACTTATACAAGGTTATTGAAAGCTTCATTAAAGCAGAACCAAACTTGACAAGAGAGATGATAAAACACCTGGAATGCTGTGAACACCGTATAATGGAATCCCTGGCATGGCAATCAGTAAGTTGTCTTCTCCATTCATATACTAGCAAGGTCTAAACCTGCTTAGCTTGTGACTTCAGGCAACATCAGGTGTGTTCAGGGGTCTATGGCCTTAGGCACTGGTAAGTTGCTTTCTAAACATAAAAATGTAGTGTATGACAGGAGTATAGATACATAAAATAGATGTTATTTAAGAAATACCACCATTTTATCTCTGTCCTATATTTGCACTTGTCTGTCATCTCACTGGCAATGTAGTGTGCATGCCCTCCCAAGAACCCTTTGGCCACCCTGGTGCCCAAGGCTCATTGGCTTACAATTGGGTGAGGGGAGCAGCCGCTGGCAGTAGTGGTGGTTAGAACTGCAAAGGGTGGGGTGGGGACATTGTGTGCCTGGCTTCTGACATCAAGCGCTAATTCTTGCCAGATGGGTAGTGGGGAGGTACAGGGATCTCAGTTTCATGCAGGCACGGCAGCAGAACCAATCTGGTTGTCCTGCTGCCGCCCCCACACCACGTGGATCTCCCTGTGCCATGCCCACTCCCTCTTGGTACGCAGCAGCCCCATCTTCACCAACCTCCTGGTTGCTTCTGCTAAGTGACCTCTTCTCTGAGGGGTGGGGTGAGGGGGAAGAGGAGACTGCTCTGGGCAGCCACTCCTGGCCATCAGTTGGGCTGGGCAATACCCCAGCTTTTCAACATTATAGTATATCGCCAGCCAAACATTGCAGTTTGGCGATATTCCACGATGTTGAAAAAACAAGCTCCATTGGCCTCTTCCCATGAGGCACCTGGTGCAACCGCCCCAGCTCTCACCTTGGCGCTCACCCAGGCGCTCACAGGCTGGAAAATTGCAGCTTGTTTGCACAGCTCAGCTGGGAATCGAGAAGGTTCCCCCTCCCCAGCTGAGTCAGCCCTGGTGCTCCCCCCGCTCCCCTAAGCTGCACAGTTTCACGGAGCCCCCACCCTGTCGCTGGGTCATGGAAGCTCATTTAAGTGCTTGGCTGTTTGTTGCTGTTTGTTGCTGCTCTGCTTACAGCACCACCCGGCTCCAGTTCATTCTCCACAAAACTTTGATATAGATATGAACTGTGGAAAGGCTTTCTGCCTCAACTTCAGTGTTACTTTGTGCTCACACACCATTCTAAGCATTCCTGTTGATGGAATATTTATTTGACTTCTATTAGTTTGTTAAACCACAGAGCCTAGGACTTGCTGATCAGAAGTCGGTGGTTTGAATCCCCGCAACAGGGTGAGCTCCCGTTGCTCAGTCCCAGCTCCTGCCAACCTAGCAGTTCGAAAGCACATCAAAGTGCAAGTAGATAAATAGGTACCGCTCCAGCGGGAAGGTAAACGGCGTTTCCGTGCGCTGCTCTGGTTTTGCCAGAAGCGGCTTAGTCATGCTGGCCACATGACCTGGAAGCTGTACACCAGCTCCTTCGGCCAGTAAAGCGAGATGAGCACTGCAACCCCAGAGTCGGCCACGCCTGGACCTAATGGTCAGGGGTCCCTTTACTGGCGTGCTCTGGTCTATGGGGTCACGAAGAGTCGGACACGACTAAACGACTAAACAACAACATTAGTTTGTGACTTCTTGCACATATTATATGGTTTTCATTTATGAATTAAGAAACAATTTATCATTTCATCAATATTGCCAATACATTATTAGCCCACGTGTTGCCTTTTGTTGATCAGATCATCCGGCTGAGGTAGGGGCAGCTGCACACTCCTCAGTCAAGCGGGTTAAAGATCCCTGCATCATAGGAGGGCAGAGGGCGATGGCGGTTTCACTCCCTGTTATATCGCTGGTGAAACTGCTACCGCTCCCAAGTCCCTCTGCTAGCAGCGCCACTGGAGGAAGGAACTCTAGCAGAAGGACCCAGCAACAGCAGCAGTTTCACCATCAGTATACTGCTGAGTGAAGCCAACACCATGGTCTGCTCCTCCTCCTGGTGCTGGGCAATAGATTGATATGTTGCCCAGGCCTAGCCATCAGTCGCACCTTCCCTAGAGCTGCAAAAGTGGCAGGACTCCTTTCCCCTCTCTATGCTGCTTCCAGATGGGCCTTCTCTTCAGGATATATGAATTTTTGTTGTTGAGATGGGCTGCTTCACAGTTGGTTATTTCGCAGTAGGGTGGGGAGCAAAAGGAAATTCTATCAAAATCATTACAGATGGAAGAAATTAGGACTGTTATTCTTAAAATTAATTCCTGTAAAGCACTGGAGCCAGATGGTTTTCCTGTGGGTGGTACAGTGCATATCTAGATTTCTTGCCCGCTAAGCTTCTTTCTGTTTATCAAAATGCCTTTGAGGCAGGTACCCTGTCAACTTCAGCCTCAGTGTATGAAGCACATATTTCTCTGAAACCTGGCAGAGTGCATACTAATGGTGAAAATATAGACCAATCTCTTTAATTAATGTTGGTGTTAAAATGCCGGCAGCAATTCTGGCTAATATCTTGATTAGTGATTTCAACAGTGTGTTTCATTCAGCAGAGAGCTGACCATCTAAGATGGGAAACCAATTTAGTGGCTATATATAGTCTTTGAATGGGTCTGGCTGCACTTACTTCTTTGGGTGCTATAAAAGCATTTGACAAAGTATATTGGCAGTTTGTGTTTGTTACTTTGGAAAAGTTTGGATTTCCTCAAGAACTTATAAAATGGATTAGAATTTTATACCAACCTCCTAAATCTTAAGTAAGGACAAATGGAATTGTTTTTGATCCGTTTTTTTGGAGAAAGTTACAAGTCAGTGTTCTCCTCTGCCTCCAGTGATATTTCCAATCCTACAATTCTGTGTTTCTGTTATGTATCAGTCCACATTTATCCAATGTTGTAGTACATTGAGTTATCAAAAGTTGCTTACAGGATCACCTTCATCCCCCCCAAAATAAAAACAAAACCTGTTCTGTAGAATATTATCTATACAGCACTGTATTGTTTAAGTTGGCTTCTCTTGACTGCAAAATTATTCTGCCCAGTAGATGTCAGGCTTTTCCATCTTACACTTTATAGTTTCAGGCATGAAAAACACACTCTTTCTCTCTTCCTTTGTAGACATTACAGCTAACCTTGGTTGTAGCCTTCCTTCTTGACATGGCAGATGTGACACAGCTGTGATACCTTACATCTAGCTTTCACTTACTTTCTCCTTTACTGACTGCTTCTTCAGTCTTTTCTATTATTTTTTCTACAACAAACCTGTGAGGTTGTTAAGCTAAAAACAAGTTCTTTGCACAAGGCTTCCCTGGGAGCCTCATGGCTGGGAATGAATTTGGCCTTACATTGTTTTTCACTGCCCTCTTGGATTGCATACCACCACCCACCACCCCCAACTGTCCTTGGCTTGAGAGCCTTGGGATATGAAAAAGTATTAGTTTCTTTCTTCCTTTTTTAAACTTGGGGTTGTGTAACTGGCTGTGCTGGTGAAGCACTCTGTCTCGCCCTTAAACAAAAGGGCATGCCATTAAGAATGAAGCTTCTTGCAAATGGACATGTTTTGGGAAGTTCATAGGAAGCTATTAAATTAGCCATGGTTAAAAAATCATGGTGGTTTGGTAGATGAGTATGTTGCAACAAAATTCTGATAACTTCAGTCTTGGTATCTTTTGATAAATATTCTGGATCATAACATAGCTTGCAAATGGAAAATAAAACTGAGGCCCTGAAATAAAAGTCAGTATTAAAATGTGTGTGTGTTAGTGGTACATGGTTCGGAATGTGGAGGCCACTAGTAACGTACGTACATTATAATCAAATGTCAACAACGTTTTGCGCAGGAGGGAAAAGCTAGGCAGGAGAACAAATACTGTTCTGTTGGGCACAGGGCTCCTATGGGAAGCATCATTTGATCATTTCCCACATCCACTCTTTCCTGAGAGATGTGAGCAAACCTTGCAGCTTGAGTGAATTAGATTGGAATAATCACTTAAAATTTCTGGAGTTCAGAGTCTTTTTTCACTCAGGAACTTTTTACAGTGGAGAGGAATAGCAGTCATTTTGTTTGAAGAGAACAACAAAATGGCTCAGCATTTAGGGATGGAGTTAACTTACAAACAAACCATGTCCTCATGTGGTTTAAAACAACACATGCATTAGCTACTAACTCAAGAGAAGGAAATGTATTTGCTTTTCTCCAACAAGGGAAAGTCTAAAAGGAAGCATGTGCTAATAGCCACTGATTTAGTGTACTCCGCACACTTCCAGAAGGCATTTGCAGACTCTCTCTCTCTCTCTTCCCCAGTTGTCCCATCTGAGGGTAAAGGCTGGAGGGGAAGAAGGTGTAACTTCTGGCTGCCTTTGCTATTCTGGCCTCGCCTGTGTGAAGTACCAGATGGTGGCTGGCAAAACCAGACTTCACTGAGCTAACTCTAATCATTGTAATAGCAGGCTATGTGTTTGTAGCATACATTCTGAAATACTTAGATTTCTCAGCTTCACTCTAAAAACGTTTACAAACAGATATTGTACCCAGTGCACTGTTTTCTGTTGAGGCCAATTAACAGAGCTTTCTCAATGGAAGTACACAGTGTAAACAGCAAACTATTTGCATTACACGGATGAATTCATAGAATGACTATCACAGGGCTAAATTATCAACATTTCCCCTCCTCTGCCTACATAATGCAAGGGAGGATTTATGGCAAATTTACTTTCAGTTTCAGTGAACTGCTTGCTTGTGAACCAGAAATTGTGTTTTAAAATAAACGATTACCTGCTAACAAACCAACTTTATGCCATGAATTACACGAAGCTGCTTTCTTTGTTTACTAGCTTGCTGATTTATATGAACCTAACAGTTTGCTCCAGCTTGCTGAGACTCAAGCTCCATTTGTCCTCTGTTCAGCATGTAAAAATAAATTCTGAACCAAAGCAGCAAGTTCCTTGACTAGCAGAAGCATACATTTCAAGCAACATTAATCTGTACACTCAAAGTGTAATTAAATGTTGTTTGCAAAGTAGTGAAGACTAACCTGGATAATTAATTTAGCATTAGGTCGCTTGTGATCAGGCCATTCCCCGTCACAAGGATCAGTCCTTTTGTGTCTGGGGGTCTTGCAATAGGTAGGTTTATTGTAGGTATTAATCTTCACAAGATTCTTTGAGCCTCTGGTGTACACAAATTTGCTACAAGAACATTGACAATAAATGGGATTGATAATCTTGCCAAGTTAGGTTTTAAACTTGCAGTACAGCCAGTGTTATGGTACGGTGACCTTTTCTGATGTACAAAATAGAAAAAATAATGCAAGGTGTGTGAGAATCCCTTTTCATGTTCGTTATTACAATAGGGATAATATTTGAAGCTTTTTCTCATTAGAACATAATTTATAAATTGTGAGAGGCTAGTTTTAAATAATTGCTTTAATCAATATAATCTTAATTGTTCTATGTACAAACATACAAGCAACTCCTTATACAAAGAAACAAAATACCTACAGATTTTTTTAAAGGTTCATTCTGTCTCTCCCATTCTCTCGTGTCCATTTATATTGCAGATTCACTGTCAAATATTCTTGTTTTTATGGTCTGGAGGCCATGTTGAACGAATTTGTCAGAACCCTTAGTTTCAGGGAATCTATTATCGTATCTTCTAGTCGACCAGCTCTTCATTTTTATTGAATTTTGAATAGTCTCTGAAGTAAAATAATAAACTATGGGGTCAAAGCAACAGTTTGAAACTGCAATACATAGAGTGATTGGATACATAGTCCTGACAGCAGCAACTACTGAACAGTTAATCCACGTTTGTGTTCTGATCAGGGAATAGAGTATTAGGGTAATGTTATATGGCACAAAACAGAAACAGAAAATCATCAAATGAACAAAAATCATTTTAAGGACTTTTTTTTTGCTTAATTTATTCCGACTTAGTGTAACTGGCTTATTTAAAGTTCTTAAAACCATTGTGGAGCAAGTAACATTCAATATCAGTGGAATTAAAAACCCTACAATTTCAATGAAAATTATAATCCTTGAAAGATAGGTTTTCCAAATTTTTTCAGAAAAGTTTTCAAAACATGTCATTTGGGGGAGTCCTTCCATGCTGACATGAACATTGGTGGATTGGAAAAAGCTTGCTGGGATGCTTCCTCCTATCACAATTATCCAGACCGCAGCGCAGATGATCTTGGCATTTCTTCTTGTTCGAATAGCCTTAGATCGAAAGGGGTGTACGATAGCTAAAAAACGGTCAATACTTATGCTAGTCAAAAAGAAAATGCTTCCGTACATGTTTATGTAGAAGAGTGTGACCGAAATCCTGCAAAGTATGTCTCCAAATGGCCAGTCTTTGGATGCAAAGTAATAAATCCTGAAGGGTAAGGTGAAAACGAAAAGTAGGTCTGATATTGCTAAGTTAAGCATATAAGTGGTTGTTTCATTTCGTACTTTCAATATGCAGGTGAAAATGTATATAGCAACGCAATTGGATATTAAACCAAGAACAAATACCATACTAAACATGCATCCGTACAAAGTATACTTGAAGGAGTCTTCAGCAGAACAGTTGGAGCTTAGCATTGTCATGCAATGAACTGCTAAAACTAGCTGCTGCTTCAGTCAAGCCGTACCTTGTGCTTTGTTGTAGTCTCCGTGAAATCCTCAGGTGGTGCGTAAAACCAGTCCTTGAGTGAGTGATTTCGTATGGGTCCAGCTTGACTTTGAAACTTCACAGCTGAATTTCAGTATTCAACAGAGAAGATACCATTCTGCTGGTCACTGGCAAATAATTATTTTCTTCCAAATGCCGTAGTAGTTCTGGATGACAGGGAGCATCTCCTCATCCACAATGAAGCTGTAATTAAGCTTAACTTCTTCACATATTTCTGTAGAGTTGATCCTTCCTGTGGTGCTGTAGAAACTTCAGATAAATCTGTTTCAAAGTTACGTTCCAAGTTACGTGGGAACAGACTTCCTTGTGTTAGCACTATGCTAGCATTTTTCTTTTCTTCGTGCCGTTGAGTAAGTTCTGACCCCACAGGGTAGAAAGCAAGCCAGAGAATAAAATTCCTAAGCAAGTATTTTCTTGCTGATCTTAAGCTCTCCCCGCAGCTGCCAATTAAATGGTGTCTTTGCTTGTTCAGAGAAGGCAAACTAAAGAGCACGCAAGCCCAAGCCCCACCCATGCTTACTCAGCTTGCTAAATGACATGGCAGGAAGAGGAGGCTGGGCTTCAGAAAGGAAGGGTTCAACTGCAAATTCTTAAGCAAAAGTATTTTTTTTAACCTTCCATGCCAGAAATGTATTTGAACTGAGAGCCATGCAAACAATGACTACCTGGCTCAGAGTGGCAGATCAAAACCTTATTAATATTTTTAAAAGTTAGGTGTGCCTTAGGAAGTATAATTAAGTAAGCAGTTTTTAGTTACATTTCATTTTTATTTCTATGGCTGTCTACCATTTTAATTAATCATTCTGTTGATTGATCTGTTACTAGGTTTAAATATAAGTGAATTTCCATTTTAAATGCTCAGTGTAGTTTTTGGGGGACAGTGCAAGAAATGTAAGAACTTGCAAAGTTGCTTAGAAGTCATCTTTAATGTTTTCTTTTTCCGTTCTCTGTTATAGTAACTCAAAAATCAAAATAGTCATTTTCTCTCTCTATTTTTAGATTACACTGAAATGCCATATCTTTTTTTACCTCTTGACAGTAAAGTGAATCACAGCGTTTCCTTTCAGAGGGGGCCCAATAGTAGAGAAATGAAACAGAAAGCGCTGTATTCCTCTGAGGTGTCCAGCTGTTCCACAGGCTTTCAGGCCCTTGTTGCCAGAGAGTGCATTCATAAAATGAATCAGGCCAGCATAGTTAACCCTCCACAATCCAAAGTGCAAAGCAAGCATTAGAAGGTAGTTTAGAAAGCATCCACTTTTGAGAAGAGATCACTCTGAGGTTTTGGTCCTAAAGACAAGTTGTTAGTGCTTGATAGAACACAGTTACAAAGCTACATAAATGTATGTTACTACAATATGCAATGGACCTTTAGAAAGCATTTTCCCACTGTGAACTCACCCATCCCATAAATACCTTTCTCACCACTATGTATGTATGCGTCTCCTAAAGTAATGAATGGTTTGACGAGTATAGAAATGCTCATAATAGACAAATATCTCTGCTGCTTTGCACCCTAATTTCAAGTATGATTTCTTGGGAAATGATTCCTGTTTCTGGGATATGTCAACTCTATAAAGGGCATGTGTGAAAGGTGGGCTATATGTGTATTGTGATTTTAATATGCTGTGTTAATCTTTCAGTGAAATTTATGTTGGGTGACTCTAAAAACAGAATGCATTAGTGAAAATTGGTGATGATATTTGAATGGAATGTTTAATAAGAGAACAACTTCATCAGTATTATCCCTCCAATGTACTTTAGCAGCAACTGTTCTACAGACTTCAGCAAAGAAGTGGGATTGCAGAGCTTCTCCATCGGCTAACCTAAGAGGCCAGCAACTTTTGGCTCTTCCGCTCTTTGAATTTTTTCCATTCCATTTTATTATACAATAATTCTGTAACTTAGAAGTAGTGCCTGAGTTTGCTTTCTTCCCCCTCCTTACCAATGCCTGTTTCTTTTGTGTCATAATTTATGGCAGGAACTGACTTTTCATTATTTATTTATTTAGTATATTTATGCCCCAATCTTCCTCCCAAACGAGCCCAGGGTGGCAAACCACAAAATAGAGCTCTACAACAGCCTATTTAGAAACACCTAAAAGCAACCCCAAACCTTCACAGTTGCTAATTTCAAGGCTGTCAACCATCTAATGGCAAGGTGATAAAAAATGTTTTTAAATTTCTTCTAAAAATCTCTGATAGACATACCTCACCAGGGAGGTCATTACGCAAACAGGGAACCACTACAGAGAAGGTCGTGCCACGGGGCAGTCCAGCTGGACAACAACCAGGGGTGGCACCACCAAGAGGGCCTCCCTTGCCAACCATGGGGCCCAAGATGGTTGTTTTTGGGGGAGTCCTTTAAGTACTTGGTCCCAAACCATTTGGCTTTTTATGCTAGGACTGGCACCTTGAATTGGACTAGTCTGGTGGCTGGTGGCTCCATTGGGCTGCCCCATTTAGCAGCCTGGCAGCCACATTGTGCACTAGCTGTGTCTTCAATGGCAGCCCCTCCCGGAGCACATTGCAGGCTCCATGGGAGACCCCTAGAGCATGAGCACCAGAGGTCAAGCTGTCTCGGTCCAGGAGTGGCTAGAGCTGGCAAACCAGCCTGAGCTGGGCCTAAGCACTCCCAGCCACAGAAGACTCAAGTGACAAGTTGGAACCCTGGACTACTAATAGTAGTAGCAAACTATTTTGAAAGCATTTTTTCAGCTGAAGAGGGGTGCAAAAAATGGTTTGAATTGTGTTCTTGGTCGTCCTAATCCTACTTCCATAACTCCTTGTTGGTGTGAAGAGAGTAAGAATGTCCTCAGAACACAGGACTTGGTGATGTACCTTTTAAAACAAAAACAAAAACTTTGGGGGATTTTTTTTTGTCAGGAGTTTGACTTGTATCTTAAGATAAATTTCTGAAGTAAGTGCCTTAAGCTAAGTTCACGGAAAGACAGTTCATCTTTCCTTCTGTGAACTGCCTTAATGGTGTAATCTTTTGTGCCTACTCAGAAGGAAATGCCACAGAGTTCTGTGGGATTTATTGCCACGTAAATGTGCATATGATTGCAATCTTAAGGCTATATACCCGCTGACCTTTGAGTGAGCCCCCCCTTGACATTTCTTTTATGGGTAGACATTCATAGACTGATTGCGCTGTCCACTTGTGCTGTGTGAGAGACAGACAAGGGCTTGCATTTCAGCATCAGAAAAATGTAAAGTATGCAAAATATAATGATCATTTATTCCTTTTTGTATTTTCTTCCTGAACCTAATTGGGAAGACTATTCCTGATGTTCTCAGCTGACATCCCGAGGCTTTTATTTCAGTAGGAATTGTTTGATTTAGAGGACAAAATAATATTCACTCTTGTTTTTTGTGGCCAAGCTACCTTGGGCCTTAGGAACTGAACATTTCTTTTAAAATTGTGAACAATTTGGCAATCTTACTTGCAAGCTTAGGTAGTGGTTAAAGTGCATTGTTAGGATTCTTTTTGTCTTTTTAAAGGACTTCATGGGTTAGAAGAGTGAAGAAGAGGGGCATACAAGTAAGATGTGGGTTTTCCTCCTCCTTTGTGTGTCCTGGAGCGAGCCACTTACTAATCTGTAGTTTCCTTATCTATTAACTCTGGCTATATTTACCTGACTGAGCTGAGGCTTACAGGTTGACTCAAGTGGAACTCTGAATTGGACTACTTTGCAGTCAAATGTTGTCCTGTAACAGAAGGTTTAGCAAAAATATTCCATAACTTAAACAATTTCTTTAAAATAAAGCATGTTTAAAATAATGTGTAATTTGGCACCGTAAAGTGTCGCTTAAAAGCTTTGAAAAGGAATTTAAGATAATGAAGTTTACACAAAATCCCCAATCAAGTAATATTTTCTGTAGTTAGAAGTGCATAGAATGGGTGTCCAAAGTCCTGTTTTATGGGCGTGATAGTGGACTCTACATTATTCCTCTAAAAGGCTTTTCTACAAACTACAAAAGGTATGTGAAAGGTCTCTGGTTCAGTCCCTTTTGTCTCTAGGTAGCTGAGAGGGTTTCTGTCTGCAACCCTTGGTGGAATTATTTACTAACTTAACTAAATACTTCAGCTTTATTAGTCGGAAGTAAACCATATTTCAATGGAAGTTCCGTCCAGGTAACATTAGAGGCTGCATGGAGAGGCAGCACTTTCACTGTTGAACCTCTCTGACTGCTACAGAAAGAAGCTGCGTTGCCCATTCCGAGTCACGAGGCAGGGTCTCGCCACCACGAAGTGAGCCTGGCTTGTGATTTCCTTTCAGAAGTTCCTGCTTCAAACACAAGGAACTTGAACAGTTCCTCGTTTAACAGGAAGTTAATAGTGCATTTTAAAATTGCTAAAATATTGAGCCCGGTTCTTTTCAGACACAGCATTCTTCTGCATTTGTCACATACTGGTTACCTACATTGAACCGTCAGTCCACCATTACAAAGAAATAAAGAATTGTTTGAAAATAGTTTTTAGTATTTACCTGTCTTGGTTCTTAACTGAAAGGTTGGAAGGGAGCAGCTTGAGAAAACTGGAATGCTTCCGGTAATTCTGTATTTCTGATGGGCAGCCAGACCAGTTAGAGTTTAGTGAAATCGCCAAGTTCTATCAGGTTCTAAGTTCAGAAGCGTATTCTAGCCAAAGGCCATGACAAACCTATAGCAATAATACAGAACATACAGCCATAATAGAAGCCAAAATCCATGATGAAAGAGAGAAGGTACCTGAGACACAAACAAGATTAAATCTAGGTTGATTTCAGATCAAACCCCCCCCCATCACCCAAACAACATACAGCTAATTTATCTAAAGCTTTTTTCCTGATTTGTTTTGCAGCTCGTGCATAGACAGCTGCTCTGTGTATTACAAAGCTATGATTGTCACTCAAACTCAACCGTTGATGCTGAGGCGCACCTGCTTGCTTATGCAAATAATGATTTCAGAAAGTGATATAAGGGCGAGGCCAACAGATAAGGAGTGATTTCTTCCACCTGAGATTACAATCTAAATACATGTCTACTGTTGTAGTAGACCTTTTCTTTTCTAGTTATTTTCAGCTATTTAAAAACGCAAGAGAACGCCAGTACAGTGGTACCTTGAGTTGAGAACTTAATTCATTCCGGAGGTCCGTTCTTAACCTGAAAGTGTTCTTAACCTGAAGCACCACTTTAGCTAATGGTGCCTCCTTCTGCTGCCGCGCCGCCGGAGTACGATTTCTGTTCTCATCCTGAAGCAAAGTTCTTAACCCGAGGTACTATTTCTGGGTTAGCGGAGTCTGTAACCTGAAGCGTCTGTAACTCGAGGCATCACTGTAACTAATCAGATTCTTATGCCACTGGCTTTTGTTTTAGGATTCACCATTATTTGAGCTCATAAAGCAGTCTAAGGAGCGAGGTGGGCAGCCTGACCAAGCTGAACCTCCCAACTGCTTCACTCAGCCTCTTCAGCATAACCACACTGCTGCAGACCTGTAAGTAAAATTATGGGTAGAGTCCTATGAGAATATAAAGATACTCACTTGGTCCATTGACTCCTTGCCTACTCTGACTGGAAGCAAGTCATCTACTCCATTTAAGTTCACAGACGTAGGCAGTGATCACATATGAGATAGCATCTCTATGGGGTCCCCACGGGGAGCACCTTTTCCCAACTGAGCTGGCCGACCTGCCACTACTGTTTGTAGATGGAGACCGTCTGACCAAGGGGTTCCACACATTGGCAACCTTGAGATTGCATTACTGCAGCGGTAGGGCATGTTGAATTTTTCAACTTTCAAAGTTCAAAATTGAGGGGTGCTAAAAAGTTGTAACATGACTTGGGAATTCAAAAGATATGTTGGTTAAATTAATATAATTTAGTTTTGCTCAGTAAGTAAAATGTGTGTAAAATTGCATAGAAATAATAAAAATGACTACCAAGTGCTTGCAGTTACAGGTGAGATCTGGGGTACCTTATTGTATTGTGAAAGAGCTTTAATACAATTTTATGGAGAGAGAGAGAGAGAGAGAGAGAGAGAGAGTTCTGTTAGTGCCTCATTGGCCCAGGGAGTTGGTTCTCTGAGAGCCTCCCTTGAGCAGTGTCTCCAGGGCTTCCTCTGTCTTCAGGCAGGAGAAGGAAGCTCCTCCAGTTGCATCAGTCCAGGGTGTCTGTCTAGCCTCAGTGCCCACCCACATGTCAAAGATTTATTGGAGAAGCTATACTTATTTCTCCCCTAAGTACACAGATCCCCTAAATGGCAATTACACACAGTACTCAACACTTCCACCATGGGTGTAGCCAGGATTGGGGGGGCAGGCATTATTTGAGGGGAGGAAGCATAACTGAGTTATCTGTGACACAATCTGTCAGTTAGTTAGTTATTTTTATTTATTTGCTTGACTTAGGGGGGCTGCCTCTCCGGCTATGTCCATGTATTTCACTAAACTTATTTGAGTCACTGTGTGGAACTGCTCTGCTTCTGTCCTTCAAGACACCTTTTCTGAGTGCTATGGCATTGGCGCAAGGAGCGTCTGCATTCAGTGCGTTATCCATCAGTAAAGATCTATGTACAGTCCACAGCGACTGTGACTCGTAAGGGTTTGCTTCAAGATAATAACAATAGATTCCTGTTTTCCACAGAGAACAGGAGTCAGTGCTCCCTTCCTGATGCCTCCATGCTCTCTCCCCTGTGCAGGCATGGGGCACCTTAGGTGTCTATAGAACTCTGTGCGCACACAGGCACACAGTCATTTCACATTTTCATCCTCGCTCTGAGGCAGAGGCCTCTGAGGCAGAGGCTTAGGAAGCCATGGCGTGCCAGGTTCCTTATCTCAGGCCTCCTGTGGGGCTCACAGCACATTCCACAAAGCAGCAGCTGCAACTGCAGCCTTCATTACCATTACCACTATTCAGGACATTTCCAGGGCAGCTCTCTGGGGCTCCAGTGCCCACATTTACGAGACAATACAGAGTGGGTCTACATGCATCAGTTGTGGTGGTCTTTGTTTTTCTGCCTCAGGGAGTGGTGTTTTGATTCCCACCCTTTGTCCCTACAGGCCCTGGTACATTGCACAGTCGCATTTTGCTAGGAAAATGGAACACTGACCATGCACTCACCAAATGGTGCTTACCATGCAAGGGGGCCAACTTGAATAAAATTTTGGGAGACTCAGGGAAGCCCTGCCCTGCGTAACTGATCACAAGACATGGTGCATGCACACCATTTGAATGGTGATGACCATCAACTTTGGGGGAGCCTATCCCCCTCAAATATTTTATGGGGGGGCTGAAGGGACCTTGGCCCCTAGGAGTTGGCTCCCAAGTTACTGTGAATGCAACTTCCCAGCAGAATAAGTGTGATAACAACCAGCAGACCCTGCATACAAACTGCTCCAAGCCTCATGCAGCAATCACTGAAGGATGGGGCATTCCTGCCCTCAACAGAGTTGCATTGGAGGCCCTGTATTTTCACTAGTTTTTCCATGCTATATTCTGTATATGTATTATTTCCACATGTTATCTTTGATCTTGGAGGAGCTTCCATCTAGGTTTGGGCGTGACAGTAAGCCTGGGGAGGAGCAATGGAGGAAGTGATGAAGTTTAGCCACATGTTTCCTGCCTAGAGCAAGTGGGAGGATATAGTTAGCCCCCAATAGGCTCACTTGCTTATTCTGCGAGAAATGCTCCATTCATGGTTCGCATCCAGTGTTCCATTCTTGTTGATTTTGTGTTGTTTCCATAGGTACCTGTCCCCAACAAAATCTCCCAAGAAAAAGGTGTCTTCCGCTTCAGTATATCCTCCTCCAGATGGTCAGCACGCATTGGCAAACCATCCTCAAAAACCTTATAAATCTACTTCTCTCTCACTGTTTTACAAAAAAGGTTGGTGTTGTGTGTGTGACACATTTTCATTTTCAGGCAGTGGGCAGAATCCACTGCAACAGGATTCCACCTTTCTCTCCCTCCCATGACTGCCACCTTTGCACCCCAAAAAGCTGTTCCAGAAGGTCTTCCTTCCATGAGCTTGTAAAGGGCTGCAAGGGGAGAGCCAGAAAGCGGCAGGAGTGGAATTCTGTTCTGCTCACACCTGGGCAGCAGCAATGGCTGCCTCACTTGGATCTTCTGTATTCCATTACAGACATAAACAAGAGAAAGGGAAGGAATGCAGTCAGGAGCAGGGAGGGGAGGGAATGAGGTTCAGTCCTGAACATTTGAGGAAGATTGGCAATTCATAATAATGGAGAAATAAATACTGTTGCTTGAAAAGAACTGCATGCAGTGTTCTGCAGATCTTTTGGCTGCCGCAACTTGTGTTCCTCAAAGCTTCCTAGGAGTGAAAGGATGTGGTAGATCTGTAACTCCTATCAGTAAGCAGAATTTTTTTTTGTTTATGCAGTGGGCACTCATGATGCAAGCATATGTATTTGGAAACTGCAAAACACTGATCCTTATCTCTCTTTTATTGCAGTTTAAAAATAGTCCCAATGAATATTTATTTTCTAGCATTCTTTTATCAAAAGTTAATTTTGAATCTTGTGGCTAGTGCAAACAGGACAGGACTCCTATAGCAGAATATTAATACATTAGAATAGATTTAAAGGTTATCAAAGGAAGAAACTGAGCAAGAATCAAAGTTATTGTATGTTAAAATACCTTTATTATTCAGATTCATACAATATCTTAGTCTTCACTTGTCACCATTAACATTAGTAACATAACAAACAGCAACAAGGAAAGACTCAGCAAACTATTGGGGAGACTTTTTTTTTTATGTAAACAAAATCTAATGGAAAATATCCAAGACCTAATACCTGGATAACCATGTAATGGTTAGTATGGCAGACGTGAGACTGTCTTTGTTCCATTTCCTTCAAATCAGACACAGCTTAAGATCTCTTGATCAAAAACGTTAATCAGAATTTGGAACTTGCATAAGAGGTTCTTCTTCACCGAACCTTGTTAGCAAATTTCACCATTTATTAAAAATTGAGCAGCTTTCTTTTTCATTTAGAAAGAAATGGAATAAAGACTTTGTTCAAGATATAGACTGGATATCAGTATTTAAACATATTCCAACAAATTTAATCCATGCCTATTAAAGGAAAAAGTTAATGCAGTATACCAAAGGCATCTAAATCTGCATAAATTCAGTATGGTTTATACTTCTGATATTTGCTAATTATTATGTCCATTCACGAACATTTTGGTTCCTGAATGACAGAAACCCAGGAGTAAGTGCTCCAGTTTTCAAACGTTACTCGGAACACGAACGTCCAACACGGCTTCCGCTGTGCAGAAACCTAGCTGTCAGGCAATCGGAAGCCATGCCTCTGAAGCGGAAGGCACTTCTGGAACGGATTATATTCAAGTTCCGAGGTACCACTGGACTGGACTGATATTTGGCAAATTATATAATACCACCTTCCCTCTGTATCTGAAAGAGATCCTGCTGGGTAATTTAAAAGGAGAAATAGAATTACATTATTTTCAGGGGCAAAAACATATTGCCAAATACTGGAAATTAGATTTAAACCTGAAAATATCAAATATGCGACTGGCTGGTTAATAGCTGGGAAACAACCATTTTAATTTATTACGCACATGCATTTTAACACAGTAAATATTCTTAAACCCAAAGCCGCATAATTTCTTTAAAACAAGAGTAGATGCATCAAAAGTTTTTCACTTCTGTACATACCACGCTCTGCTCAAAGGTGCAAATGCAACAATGCATTTGAGAAATGCCGTAGTGTTGCCAAATAGGCTGTTGGCTGGAACTTTGTTCCATTTAAAATCACAGTGCTTTGCTTTAAATTTCTGCAACCCTAAATATTATGTGACAAGCAGTGATTTGAAGATGATTCTCCTCTCTCCTCTCTAGTGCATTGGCTGGCTTATATGCGATTGAAAAACTTATGTTCGCGTCTTCTGTCTGATCACCCTGAACTTGAACATTTGATCTGGACACTCTTTCATCACACACTGCAAAATGAATATGAACTTATGAAAGACCGGCACTTAGACCAGGTAATGAGTCTGGCGGGTGTGAGCTGATTTCAGTCTTGTGTAGCTTACGCTTCTTTCTTTTTTTAGCTTCTCTGTTGTTCAGAAACGTTGTGCGAAATTTGCGAAGTAAGTGTGTATTCTTGTGAAATCCAGTAGTGTTTCTCAATCTTCTCCACACAGAGAACCGACCACTTCCTTGTTCTTCCTCTTGCTTCAGACATAGCCAAAGAAACATTTATTATTATTTTTAACCTCCCTTGCAAGTCTGAGCTCATTCTGAGTTTTAGCCTGCCTGACCGTCACCCTGCAACTGTTAGCTACTCGTGTATACTCCTCCTTAGTGATTTCCTCTTTCTTCCACTTCTTATACACACCCTTCTTAAATCTTAGCTCATCTGCAAGCTCCTTTTGCAACCACACACTTCTGTTTCCTTCTGAGGTAAAAGAGTAATAGAGATGGATGCTTTCAGCATTTGGATGGCACCTCCCCTCCCCCAACAGCTTCATGCAGTTGTTGAATAGCATTGGTGAGAAACAGAGCACTGTGGGACATCATGGTACATATGCCTTGAGCTGTGCCCCTTAGCACTATCCTCTAGGATTTAACTCCTAGGTAAGAGCAGAACCTCTGTAATAAATGCCATCATCCCAGACAGGAAACCCAGAAGGATACCAGAGCAATAGATTGTTCCCCCTCCACATATTTTGCCATTTGTAGGTTGTCCACCTTGGAATTTGGAAGTTTCATTGGGAAACCTTCACCTTAAAATAGATTTGAAGGGGTCCAAATAATTACTTTCTTCTAATAGTAGTTTTTTCAGTTTTTTAAAATTAATGCTATATTGCAGACATGCCCAGCGCATACCTCCTGCACGAGAGGAGGGTGATCCATGGCCAGCGACCTGGAGTGTGTGCCGGGAGCTCTTCACCAGCGACTGTGATTCCTTTAAAAAATATCTTTTAATGCTGGTTTTCTGGCGCCAAAAGCGGTGCCTTTGATTTCGTCTCCTTCTCTGATCCTTTTGACTCCTCTTATTTATAGAGGTGGAGAATATATATATATATTGCAGGGGGGAATGGTGTGGGGGGTGATGAGCGGGCCTTGCTTCTGGGGAGGGGAGAGTGTGATAGATCACTGCCAGTATTTTATACTGGATGGTATCGCAGACTACTTGAGGTTGGACATGCCTGTAGCCAAGACATCAAACATCCTTGCTTCTGAAGAAATGGAAAACACATGACATAGAATTTTTTGGGGGGTGGGGGGACAAAGCGACAACATAGCAAAACACTCTATAGTACTGTGATTAAATTAAAAAGAAAAATATCATTTGCACTGTCATTCCAGAAATATAAAAGCAGAGCCCAGCTCTCAATAAATTTGTTTCCTCAATTATTACGTATTGCATTTATCTCACAGGTCAGGTTTATGATTAAGACAAGTTTGCCAGGTTTTGCATCTCTAAATGGGCTGGGAAATTGGGGCATTTGAAGGATTACCTTGTGTAATGTTAACATATGAGAATGCTGGAGGTGAAATAGTTAAACAAGTTACCCAATCAGAACCCAGGGGGGTGGAGTCAGAGGAACTATAAAACTAGCGAAGGGAGGAGTTCGTTGGGAGTTGGGTGGTTGGTTGGAGTGGGAGTGAATTGGGATAGTCTGTGGGTAGGTTGAGTTAGTGTAGTGAAATAAGCTGAGTCAGGAACAGTTAGGGGCTAGGAAGACAAGTAAATATCTGAGAGGTGGTTTAGTGAGTGAGAGCAGGTAGTGGAAGTTATAGGTCTGGATAGGCACCCCATGATTGTAATTGACCGATACCGTTTATGAAACCACACGCTTGTTAAACTTCCATAAATAAACAGAAGTTTATGTTTCAGTTTAACCCTGACTGGACTCAGTATTGTACCAGGTAGGGCCTGGGGGGTGGCAGCGAGAAATAAAGTGGTGGCCCGGGGATCAATAGACGGTGAAACGTCCGGGGACCCTGGGTGATCACCACATCTTGTCCCACATGAATGTGTCTGAAATATAAGGTCAACATCAGAGGCATTCCTTCAGATGTTTGCACTAGTGAACATTAGGTGGGTGGAGACCAGATAGAAGACATTGTCAGTGATGGCCCCAGGCTTTATGAAACGTCTTTCCCAGACACATGCGGGAGGTACCAATACTGTTGTTGTTTCCGTGACAAGTTAAGAACTTTTTATTCTCCCAAACATTTATTGGTTAATTTGGTGCAGTTTTTCTAAAACTTCGTTGCATGTTAAAATTGATATCTCCCCCCCCCTTTTTTTTACAAGTGCTTGCTGGTTTTTGTGTTATAATTTTGTTTGTGTATTTTTTATTATTTGTACAGCTGCTTTTAATAGAAAAGCAACATAGGAATCTTAAATAAAATTAATTAAACTTTTAGGTAATTCCAAATAGTGTGTAGTTCCATTTGTTGAGTGGTTGCTTAGAGTTCATCTTTTATAACCTCTGTGAAGGAGCAAAATGGAAATGAGGGGCTTCATTGATGTCCAGTTCTGACTGGCACTCTCTGTTTTTCCATAGATAATGATGTGCTCCATGTATGGCATCTGCAAGGTGAAGAACATTGATCTCAGGTTTAAAACTATTGTGACAGCATATAAGGAACTCACTAATGCAAATCAAGAGGTATGGGAAACCTTTCAGCATCAGTTTTCCATATAGCTATTTTAATTATGGCTGCTAGTTGGGTTTAACATTTCTTTGAAACATTATGGCATTGTGAAAATGTGTTGCCACCCCGTTTTCCTTTTTCTTTTGTCTCCTTTCCATTTTTATTTAGATTAGTTTGTTTTTTTATTGTATTGTATGTGGGGAAAGTATCAATAAAAAAGTGGGAGGAGAAAATGATAGCATACGCTGAACAGTGTGGATGCATTAGTTCCTTAAAGGATGTCTTGAATTTTTGCAGTTCCTGAGTTACATCCAGGAATGCCCTATCAAAAGGCAATTTTAAACCAATCCAACCTCAGGATGGGCACCGTAGAGGGACACCCTTCTATTAGGACTGTGCTATGTAGAAGAATAGAAGAAAATGCAAATACTAAAGAGAGCTTATATATAATTTTCTAATCCTGTCCAGACTTTCAAGTGTGTTTTGATTGGGGAAGGAAGATATGATTCCATTATAGTCTTCTACAACTCAATATTCATGCAGAAGCTGAAAACTAACATTTTACAATATGCTTCCAATAAGGTAAGTAGTTGTGCTCCTGTACTGAGTCTAGTGTAAATTAAAAGAAATGAGCAAAAATTAATTGGATGGATTACAGGATGCCTATCCTGATAGGAAACTACATTAGCTCTTCATCTCATGCCTTTCTCCAAGTCCCTTCTGGCAGGGAGGCTCTGAGGACCAGGGAGGGGGCCTTTTCAGCTGGGGTTGCCCTCTGCAGGTTGGTCTGCCTGGCACCTTTGCTGACATCTTTTTGGTGCCAGATAAAAACGTCCTCTTTCCTCCAGGCTTTTGATGGACTGTGATGTTTCACTACTTTTGATGGACTGTGATGTTTCACTACTGATGCTCTGTCAAAGCTTTCTGCTGCTGTTAGGTAGATTATTTTGTGCATTTTTAAACCAACAACTTGAGTTTTCATGTGAATGTATCTATATTATAAACTGGCACACTGTTAAGACAATATTCATGGAAGACAATCTTACTCAGCTACGAGTGATCACCAAAGAATAAAGTTATAATCTAGTATTACTTACCCTTATGTTTTTAAATACGCTGCAAGTAGCTTGGAGGCCTTTTTTGTGTAACAAGGAACTAGCCTGTTTAATTGATTATGATGTTGTTAATAATCATATGTTTTCATGTTAACAGCCTCCAACATTATCGTCTCTGCCACACCTTCCTCACAGCCCTTACAAGTTTTCTCATTCCCCTTTGCGTGTCCCTGCGGGAAACAACATTTATATCTCACCTTTGAAGAGTCCCTACAAATTCTCTGAGGGGCTGTTGTCACCCACTAAAATGACACCCAGGTCAAAGTAGGTAACCTGTTTCTTTAAGCAAATAACTGAATCAAACACAAAAACAAGCTAGACAGAATGTTTCTGGGCTGAAAAGATCAGACTCTTGCTATACCTTCATTATGTGAATGCTTAGGGGGCTCTGTCATCTCGTCCCCCTTCCCCATATCTGCTACAGGAGATAGGGGGATTATATTATATTATATTTTATATTATTAATTTGGTGCTACTAGTAATTAGTAAACTAACTACAAGCAATACTTGCTTTTGCTATGAAATATTTCTTACTGATTTATATGAAAACTTTTTCAAGATAATGTGGAAGTATTATTGATAACCTTAAAAAGTATTAAGGATTAAAAGTCTGATGTTTTTAACCTGGATTTTCAATTTCTACTTTAGCTATGTCATGACTATCTCATCTAAAACTTGTTTAGCCAAATGAAGCCTCTGACTTGGGCTATTGACACAGAAACTTCAGCGATCTGAAGGAAAGCAGCTGGGGGAGAGGGCAGGGGAAGCAAGAAAATTAGTTTAGTTGGGTCAAATAAATGAACCACCTCCAAACAGCCTATTAGAATCATGCCCAGACTAGGAACTTCACTCTGACTGGTTGAACATATGGATATCAGTGGTTATCAGTCCTTATCTGTAGCATTCTCTCCCCTCCCCCTCAGGTTTGTGTTGTAGTTTAGGGAGTTAAGAAAATGGGTTTTGATTTCTTTCCTTTGAACAGGAAATGTCTAGCTGATAAGACTTGGCACTTCCTAAATCTGGGTGAAAAGGAGCAAGTTGAGCGTTATGGGGAGTATTGTGCAACTTCCTCTTGCAAACGTGACAGTTTTCACATGTCATGCCTTGTATATGAGGTAACTCTCATCTTATGTGAGAGTTTGGTTAAACATGTGAAGCCAGGCGCCCCCGTAAGCGCTCCCCTGCTGATGCCTTCTCAAAGCCCAAGTCTGGCTTCAGGAGAGAGGCGTAAGAGCTCAGGCAGGGTCCTACAGTCCTTGTGCCTCCCAAACTTCCTTTTCTGAGTATACTGTAATGTTTCACTGTTGCTATGGCCATTGGCTAATGTGAATAAAGTTCTATCTATCTATCTATCTATCCTTGTGCCTCCTTCCCAAAGGCAGGCAAGCGCTTGCCCAGTTTTAGGGAGGAAGTGGGAGGGCTCTAGGAGCCTGCCACAGCCCTTGCACCTCCTTCCCAAAGCTGGGCAAACCCGCGATCATAGCTTTAGGCAGGTGGGGAAGATGAAAATAAATAAATGGAAAGTGGGTTTCCTTCAGTTTCCATTTATTCATTTATTTATTTCCCACCCTTCCACGCAAAGCTGCCATCACAGAAATAAAATAAGCAGAAGATGCAAGTTACCTGTAATTTTTTGGCATCAGTTTAATAGAAAAATGAGAGTTATGTTTTTATCCCATTCTTGTTTTTGCAGAATATTGGTCTCAATAGGAGAATCCTTTGGGGTGAGTTTTGTGTTTGAAATGATAATTGCTTTAAAATGGATTTAGAGTATTATGGTCAAGATGCACGTTACAGAGCTACAACATGTCCCTTAAATCTTTTTAAATAAAGAACATCTGCTGGCCACACTGGAAGCAGTGCGTGAAGCAGTTTTGTGGTTGGCTCTTTCCCCTCACAATTTGCACCCCTCAAGCTACATGTCTTGCTTCAGGCAAAAAGATACAAGAATCTGTTTTTCTTCCCCTATACTGAGGTGAGACAGGAGCAGCCTGAGGGGGGCAATTTTGAGAGGAAATTTACCAACAAGGAAAGGGCTAAACACTCTCCCCTCCCCCCGTCACCTTCCTGCCCTTCTGATTTCCGCTCCATCATTAATAGCGAACTAAAGTGGTTGAATTCCAGTTAGTTTGGAAGTGAGCAGAGCCACACAAAAATAAGATACAGTCATACCTTGGTTTTTGAACGGAATGCGTTCCAAAAGTCCATTCGACTTCCGAAACATTCGAAAACCAAGGTGCGGCTTCTGATTGGCTCCTGATTGCGCAGGCGCACCGGAAACAGTAGCGGAAGCCGTATTGGATGTTTGGCTTCCAAAATAACGTTCGAAAACTGGAACACGCACTCCGGGTTTCGATCGTTTGGGAGCCGAAACGTACAAGTACCAAGGCGTTCAACTGTAGTGGTTTCTACCCCTCTGGGCTAAGTTTGCACAAGGACTGCAGTCCTTGCTCCATGCTGGTTGGGACCTTGAACAAGTTCACAGTAAGCAAACTTCCATTCTCTCCTTGGGCTCAGGTTTTTTTTTTGTTTCCTCCCTCCATTAACATTCAGCAGCTTATAGTACAGTATCCCAGAAGGAGTGATGGTTAGAGTTTGGAGAGCAAGTGCTATGATATTAAAAAATAAAAACAAATAAACACCAGCTCCCTATCCTAATCTATGTGAGGCTGTTTCGGGAATAAGGAAAGGAAAAAAAGATGTATTTTTCCTGCTGAGACTTTGATGAGTTAATCCAGTCTTGTGCTTGGTAGAGGTCTATTCCTGTAATATTCGACTGGAGGAAGGGAAGGGGAAGAGATCTACTCGTTTCTCCTTTGCCCTCTGAAGGGTGGAAAGACCTCTGGAGCACCATGGGAGGTTGTGATGGATCTGTTCCCTCCACAAACAGAAGGGCAACTCTGGATCAAACCCATAGTACTGTATTTCTAAGATAAAATGATGGATTTTAACTTTTGTGTGGTTCTCTGGCATTCTAGACTTCTGAAAAGTTTCAGAAGATAAACCAGATGGTGTGCAACAGAGATCATAATCTAAAACGCCATGCTGAAGTGAGCACAGCGCCCAAACCTCTGAAGAGGCTGCACTTTGATATTGGACAAGATGAAGCAGATGGAAGGTGAGCTTGTTTTTAAAGTGGTTGAATTCAGTTGTCTTCATTGATATAAAATACTTTCTAAAAGGAGAATGGAATGTTTGATTAAGTGCATGTATGTATAATTATGGCAATTAACATGTTTTATTTTTATACAAAGTGATAAGGCAGTTTCTGAATTTTCCTTTTTTTTTTTTTTTAATAGTATTTATTGGTTTTACAAAAACAAATTCCAAAAGATGTGGAAAAATACAAAAATTCGACAAACAGAAAACAACAATAACCATAACAAAAAGCAAACATAGATAACAATATCCCTGACACAAAAAGGATATCCCTGACACAAAAAGGAGTTTCTGAATTTTCCAAAGCAGCTCTTAAGTCTTGCTGTATTTTATATTGAAATGTGGCTTGTTTCTTCTACAGTACAAATGATGACACTGGAAATTTTGGTGACGCCTCTGTGTTTCTATGGTTATATAACAGGTTTCATACAGTAAATGAAATTATGCAAATGCCTAAAGTGCAGTGTAGGCTGTGTATTTCTCTCTGTGTGTACACACACACATTAAGCTTGAATGAGAAACTCTGGTTTAAATGATTAAATTACGTTCTGATCTGCCGAAGGAGATTCCTTCACTCCCTGGGAAATTCCACACAGAGATTAGGTGCAATGTACACTGAAAGTCATTCGGTGCCATTTGCCAAACATGTATCCATGTTCTCATCTGGTTTGCAGTGGGAAAGCACATACACATTTGCTGCCCTGGGGCACTAGCCAGCCAACCATGCTTTCTGGATCAGAGTATTGTGTAACTGGGTTTTTCTCTCTCTACAGGGAACACCTCTCTGGAGATTCCAAGTTCCAACAAAAGCTTGCAGAAATGAGTAAGTTCTTGTCCCCAGGGAAAGATAGTTCTCAATATAACGGAGAGTGACATTCTCAGGAAAGGAGGAAGAGGGGAACAATTCCTTAGAATGACCCGTTCCTTGAGGCATGAGCAATTGTCCTCTCAGGCCAAAGCTATTCCTCTGGGGGAGTGATCTTGGTCGTGGGTCAATCAGTCATTAGGAACAAGAAAGCCGCATGTGATGGGGATACAAGACTGGTGCAAAGATTGTGGATGCTGCCTGTTGTCTACGTAACCTTGTAGATTTCTGGAGAGGAGTCAGTGGTCATGGTGCACATTGGCACCAATGGCAAAGGGAAATATAGCTGTGAGGTCCTAGAAGTGAACTTTAGCTCGGCAGGATGTTGAGTCAGGACTCTCAAGGTAACTGCCTCTGAGGCGCCACCAGTTCCAAGCCCAGGGACAGCTTGACAGCAGATTGGTCTGTGTGTGTGGATGAGACGGTATTGCGAGGAGGAGGTTTGGACTTATTTGGCACTGGGGAATATTTTGGGACGAGCCAAGCCTGTACAAGAGAGGCAAGCTGCCCTTGAACCAGCATGGAACCAAACTATTGACACTTACAATATAAAGGTGGCAAAGCGGCTTTAAAACAGACTGTAGGGGGGAAGTTGATAGGAACCGAGGAGGGTCCAGTTCAGAATAAATCTTTCCACCGAAATGAAGGTGAAATTTTGTTCAAATGTCTTTGGCACTTGGTTTTAGTCTGTGGTGCTTTGACTTCTTTGAACTGCTGCCATGCACCACTGCACTTTCAGTGCCTAGATTCTGTCTCCTTTATAAGGAGAGAAGCTGTGTATAAATTTATATGCCAATGCTAGACACTTCTGAGTCCGTAAGTGTGAGTTTTCGTGCTTGGTCTTAGAGGAGAGCATTGATATAAGGGGCATATGGAGAACATGGTAGACTGGAGAAAACCAGTGGGATGCAGTTAGCTCTGTCTGAACACAAAATCCATAGTAAAGGCAGGGAAGGAAGCACTGGAGGGGGCATCATTCGGTATGTCAAATAGGGCACAGAGTCCAGCAAACTGGAAATTCCCAAAGGGCAAGATTTCTCCATAGGAATGCTGCACATGGTGATACTGTGTCCCAAAGCTAATTTAGTGCTGGGGGTGTGTGCCATCAGCCCCCTGACCAGTTTGCTCAGGGCGATACTGAGAAAGGCTGTCGTAATAGCTGATTACCATACCCTCATGTAGACAGGGTATATGTGTGCGAAGAGGTAGAATTTTTGATGCACTGAATGACTTTGCCTTAGTTGTTCATGGAACTGACCAGAGGACTTCATCTTAAGTGGCACCCGGGATGCCTTTCCCCCTGAAAGGGAATCAAGGCAGCTTACAGATAAAATAGAAATAGCTTAAAACATTTTTTGGTGGGGTGTCATTAAAACCAGTTAAACATTAATAGAATTAAAAGGTGTGCATGTATATAAGATCTATTAAAACACAGAGATCATTACAATAAAAGCAGCGTAAGGTAAAGGTAAAGGGACCCCTGACCATTAGGTCCAGTTGTGACAGACTCTGGGGTTGCAGTGCTCATCTCGCTTTATTGGCTGAGGGAGCCGGCGTTTGTCCGCAGACAGCTTCCAAGTCATGTGGCCAGCATGACTAAGCTGCTTCTGGCGAACCAGAGCAGCGCACAGAAACACCATTTACCTTCCCGCTGGAGCGGTACCTCTTTATCTACTTGCACTTTGACGTGCTTTCAAACTGCTAGGTTGGCAGGAGCAGGGACCGAGCAACAGGAGCTCACCCTGTCGCAGGGATTCGAACCGCCGACCTTCTGATTGGCAAGTCCAAGGCTCTGTGGTTTAACGGTCAGTTCCCAAAAGCCTGTTGGAATAGATTATTCACCTGCTGGCAGAAAGAAGCCAGTTTAGCCTGTATAGGGAGGGAGATCCAAAGTCTGGGAGTAGTTTAAAGCAAAACATTCACACCAATGGGGTGTTGGCCATGCACAAACAGCTGTGCAGTTTTCCAAGTCTGGGTTTCTTGATTTCGACTGTGTTAGTCTCCAGTGCTGGCGTTCTTGGACTCAGATGGGTTTCCTGCCCCCTTGTGCTCTTAAGTCAGGTCCTTTTAATAACGGATGCAGTCCCAGGTTTTTCTGTGCCAACTTTTCATTATTCCTCTTGATACTGTTTTTATTCATTCTCTTTACATGTCCATTGTAATGAGCACCACCTTTGTAGAACAAAGGCCGGATTAGCTGCTTATTTGCCTTCCACTTATTTTTCCTATTTAATGCCCAAAGTAAAACTGTCGTGCTTGTTTTTTAGCATCTACTCGAACCAGAATACAAAACCAGAAACTGAATGATGGAGCTGATACTTCAACCACTGATCAAAAGTGAACTTCCACATTATGTGAATTGTATGTTTTGCTGTATCTTTATTGTCTACATTATCTTGTCATTTGCTAATTTGAAATAGTTGGGCTTTATAGCCAATGTTTTATAGCAGTATGCAATATTAGCTACTTAATTGCCACATATATGGGTTTTTAAAGTAAAAAAATCTTTGCTTCCAAATGCAGCATTGGTGGTTTAATACGCTTTTGTTTTATTTATACAAATTCCTTAGAGCAAAGGCACCTGAGATTTAAGTAGACAGTCAAAATGCACTTGTTTTATAAGAAATGTCATTTCAGTTTTAGACTTGCATGCACTATTTACCTATTTTATGCATTAGAAACAAACAAGCAAACAAAAAAGCAGTTCATACATAATTTAATTACACATGCAAGGACTAAGATCTACAATAATGTGTATAACTTGAACATGAGGTGTAAAAGCTTATTGTACTTGAGTAGGACTGGATCCAGCTCACTGTGTAGCCATACTACTGAAACAGAGATGCTGTACCTCATTAATATTTCCACCTTCATTCCTTTTGTTTTCAAGCACTTATTTGCTTTTTGTAATCTGGTGGGCTTCTTGAATTTTACTGAAATGTACTGATAGGCATATTCATCATTTTCTTTTCTGCAGTACAAATACTAAATGTGCTCTTTTCCATCCATATCTTGAACAAAAAAAGATGTTAAAAGCTTTCATGCAAATAGGTGGTTGAATTTTAAAGCTTAACTAGGCTATGAAAATGAAACCCTGGGGTTTTACTAGCAATAAGTTTAAGATTTTGGCTACTAAAGTTTAACTATCCTATTATAATTATGTATTGAAGCAAAGGTGACTACTGTCCATTGGAAGTATTATTCTTTATACAGATAAATATTACTGCTTCAAGGATTAATTTCACTTTTTCATGTAAGAAGGGATAGTAAGCAGCAATATATAGTTTTCCTTGTAGTTATGACCTTGAATTCTCATAACCCTGTGCATTTGATTTTGGTCCTAGGGTGGCATAGAGGTGAACTATAAAAATGGATTTTTTTCTCACCTTTGTCTCCAAGTATGGATTATTTTCATGCTGCATGATTTATGGTTTAGAGAAAAAAAACTACATTCTTGAAATGTTTATTTCAGTACAATACACATTTACAAACACTGGTAGTATAACATTAATAGTGATTTCAATGCAGTCAGATTGCTAGCAAAATCCTAGTGTGTAACTATTTTTAGGGCTTTTTCACCTTTAGTTTATTAGGGTTTTTGTATTACTACAATACAGTTCATATTCGCCTGCCATCCCTCCCTCTGCCCTCATGCCCTTTTGTTGTTGTTGTTACATTTTCTCTTCAGTATCAGTGTTCAGGTTCACATGCTCAGATAAGGGTTAGGGCAAAAGAGTGTCAGTGCTCTGAGTTCCAGATACAAATAGGCTGGAGAGGTTTGCAGCCCTCTCTTCTGCCTCCTCCTAGCTGTGGCTTTGGGGTTACTGTGCGAGAGAGCAGTGTCTTCCTCCTTTTCTCATGCTCTGCCAAGCTCTCGCCAGCACTGGAAATGAGGGTGGAGGAGCCCTCAGCTGGTGGACATGGGCAGGGACAGCAAATGCACTAGCTCCTTTGGGTCACTTTCCCATGGTTGCTGGCCAGCCAGCAGGTCCCTTTTTGGCCCTAAGGACACTGGATCTCCAAGGTTGGTCTGGTCAGGGCAGTTGTGGCAGAAGCAGGACCAAGGATCTCTTCATTCTCAGAAAGGGAGAGCTGATGCATTCTGTGGCCATGGGATGTCTTTCCAAGATCACAGGAGCACAGCCACAGTATCATGCAAAAACTCCTTAATTTGGTTTGAATGGCCCACAAGGATGCTGATTTTCAGCAATAACGATTAAATAAGCAACTTTTATAGCATTAGCTTACACTTGGCAGTAACACTTGTGTCATGCTGTCACTGGGTTGGGTGGAGTTGTCCTGGTGAGGAAGGCAGGAGTGATAAGCTCTCATAATTTACCTTGTAGACTAGAAACACCAATTTTCTTCCCCATTTTTCTTTGCACCCCATTTCACTTTGGTGACGAAGACAAAACAGTACTGTGGCCTCTCTCTGACCTAAAATATGCACACATAAGTATCAGATTTTGAAGCAGTTTTCAAGTTCCCACATACATGGAAGAGCTTTAGAAGACTAGTTCTAAAAAGACACCTTAGTCAAACACACTTGAGTATTTTCTACCAGTTTTAACAGTGAAGGAACTAGCTCCTGTTGAGATTTCCCTGTAAGAGCGTGTGATTAGAGAAGGTTAAATTTAGATATCTGAAGCCTTAGAAGTGGGAGTGGAGGAAGAAGAGTTAAGCAAAGTTTAGTAGTTAAGGGGAAGGGCTCAGGGCCCCCCAAGATCTGCGGAATAAATTTTACACAGGTTGGCAGAATTTAAAACCAGAGTTAAAAAAGGTAAGTGAACACAATCTCTTCAAAAATCCACTTGTTTTCTCCCCCAGCCAACCTCTTTTCCATAGAGGAGCTCCACTGCCCCTCCTTCTTTTATTGATGTTCTGACATATTAATGTAAACTATTTATCTGTCCTCCACCACCACCCTTGGGTAGATGGAAGTAGAGAAGCAATTTCTGCTGCAAAAGGCACTCACTGAAAGATGACTTTGTAGCTTGCAGTACAAGAGAGGTTTACGATGCTGCTACCTGCTCCTCTTGCCTCTGAGGATTATAGTGTGTGACAGCTTAGAAATGACAACCACAGCAGAGGCTGGTATAATAACCAAATTTACCGCAAATGAGGAAAACACCAGTTGCTGGCTGTTTGTTTTTTTAAAAAAAAGGAAAGCAACCTGCAGAAAAAACACTGTAGGTTCTGGTTGCTGAGCGCATCTCAATCCCGGTCATGAGGTTATTTGCCACTGCAGTCACTTTTGTAGGCGGCTGATAAAAGCTGGAGCTTTTATGACACTTGCTTTTAAGTGGGTTTAGATTTCTGAAAACTAGCCTAGACTTAAACCAGGGAGTAATTTAATTCCCTGTCAAAAGCCCACAAAAGCTTGCACCATTGTTGCAGCAGAGAGACTGATAGAGTGACACTATTTGAATTTCACTTAGGATAATATGGTGCTCTGAAGGGTTCAGCAAACAGTACAGATACAATTTTAGAGAAGTCCGCTGAATTCTACATTACATGTTTGGAACACAAGCATAGGTTACTTAGTCCCTCAAACTGAAGAGGACATGAATTCTGTCCATGCCCAAGCTAAAGCCAAGAGGTGGCATCCTCTGCAAACAGAGTAGAACATAGTGAAGTGCATAGACCGAGGGGTACCGTGTCCTCTCCTAGATTTTCACCCCCCAGGAGTACTAAGAGGGGGAGTTTTCCCTTACTAGGGCAGCACACTGATTCCTGAATGCTGCCAATGCAAACTGCCAAAGAGCATTTATGCAAGGTTTTTCAAAGCTGAACAAGTGACATAAAGGAAGATGCAACAATATCCCGGGGGTGGGGGAGTGGTTATGAGAGTCCCGCAGCCTTTTTTGCTCCGTGAAGTTAGTGGCTATGTTTTGCGAGCCAAACCGCATTCATGAGACATACTCTTTTTCCAGCACTTACTTCGCGAGTATCCCTTCTGAAAATACCTTGATTTTCTGCAACTGCCCTTCCTTCAGTTTTTAAATGCTCCCACTTGGCTGGCTTTGCTAATGAAGTTCTTCAGAAGGTCATGGTCCATTTCTGCAAAGCCTGATGTCTGAGTAACTACAGTCAAGTGGTTTATGCAAAACCGAAAGCAAAATTCCTCTAATTCCTAGGAAGGAAATAAGTATTACATATGTTAGCGGAAATGGGACCACCCAAAATGAAGCGACATGGCGGATACATTTTCCAGGCACAGCTGCAGCCCCTGCGCTGACATTTGCCGAAATTCAAAGTAAACTCTGACAGCAGCTGCCACCCATGGGCTGGTAACTCCAACTGCGGGTCATTCTATATCAAGTGATCCAGTTTTTTTTTACCTCATGGAATTCAATTTTCTTAATATTTTGTACACTTGTTGAATGATCAAAACTAAGTTTAAATCTGAAATTTTATTTTTTTTATCTCATCCCATTTTTTAGTTATGTGGGTTTGAAATTAAAAAATGACAACTTTGGCCTTGCCAGACTACACAAAAACCTTGAAAGCTCAGCCCAGAATAGAGATATTTCAAAACTAAAAATACTGATCTCTTCAGAACCTTTAATATGCTATTGTCACATGATGGGCTTACTTTAAATTTTAAAGTTAAGATACAAAATTTAAAATTTTAAAAAGTGATTTAAAAATTAATATGATTTTAAAATTGCCAAATATGTATGATTTAATATTTATAAGAGTTATTTGCAAAATTTCATCTTGGGATCTCAATGGGATCACATTAAAAAAATATATTTTGTACAGTACATATATGTCTGCCTTATTGGGCTCTATTTAGGATAAATGGGTCGTCTTGGAGTAAAATATAGCAGAATAAACAAGACTTCAAACTGTAATATCAGTTACTTCAGGCATTTCTTTAGAAAGTTATTCAGTTAAAAGGTACCTGAAAAGCTAGTCAGGCTTTAAAAAAAAAAAGTGTTCTAAGGCCGAGTGATAGTTTGCTGTTGCATGATAGAATTAACGCTTTGAAAGAATCCTTGTTAGTACTTCATTTCGAACAGTCACTGGATCATAGGACTTCAGAGTTGGAAGGGACCCTGTGGGGCATCTAGTGCAACTGCAATGCCGAAATCTCAACTAAAGCATCTGAGCCCATTAGCACTAAGCCACAGTTCAGCCTCTGCAAATGCAGCCAATATTGAAAATAAAGTTGGCTCCAGTAATATGAACCATACTCAGTAACCTGAATAAGAAAAGAAAAAGCATTTGAAAAGAAATTGTTACAACAGAACTATGAAGGCTGGATCCTGGCCACCCAGGAGCAGAACTCTTCCTGCTAAAAGGCAGGAGAGAAGTGAGTTTCTGACTGTCCATTCCCCCAGAAGTCGGGGGGGGGCATTCAGAACAGCAAAGAAGGTCGAGCTGGGAGCAGCAGGAAGAAGGGGGAATGGGTGAAAATTGCCTCCATGCAGAAGGAAGGAACTTGCTCCTCTCTGTAAATGGAAGGAGTCCATCCCTTAGTTAAGGAGAGTAAGTATATAGCCAACCCTTTGCTTTTTTAGAATCGTCACTTAAAGTTCTTCAATAGTAATGTACCATGCACCATGAATACACAAAAACAGCTCCCACAAAGGGAGTGTTCAAGATATTTTAAAGTGTACAAGTTCTGCTGAAAATGCAGCTTTGTGGCTGAGCTATGGATTTCGTTTATTATTTTCCTTTACTTGATATAGTATATTTCAGTGCAGACAATCTGTTGTAGTGGGTATGAACAAAAAAGGGCTGGTCACTAGTGCCTGGTCCCATGAAGACATCCACAGAAGCAAGTCTAGAAGGAAGAGGGGAAGGGGAAAGTCTGTAGCTCTCTAACCTTTCAGATAGCTATTTGATATCTTGTAAACCAGAAAAAACTGTGACCTTCAGATTAATATTTGTGCTGTACTTTCAAATGTTCAAACTTCTTTGCATCCTGTGTCATGTCATCCTTAGAACAGCCAAGGAAGATAGGCCAGGAGTATGCTCTCCAGATTGTAGATGGGAAGATGAGGCTCAGAAAATGGCCCTTTGCCCCTGGCAGGACACATATATGTGTGCACTGCTGGAAGGGGGCTGCCATCTGACTGGGGAGAGGAGTGCAGTGGTTTGTGGGTACCTGTCCCAACCAGGAGGTAAGAATCAGAGGCAGGAGAAGCTTCAGAGCTGGAGAAAGAACAGGCAATCGCTTCCCGCCCTCCCCTGCCCCACTGTCTCCCAGAAGCAGGAGAGGATGGAAGGAGGAAGGACAGAGGCGTCTTCCACGCAGGTGCCAGCTATGTGTGCACAGGCTGTGGGGAGAAGAGGCAGAACCTGGTGGAGGGAAAGTGCTCTCCAGTTGCTGCAACTGCTCCATAGAGTCCAGACCTGGGAACAGCTGCCTAGACACTACATGCATGTGCTTAGGTATCCCGAGCTGTAGAGGCGACTAAAGAGTTAACTCTGCCATGTGTATTCCTTGGACTGGGAAGCACCCCTGACAGCCACCTGGAAGGTATATTACAAAAGCAAAATTCAAACTGGGCCCCTCCTGATTCATAATCATCATTTAAATTTTAATAATAATAATCTTATTCTTTATACCCCGCCCATCTGGTGGGGTTTCCCAGCTTAGTGTCTTAGTTACCAGATTATTTCCAATACCAAGGGGTCTCAAACATCACAAGCAGCATGCCTCTGCAGGAAACTATTAAGCCTCACTGCTAAGCCTCATTCCTACCTTTGCTTCATACTTGACTGCGGCAGAAAGAAGGGCGATTGCATTCTCCTCGGAAATTCCCTGCTTGATTGTTTGCTGGCAAAGCTTTTTCAGTCTATTTTCTCGGTAGAAGGTTGCGAGGTCCAGTAGACCTGCCAGGAGAAAAGGGGGGGGGGCAGGGGATATACGTGGCCACACAGGTTAGAAGGAAAGGAAACATTGAGGAGTTCATATTTTCAGTGGCACACAAACACCCAAACATTTAGGGATGTTTTGCACATACAACATGCTTGCTATTTGCATTCCACAATTTTAACTCATCCCTATTTTTCTGAGGTTTCTCCGAAACAGAAACTCTGGATCTTAATATTTAACTGCCCAGAAGGGGAATAAGGAGGGGAAAATGCATTTGCTATAGTCCTGTATTTCTTGGATCAAAATGGGTAGACCACAGCTTTATAGCTTAACAAGCTTCCCGGTTGCTTCTTGGGGGCACTATTTAACATGCTTCCAGTTTCCCACTGGATCGGGAATCCTGGTTGTCCAGGCATTCAGCTGAATGTGCAACAGTTGCCCCCTTCAGACCTTCCTACTCAGTGGGTGAAGACCTGAGGTTGCAGCCAGGAGAAGCTTGGCTTGGTCTGCCTGGGATCAGTCAGGACTGAGCAACCCCCATCCTGATTCCTGAGGCCTCAGAGCCTCTAGCAGAAAAAGTAAGGCGGACTATATGTGTTATGAAAGCAACCATTTCCTCATTCCCTTTTCTTCACACTGACTTGCGTGACAATGGCCTGCACTTCCCACCCCAAACAGAGTCTGGCAACTGCTATGAATTCCATGTTCCCGTTATATAAATTCTTTGTTGTGGGGAGTTATGTGACGTAATGCTTATGCAGTGTTCCTTTTTGAAAATGAAAAGGGAAATAATTGAGATTTCACTTCTTCTTTTACGGAAGATGTGAAATACTATTGGGTCTTCAATGACAAAGGTCATATTATCAATTGAGCAATTATGCTGAACGCCAGCATAACTGTGATAATGTTTTATCAAAACTGCAGCCTGGGGAGAAGCAGTGATTTAATTTTGCTCAAGTATGCAAATGGTACATTAGGAAAATTAGGGGGGCTGAAAATAATCAAATAGGGGCAAAGCCTCTTAGATTACCTGCAGGTTAGTTGAGCTGTGCACCTGGGGCTCCTCCTGCCACCACCTGGGGCAGGTGGCCCTCTGGCTCCCTCATCTGGAGGGCAGGAATTCTGTACTGCTAAAGCTAATAAAAGATAAGGCTACTTAAGGTCTACTGCTCAGCTCCTTCCAATAAGCCAGGATCACTTGCTTAGAGAACTTTAAAACAAGACTGGACATTTGTTAAAAGCAAAACCAGAATTCACACCCTGTTTTATTGGGGAAAAATACCACGGATGACCAGATTATCATCAGGCAATTGCTCTTTCTGCCATGTCCCGCTTACATCACATAAAATCCAATCAGATATATCTTGAAAGGCTGTATGAGTGCTGAACTAAGGGGGCCTCCAAAGGAATCCAACAAAGGTTTTGCTTATTTTATCATTTATTCAAAATGTCCTGTGACACCTACAGGTCTATCCAACTACATGCACACAAAATTATAATTTACCCACTTTACCGCTAATTAAGGCCTTTCTCAAAGGCTACAAGTTGGACAAATACATGCTGATTGCTCCAGTGCATTGACTCATAAATGCATCCAATGTACTGACCCATGAATTCTCAAATACACAGTAAGGATGCTGCATGCTGGAAGTGGAAAGTTAGTGCAGCAGATTCCATTCTGAAATTCAATGTACAGGCATCCTACCACTTGCGTGGGGGCCCCATGTGCATAACTGAAATCATGTGAAGAAATCATGTAAAAAGCTTCCAACCCCCCTTTTTTCCTGCTCGCTAGCTCTCTCCCACTCTCTCCCCAATCCAGACTACAATATCCGGAGTTGAAGGTCTGGGGCTGGCAGCTGCTGCGCTACCCCATGCATCAGCTGTTAGGTGGGGAAGTTAAGCAGCTGTAAAAAGCCCTGCTGTGCCTCAGGTCTCTTCAGGGCTTCCTCTGTCTTCACTGATGCCCTCTTCCAGCTCCAGCTACAAGGACTCTCTAGCTCTCTCACACCATTTCCAAGTTTAAATTAAATTATTTCCCAATGCCACGTGTATACATGATGGTGCACAAATTGATCGCACATAAATGGGGGGACACCTATATAAACAAATGAATAATCAGAATAAAAAAGGGCTGTTCTCAAAATATATGAAGTATTAAAGAGTATCACATGCTTTTCAATACATTCAACTACTCCCTAAGAAACCAGAGGCCTTTCTCCTGGGCATAGTCGGCCAAATGGTGTTAAAAAAGGATAGAACTTTCTTTATGTATGCAACAACAGCAGCAAGAATACTCATCGCAAAGTATTGGAAGACACAAGAACTTCCCACGCTGGAGGAATGGCAGATGAAACTGATGGACTATATGGAACTGGCGGAAATGACTGGTAGAATCCGTGACCAGGGAGAACAGTTGGTGGAGGAAGATTGGAAGAAATTCAAAGATTATCTTCAGAAACATTGCAAAATTAAAGAATGTTAGAGTGATGTTGGATTGAAAATAAGTGGTTTCCAGCTGTACAGGTTAAAGTTAACGATAGACTAAGATTAAAGATTAGGATTAAAGATGTTTAAGGAAATGGAAATTTGGTACTTAAGAGGTAAAATTTCAATGTTATATTACATTAAGATTAAAGATTAGGATTAAAGAAGTTTAAGTTATATATTAAATTAAAATTAAAGATTGGGATTAAAAAAGTGGAAAAGAAATTGCTGGACAAACAATTTGGATTGGAATACAAAAGAGGGAGGTATGAGGAAGTCCAGAAAATAAGTAAATTTAAAAACGGAAATGGAAAAGAGATATTGTTTTTAATTGTTATGTTTCTTTTTTTATTGTTGATTCTTGCTTTTCGTGTTTTTTTTATTTTTTCTGGGATTTGCATTGTGTAATTGTGTATTTTTTCTTATGTTTTTTCTGTTCAATTTTTGATTGAAACCTTAATAAAAATTATTTAAAAAAAAAATCAATACATTCAACTACTTTACATTTTAAGCCTGCTGAAATGAACTTCGGCTCTTCTAAATGAACCCATTTCTTCCAATTACCTACTGCATCTTCAGGAGGAAGACTGATGCTGTCCGTGTACAGGTATTCCAGAAAGGCTCGGTAAACGGGATAGGAGAATTCACTTATTTCTATAATTTCATCGTTATTGTTGTTTAGTACTGAACGGAAGTGCTCACACCTGAAGAATTACATACAAAAGGAAAATAAGTTACGTCACTGACAAGCAGCTTGATTCTGGTTGTAAAACAGAACAACAAAAAGGGAGAAAAAAGGGTGGGAATATTAGTTCCATACCTAATTTTGAGAAGGACTTTATGAACATGAATGTATTTTCCATCCACTTGAAATCTCACATCTGCATTATCTGGACTGTCAAATTCCTTCTTTATTGACTGAGCTACTGTTAAGTGGTCATCAGGCTCTAAACAAGACACCAATGAATACATTTAAAACACACTGCCTCTCCCTTCGGCCCTCTGTTCACATGAACCAATGCAAAAGAAGCAGGCAACCAAGGGGACAGCCTTTCAGCCATTCTTCTCTTCAGAACATGACCCCTGGCCTGGCCACATCGGGAGTTCTTTGCGTAACAGGAATTGTCTATCTTGGCTTGTGACCGAGTGGTAACCACATCCTCATTTGTCACATAAGCTGCTGAAGTTCCCACAGTTTACACCCAGGCCCCAACCTAAAAAGCTGAAGAGCAGAATGGAGCAGACTCCAGCGCAACCAGGGGTCTAAGGCCCCCACCCCCGGCCAGGGGCAGGCAGTCAAGGGACCAAGGACCTGCAGGGCAGTTCCTCCAGCTCTGCTGCCAGTTCTGAGCCCTGGCTGAGCTGAATACCAGCTTATGATGGATCTGATTATAAATACAAAGCCAAAGTGCTAACACAGAACAGCATTGAGCAAAGAAGGAAAGCGACTCCATCCCTTGTGGGGGTTATGGCCCTAATCTGTTGCCTTGGATTTAAACTGCAAGCCCACATTGCTCTGAGCTCCGCCCCCCCCCCCATTTTTCAATTTGATGTCGCTCACAAACTGCCATTATGGTTTTTCCCCCTATCCCTTGGGCTCTGGGTAGTTAGCAGAAGACAGTGCAAGAATTTCAAGGGTGGAGTTTCAGGTTTGGAGCTTGCCTGATATAAGCTAGAAGAAAAAGCATAGTGGCAGTTTAAATCAAAGGCGACAGCCATGGGAGAAAAATAACCGTGTATTGCTGTGAGCCCCTCCATCATAGGCTCAAGTTGTGTGTGTGTGTGTGTGTGTGTGTGTGTAGGCAAATAGACTATATATGCTAAAGACACCACAGTCTCTTCTGTGCCTCATTTCCACAAACGCAGGCCAAGTGGCGGGACTCTTGCAATGCCGCCGTGCTGTGGAGTCTGGGGTGGATGTGACACTCGTTCTCTGGATGGTGTTGGAGGCTTCCAGCACAACCCCAAAGGTCCATCACAATGGGGGGGGAGCAGTTCAGAAACCGGGAAGAACCTTTTGAAGCACCCCTTGCCCCAATGCTGCCTTGGCCAAGTGCCTGCTCTAAGTAGAAGGAGCAGCACCAGTATCTGCCCCACACAGTTTTAGCATTCAAGGAAAATGTGCTTGAGGTACCTGCAGCCACTGAGGGGCAAAGGGAGCTGCTTAGTCTCAAATGACATAGCCATGAAGCCTCCAAACCACCTAGAAAACATAGAATGGGACACCCTTCCCCACAAAGCTATGGGGTAAAACAATATCAACAGTTTTAACAAAAAAAATGGCCCATAGCTATGGGGGCAAGGAAAGGTTTCCCCCATCTCTTTATCTAGGTGGCTCAGAGCCTGCAAAGCCCCCACTCCTGGTACTCTTTATGCCAGTGTTATGGGTGAAAGAAAAAGGAAATCAAACAGCATGAAATGTCAGCAAATGGATTTTTTTTTTCTTCTGAAAACAGTCTAATTTTAAACAGAAAGCTGGAACTTAAGAAACAGGAGGGATGTGCCCGGGGGGAGGGGGGTGTCTACCTGCTCAGGAGATTTGCTGTGCTGACATTGTCTCAGCTTGTTAAAGGTAAGGTAAAGGACCCCTGGACAGTTAAGCCCAGTCAAAGCCGACGATGGGGTTGCAGCGCTCATCTCGCTTTCAGGCCAAGGAAGCCGGCGTTTGTCCACAGACAGCTTTCCGGGTCATGTGGCCAGCAGGACTAAACTGCTTCTGGTGCAACAGAACACCGTGAAGGAAACCAGAGTGCACGGAAACACTGTTTAACTTCCTGCTACAGCATTACCTATTTATCTACTTGCACGGGTATGCTTTTGAACTGCTAGGTTGGCAGAAGCTGGGACACAGCAATGGGAGCTCACCCCATCATGCGGATTTGAACCGCCAACCTTCTGATTGGCAATTGGTGGAACCTCCAATAAGGGACATGGGTGGCTCTGTGGTCTAAACCTCGGCCTGTACAGAGGCTTCCCCAAGAGAGTCAGAGGCATTCTGCCTGAGGCAGGTTCCAGGCACCATCTGATGGCCTGTGTTCATAACTGTTTTACTCAAGATGGTGCCTGCTTTGTTGCATACCCAGAGATTGGTGGGTCATTGAGGGAGCAGTTTCACTTTGGGCAGCAAGGCCAAGACACTGTGATGTGGAGGGCAATCGAGTGGGACTGGCAATGAATTCCTCCTTGCAGCTACAGCAACTTGACTGTCCCAAATGTTAGCTCACCAGTCTAGGAAGATGAAGCAAAGAGGCATTTGCCAACTGCTACCACGGAATATGCCCATTTTCTTAAGGACCTGGCAGTGTTTGCTGCTGCCACAAGTCTTACGGGTTGATCCTTTCCAAGATGGAGTTATTGGGACAGGGAGAAAAGGAGGCAAAGTAAAAAGGGAAAGCTGCACCAGGGAGCTGGGCAAATAAACATGTGCTTTTTTTTAAACAAAGGAAAAGCAAAGAGGAGAGCAGTAAAAGACAGAAGGCTAAACTAGGCTAAAGAGAAGAGGAGACAGAAATAGGAGGCAGAATGAGCTGAGCTTGTAGGAGAATCGGTGAAGAATCAGCAGACCCTGAGCGAAGGCAGGAAACAAACAGAGACCGACAGGAATTTTAGGATTGCGTTTCCTGCCTTCTGAGCAGTAGGAGGCATTCGTGTATTGTTTTTCAAGCTGACCTCAATCAGTTCACAAAATATTTTTACAATGATAAGGATTACTTTTAAAAATTACAACAAAATGGGAAAAGCAAAAGCGCTTGTGACTGCTTCTCTTGGGGCAAGATGGTTCTGCAGAAGCGCTGTGGGAGCTGGCTGGTGACAGTTCACCAGGCTGCTTCTCTTTCTTTTCTACTTCCGGTTGGAAGTTTGGTTAAAACGTAGTGGGAAGCTAAACATATCCCAGGATATTCTGTTTCTCACTCTGACTGATGAGGTCACTGCAGACATACGGTGCCATATGAAGGGAGCAGCAGATCTGACGGAAGAGGCAACCTGCCAGAGCTGACATACTGGGGGTGGGCAGGGCTACCAGCAAAAGGGGGCAGGCCAACTAATGTAAATTTTACTGATGCACAGGAGGCTAATTTCTACACACACTGACACCCCACCTCTGTCCTCCAGCCAGGCACACAAGAGTGCAGGGACATATTCCGGCCAGGCAGGAAAACTCCAGGACAGCCTTTCTCACCTCAGGCCCCAAGATGTTCTTGAATGGCATAATCCCTGACTGGCCATGCTGCTAGGAATGATGGGGGTTGTAGTCCAACAACACACAGGGACCCAGGGTTGAGGAAGGCTGCTCTAGGACGATGTGCAGAGAGCGGGGTGGCCTGGGGGGAATCCCAGGAGTCTGGGATTGTGCATTTTGGCCCCAGGCTCCCTCCTCCTGGCCTACGGCTGAGCTTCTTGCAAATTCTCCTTTGTGGTTCTGCAGTTGCTCAGACCTGCAACACAGATAGGGAAGGGCTTTCCACAGCTCTCAGAATGGTCAGGCCTGTGCCATTCAGATGCTTTCCAACTGCTATCACAGCAGCGGTGTTTGGAGCTTTCCTCTCCTCCTGGGAAGATTTAAGAGCACATTCAGCAGAACACCAGACGGAAAGGAGCCTTCAGCAGTCCAGGTTAAGGGGGCAGGTGTCCCTTAGGACCAATATGGCAGAAGGCCTGCCTTTCACCTAAAGAGAAGCCATGTCAGAGGAGATAGAGCCAACCCTGACAAGGACGTGGGGCTTATTTCTTCCACCAAGCTGTGATCCAAACTATACCACTGAAAAGAATGCTATTTACATATCTTCAAGAACTAAGTAAGATACAGCAATGCAAACAGAAAAAAATTTGTCTGAAGCTCACCCACTGAGAGGAGACGCCAAGTCACTGCAGGAGTAGCAAAACAAGCAAACACATCATCCGTGCAGACAAAGTGGGTGAGATGCGGCAGAGTGAGAGACTGTCCCCGGCACTGACCCCACATGTACACTTGGCCACCCTGGGTTTTAGCAGCAGAAGTGTGAGCAGAGTGACATGCAGCAATCTCTACGACTCTATATTTAAAAGCAAACATAAAAAAACAGTGGCATAAGGACAACATGCAGTGACAAAGCTCAGAAGTCCTAGCTGCAGGTGGCCATTGTTCCAGCACCACTTCGGTGGATAAAATGCATATTTGTAACCTAATGGCCTTTCCTATCCCTTGCCTCGACTGTAATTCTGATGGCTAGACTTGCCTTTCTAGGCACATTTATCAGTTATAAAAAAACTCTCTTTAGACTCTGCCCCCTTGTCCTCAAAATCTTTGGTCAGGCTGCATAAACACTGCACATTGTTTTTAGCAATTCTTGTTTTTATCTGTAAGCAACCTTTAGCCCTGTCAGGGGAAAAAGTGGGGTATAAATAAATATACAGTAAGAATAGTAAGAATCCTAGGAACAGTAGTTTGTTAAGGGTGCTGGGAAGTATAATAATAATAATAGTAATTTATTATTTCTACCCCACCCATCTGGCTGGGTTTCCCCAGCCACTCTGGGTGGCTCCCAACCAAATATCAGAAAAATGATACAGCATTAAACACTAAAAACTTCCCTGAACAGGGCTGCCTTCAGGTGTCTTCTAGAAGTCGGGATAGTTGTTTATTCTCTTGACATTTGATGGGAGGGTGCTCCACAGGGTGGGCGCCACTACCGAGAAGGCCCTCTGCCTGGTTCCCTGTAACCTCACTTCTCACAGTGAGGGAACCACCAGAAGGCCCTCGGTGTCCAGGCTGAATGATGGGGTGGAGACACTCCTTCAGGTATACAGGACCGAGGCCGTTTAGCTTTGTGAGGGGTAAACTACAGTTCCCAGAATCTTTTTTTTTTGCGGGGGGGGGGGGGTCATGTGCTATAAATTTATGATGTGTTCTTCTATGCCCAACTCGTATGTTTTCTAGGACCTATAAAGCATTTCAGTAGTCCTGGCTTCCACTGTTCCTGGGTCCTCAAAGTCCACAGCTATTATGGTGTTTGCTCCTCCCTCTCCCTGGCAGTGGGATACCACACCCTGTTGCTTGCAGGAATTGCCTTAAGGAATCAGGTACTCTGTAATCTGCCATTCTCAAGAAAGCACGACACACCTCTGCCTCTCAAATAAAAAGGTCTAGTCTCCATTCAAACATAACATGACACCAGATTGTGTTAGGCCAAATTAACACTTTAGTTGTTTGAGCTTCCAAATATACAATACTCAAACCATGTTTTCAATATTTTTATATGCTTTTATTTCACAACTGAGGACTGTATTTCATAATTTCATGAAGTCATTCATCTCCATGGTGCAGGAACCTCTTTATGCAAAACAATTGCCCTGTTTTTTTTAATGGACTTTGAACTCAGACACAGCAAACCAGCCAGTACTACAACTTCAAGCTATGATTTCAGATTCTAGTTTGTCAGCTTCATACAAACCACAGTTTGTGGGCAAACATGAATTCAGGCAATGAGAAACCATGGTCTATCCTGATGGCAACAAGTTCAGGCACTGCCAACTACAGTTAGGGCACAGCAACAAGTTTGGAAAATTTCCCTTCTGTTTTTAATGAATTGCAGCTTGTTGTTTTCTCTAAACCTGACATATGACACACACACACAGCCTTTCTGCCAAATCATGCTTTGTTTTAAAGAAGCCAACTTTAAATCATGGGTTATGAAGACAGCAGAAGTAGACAGCCTGGAGGAGCTGTGGTGCTCACCTGACCTCACTCTGGCTGAATTGCTGCTGCATACCAGGACAGGGACAGGTGAAGCAGCGGCAAGGAGTGCTGGACTGATACTGACAGTGTGCTTGTACCACACTGACCTCACCCCCCATGGGCCTCCTCCATCCCATGATGCAGCAGTGTCTTAGCCCCAGGGAGGTCAGGCGAGTGATGCAACCCACCCAGTGATGCCATCTGAGACTGTAAGAGAGCTTATTTCAATACCATAAACCACTTGGAGATTTTTTACAATCAAGCATTGCATAAATTTTATGAAATAAATACCGTATTGGTACTTATTTTTTCAAATTCCGACTGTGAAAAGTTAAAGTGCGACTTAAATTCACGACCTTACAAAAATTGGCTGAAACAGACATGCCGTGAACACCCACCCCCTTAACTCTAACTCCGGCTGGAGCCCTGGCAAGCAGGGGTGGCGGGTGGCTGGCTGGTGGCTGCCGTTTCCCGCCTCCCGCCTCCGCTGACTTGGGGGGGGGGGTGCCCAGGAGTGGCAGGCAGCGGGATGGCAAGTGCCGACAGGGGCTGCCGCAGCAGTGCCCACCCCTCTGCCTGCCCCGCCACTGTTAATGGAGCAGGGGGGTGCCTGCCTGGTGCCAGGAGCGGTGGGATTATCAGCAGCGGGGCAGGCAAGGGGGGAATGCATGGTGGCGGCACAGCAGCTCCCGCCGTCCCACCCCACCTGGCGTGGTTTGAGGTGAGCTGAGCGCCCCCAGCAGAATGTCTCTCCTTGTCCAGCCGGCCCCCGCTGCTGTTTCTTTTTCTTTCCAATTGTCCATCAATATGCAGATGATACCCAGCTCTATCTCTCTTTCAAATCAGAACCAGTGAAGGCGGTGAAGGTCCTGTATGAGTGTCTGAATTTTAAAGGTGCGGCTTATTTGCAGGTGCGGCTTATATTATATTTGTCTACACAAACCACAACACACCTGCCTGGAGGCAGAACATCTCTCTCCTGGATGTGATTATAAAAGCATACAGGAAGTGCCCAAAGGCATCTGATAACTGTGATCCTTATCCAAGTACAAATTGATATCTCATTTGTTAAGTACGGTATTAGAAGCAAATTATGGAAAAAGGAAAGTCTCCAGCCAACACCTCTTGTCTGGGTTTACCAAGCACCTCACATTTCCAATAGGCAAACTGCTTCTTCTCTACTGCAGCACAGAACTGGGAAGGGGGATTGGCAGGCAACCGGGAAGCATATCTTGGCAGAAAAGGGAATTGTTGGGGATTCCCCTGCCCACTGCTTCTCTTCTGCAGGTGTCTCCACCTCATTCTGGCAGGGAAGCAGAGAAGGAGCAGCCAGTGTTTGGAAATGGGAAGTGGACTAGTAATGCGTAGTCCTAGCTTGATAAGCTGTAAGTGAGGCTCTATTATTCACACTCTTAAAGCCTCGCACTTCTCATACTGGGAGACAAACGCTTAAAAGCACACACAAAAATAAGCTACTGTTTCCAAGAAAGACTGAGGAAAAGATACTGCCATTTCCAGCTACTGAGTTGCTCTTGCCCAATTATTTTATTGCCAAAGCACCTTTGTATAGATCTATAGGCTTTATATTCAAAAATGTGAACAGTCTAATAATTTTACTATCTTCCTTACTTATGGATAATGTCTAAGGGAAAAAAATCCCAGAGTTGCTGCAGTACAGGCCAGAAATTCTGCTTATTGCGTGATTATTAGCAGGATCCTACCTGTCTTTATCCACAGGAACAGGTGAAGGGTAGGACTGGTTCCCTCTATTCCCAGTGCCTAACTGGCCATAGGAATTTGCTCCCCAGGCATACAGCTGACCTTCATCCGTTAGCACTAAGGTATGTGCATAGCCACAGGCAACCTAGAAAAGAAAAGCACCTAAAATAATTTGTATTCTTACATTTTTGCATTTTGCATCCAAGAAGATTTATTAAAGCTTTTAAAAACATTTCTGGAGAAGTATTTATTTAAAAGACAGTTGAATCATTTATCACATTCAAGATTCACAAACAGAACTTGAGAAGCTGATCTCTCTCGGAGTTTGTGAGAAATACCAGCTTTCAACATATCAGAGAGTCTTCTGTCTGCATGTGGCAGGACACAGAGTGAATACAGATTGACACTTAGGCAATGTGTAAATTCAAAACTGACAGAAGATGACCTTATGCAGGATTAGGAACAGCCAAGGAAACAGGAAAAGGCAGAAGGTGGGCTATCTCAAACCAGTTGACCCTGCAATCACAACACATCTACAAATACTCAGTTAAGTGTCTTGGGTCAGCATTGCTCAGATTAACTTACATTATGGAACAGGTAAAAAAACAAAACTGAAATAAGGCTAATTCATCCCAAGTTATTGGGAAATAAGTCTTTTCTCATTGAAATTTAGGTTTCTTTTTTATTACACTAATGAATGGGACATTTGCAGCTTGCAAAAGTCTCCCGAGCTTCCCCCCCACAAAACCCTTCACTCAAGGAAGTGTGTGTCTGGACACACCCACACCCCTTTGAGTCTTTTTATTTCTGCAGGAGAGCAGGGAAGGCTGAGAGGAGATATGCTAGCCACCTTCCAATATTTGAAGGGCTGTCACAAGGAAGATGGAACAAGCTCGTTCTCTGCTGCTCTGGAGAGTAGGACCCAAACCAATGGCTTCAAGTTACATGAAAGGAGATTCTGACTAAAGATCAGGAAGAATTTTCTGACACTAAGAGCTGTTCGGCTGTGGAACAATCTTCATCTGGAGGTTTTGAAGCACATGTTGGATGACCCTCGGGTTCCCTTCCAACTCTGCAATTCTGATTCTTTCAAGGCGGCTGGTTTTTCTTCCTATATCCTACCTGTGCAACTGCAAATCATCTTTTCAGAATATGCCAAGCATTCAGCAAATCTCATTTAACTTCCCTGTTTGAGAGTGAGAACCCCCTATGTTCTGCCTTCTTTCTACACTACCTAATTGAACCTTGTTCCTCCACATATCCACTTCCCCATACATGCCCACTTGACAACTTCTGCCTGCAGAACTGACCCTGTACCAGGTGCCACACACTATTCATTCAGCACTTGTAAGAAATGAGTCTTTTAGCATGGCAGCACCCACCCTTTGGAACTCTCTGTCTATTGACACCCGTCAGGTATCTGCATTGTACTCTACCCAGACATGTAGACTTGTGTTTTAATCTGTTTTGAGCTTGACCGTTGATTCTGGGGATGCTCCCATTTTCAGCTGTCTCATGTTGAATACTTGCCCAGTCCCTAATATTTACCCATCTAGAAAATCCATTTCAGGATAATGGCACTGTACTGATAACTCAAGTCACTTTCGACAGTATCTCTGATAAAAAATTAATTTCTTTGACGATATAAGATAGTGCAGAGTGCTCGTTTTCGAAGCTCCAGTTAAGCAGACCCTCTTCCAAATACTTTGCTCGTTCTCTGTCTCCCACACACCAGTTCAGCCCAACAAAAGCCAATCAGCACTAAATGCCAACTGAGCATGGCTCACAGAGCTGTTTTTGGGGTCCTTCCCCCTTTGAATGTTTTTCCTAAATATATTTTGGGCTTCTGTAAACTTGCAGCTTCCCCCAGGCATGTTGCCACCTTTCCTCCTGTATGGGGATAGCGCTGTTTTGGCTGCATCAGTATCCACACTTGGGAGGACAGGCTTGCTATCAGTATATAAGATGAAATACATAGCCCAGTAGGGTAATCTTTTAACGAAGGCCTGGCAACAAATGAAACCTACCCGCTGCACACGGATGCCTTGCAGAGCTGCTATTCTGCAAGGTGTTGGTTGATTGCCGCTATTGCCCAATCCAAGCTGACCATTGCCATTGTATCCCCAGACGTAAACCTTAGAAAGGAAGATAATTCCAGTTAGTTTGCAGGAATAAGAGTAAAGAAGAGGGAAACAGGATTACAGAATCCCCTATAATCTTGGTGTAATTCACTATGACACTTTTTTGAGAGAGAAAAACCTTTCATTTCCTTAAGTGTTAGAACCAGTTCTGTACTCCATGGGACCTTAGCATTCACCTGAGATGCATCTAACAAGAAAAGATCCTGCCCAGTCCAATATATCTATGTGTACAGGGGTGATGAAATGACCCGCTTGATCAGAGAAATATCTGAATGCCCCAATTTGCTTGGGTAGCTGCTGCCTTCTAACCTTAGTATTAGGTTAGAGCACACACTAGCTAGACTTCTCAGGTTGCAGAGGCAGCGCTGTCCAATGGTTTCCTGCATTTGCCCCTAAACTGATCCCATGAGCAGCTGAAGCCCCTGGCTTTTCTTTTCATCTCACTTCTAATTTGTATGCCGCCTTTCTATAAGGCAGGTTATAAGCTGTAGAGACAACAACAAAATATACATCAAAGATCACACATCATATAACAACCCAATCCAATGCAAATGAGCCATGATAAAGAATATGACCTTAAAATAAACATGTAAAATAAAGCAATATGCAATGATCCATTTAGGATATATTACACTATTAAATTTACTCCCTATTGTAAATAGTGTAAATTTACACTATTAAATTTAAATAATAATTAAACAGAAATGCACTCTCAAACAATAACAATAAATCATTACTAGACTATAATCAATAAAAATAAAAGCGAAGTCAGAAAACTTAGAATACTACAATACATAAATGACCGCGTAAAAAGATCAAACTAAGCAACAAAGTCACGTAGCTTATAAAAGTAACCGGTCCCTTGGTCCACACCCAGTTCCTGGTTCAGAACGTTTGGTGGGTCTCCCAGGGGGTCTCAAGGAAGGAAAAAGGACACTGCTCCGCTCACAGTTCTTTCTCTAGACTCTGCCCCCTCCCCCTTCAGCAGCTTTCAACTTATCATGCCCTTTAATGCTTATGCGTTGTGGATGGGAAATTACCTGAGGAATTGCCCCTAAATTAGACCTAAACAAAATTTGCAGTTTTACGACTCTCTTTCACCCACAAATTTGATTCTTAGGGCAAAGAGGATGATGGCCAGGGGTGGCATTTCCTCTACTTTACCATGCAAGCAGCAGTGGAGGGGTGGCACTCAACCCTGCGCTGTTACAATTGTTCCATCAGCGCAAGCATTTCTTGCCAGACCGAACAATCTCCGCTCCCTCCCTCCACATGTTGACGTGACACAGGCACCCCAGAGCTGATTTGGAGGAGGGAATGTGTGGTGCTAGGAGGTGGGGAAGCCTCACGCTTTTGGTGGGACTCCTTCTGCTGCCTCCAGCTGCTGCAACTATTTTGTTGGATCTGGCCCACAAAGTAAATGAAGACAAGGGGAGGTGGATTTGCAGTTGTTAAAAGCTCAAGGGAACAAAAAAACCATCACTAACTTGGACTGCTCAGAAAGGACCCAGTCAGAGAGGTTCCTTTGGAAGAACATTTCAAAGTTGTGACAGAAGGTAGACCAAATCTATGCAGCTACCAATCTGGTACTTACAAACATCCTATCCCCCAGTTTAACCATCGAAATCTGTTTTCCGGATTCAGCTTTCAGCCTGTTGACAGTCTCTAGACAGCTGTTAACAGACTTCATGAGGAGCATAAAAAATAGAGCTGCGCTCTGTCCATATACAGACCTAACACTCCAAACTTCCAATACAGAATTGCTCCTTTGATCCATTTTGTCACCTAAGGTGAAATGGTAAAGGTGACAGAAGCAGCTTCCAGTGAGATCTCACCAGAAGCTGTCATTGTGTGACCCCGGGGGCAGGATTCTGCTACCTGAGACGGCTGCTTCAGTTCGCCTCATGGGCAGACTGGCCTGCCATCTGCACTGCCTCTTGGGCACCTCCAATGCAGAGTCTCTAGTAACTGAGACTGGTGCTTCCTTGTGAAGATGGGGGCAGAGCATTCTGACAGCTCTGGCGCACAACCGTACTGCAACATGCTTGCACTACCTAGCATGGGGGAAGGAGAATGGATACCCAATTATCTTCACCAGGGGCCTCTCCTCAGCCCTTCTGAAACACTCTTCCTTGCAGCGCAATAGACTTTCATTCAAATGCTGTGTTAAGAGGAGGCACAGAGGACAAGGAGGACTCATAAGCTTCTATACTCAAAACTGTGCCCAGCTTGGAGGGAGGAGTTACCCTGGTGAAATCAGAAATTGAGCCTTTATGGCAGGAGGAAGCACTATTCTGAATATTAAGAGACAGTTGTTCTCCAGACACCAGGAGAGAATATTCGGTCAGAATCTAACCAGACTTATTATAATTAAAGATCTGCCTTAATTAGCAGCATTGTCTACTGTAGGGAGACACAGTCAACAACTTAAACCACAAGATTACACACCATAAAGAAAAACAGCCCTTTTAATTCTGAAGAATTCTCTTACCTCCCCATTTTCTACCACTGCCATTGAGCACATCTGGCCACAAGCAATGTTAATTGCAATCTTGCTTTGTAAGCAGCTAGTGACTCTCCGTGGAATTGGCTGGTTGGCTGTTGAGCCAGATCCAACTTGCCCTGAATTGTTGTAGCCCCATGTATAAACCTGTAAAGAAACAAACTATATTATATGGTTATAATCCCATATTGAGAGAAATGCCAGGTCCATTTAATTCAATGGCAAAGGTAAAGAGACCCCTGAACGTTAGGTCCAGTCGTGGACGACTCTGGGAATGAGGTGCTCATCTCGCTTTACTGGCCGAGGGAACCGGCGTACAGCTTCCGGGTCATGTGGCCAGCATGACTAAGCTGCTTCTGGTGAACCAGAGCAGCGTACGGAAACATTGTTTACCTTCCAGTCAGAGTGGTACCTATTTATCTACTTGCACTTCATGCTTTCGAACTGCTGGGTTGGCAAGAGCGGGGACCGAGCAACAGCTCATCCCGTCGTGGGGATTCGAACAGCGACCTTCTGATTGGCAAGCCCTAGGCTCTGTGGTTTAACCCACAGTGCCACCCGCGTCCCTTAATTCAATGGTACTCACTTCCAATAAACACATTTAAGATTACACTAATGTCAAAAACAAATGCTAAATTAAATCTCAGTTGATTTAGGCCGATGGAAATTTTTGTGACTCAAAATTTTCTGGAAAATTCATGTCACTGATAGGTCTGTGAAGAAATCATCCCAAAAGCAAATAAATAGAAACAAATATTATTTGGAAGTTACATCTCAAAAAGAGTTCTTTCATTTTTGGTTTCTTGATACTAGATAAGATTGGCTCTCGTTTGTGGAAGCAATTACTAGGACAACAATGTGAGTATTCACGTATCTGAGCTAGTATTCCACTATATCTGGGATTCCCAGAGCAGATATTAACAATAATGTAATATAGTACATTTTAAAACAACACACATCCCCTTGTCTAACCTCAGAAACTAAGGAAAGAGACATTATTTTTGCAGTGGTTATGTAGCCCAAAAGAGCTACCAATGTAGCCCAGTGAACTTTCAGATGGCTATCAGCATACAATTTACACCCGTTATATCCAATCCAGAGTGCTTGCCCCTTTTCGTTTCAGATATAAAATTCCAGTTACTTCAACAAGATTCTGATAGATTTTCTTACCTCTCCATCAGATGTTAAAACCATTGAATGATGTGAGCCACAGGCAACTTCAATCACTTTTTTGTTTAACAAGTTGGTGGAGATTTGGCAAGGAACTAAACTATGGTTGGTTGTTCCATTTCCCAGTTGACTATAAGCATTATGTCCCCACGTATATACTTCTCCTTCTACAATATAAAAAGAAAGTAACTTTGAAAACATTACAAGCTATCTTTTTCCCAACTAAAGAGAAAAAATAAACAATGGCTGAAGCTTTTTGTTCCATATATTGTCCTCTGCTGTGATTTAACCACTATGTACATAGAACACGATTAAGGGCAAATGTCAATTCAAGCATTAGCAAGCATTAATGGAGACAATAATGGTTCAAAAAAGTAAAAGGGATGGGTTGTGCTCTATTAGCATTCCATATATTGTCAAGCCTTCAAATGAAACAATTTAAATCTTGAGGAGAATGTGCGAAGTTATATAACCCCCTCCTCTTTTTGGCAAAGTAAAATCTCCATGCTTACTATGCATCTCAAAGTATAATATTCTCTCCTACTGGAACTTTATCCAGCAATTAGACACCTGAGGCAGATCTTTTAGGTTTAGTGTTGCAATCTCTCATTGCTTAAAAAAAACAAAAAACAAAAAAAGACCCCAATCAGCTATTCCATTTATCTCTACAGTGCATTGATCCAGATTCACATCCTTTCTACGACCCAACCTTGTAGAACTGAATCAACAGGGAAAGGCCTGCTGAAACAAGTTCGGTCTGGGACTGGAGGCAACTACAAAAAGCTTTTCAACTTTGCTTTAGTCGTTTTGTCGTGTCCGACTCTTCGTGACCCCATGGACCAGAGCACGCCAGGCACTCCTGTCTTCCACTGCCTCCCGCAGTTTGGTCAAACTCATGCTGGTAGCTTTGAAAACACTGTCCAACTATCTCGTCCTCTGTTGTCCCCTTCTCCTTGTGCCCTCCATCTTTCCCAACATCAGGGTCTTTTCCAGGGAGTCTTCTCTTCTCATGAGGTGGCCAAAGTATTGGAGCCTCAGCTTCAGGATCTGTCCTTCTAGTGAGTGCTCAGGGCTGATTTCCTTAAGAATGGATAGGTTTGATCTTCTTGCAGTTCATGCGGAATGTGCCCCATAGCCTTTACAGGCTTGAGAGCACTGAATCAAGAGCACAGAAAGTGTAACATGGATATATTCTAAGAGTTAGGAAAGCCTTGCTCTTTCCTTAGTGTTTCTACATGTTGTCCCTTGGTGTTTTTGAATCTGAGCTTGGCTTCACCAGCAAAATGTGACTGTTCCTTCGTTATCTGCTTTTGAATCTCTAAATAGTCAAAACATTATTAACACAGACCATTTTCATTTATTATCATAAGAGTCCCAAGATCTGGACCTTCCAGGTGGTAACACAAGTATGCCCATGAAAAAATAAGGAACTGGACTCAATAATCACCCCAGAATCGAAAACTTAATATGTTCTTCCTTATCAGTGTAAAGAGTAGATACTGCTTTTCTCTTACAGTTAAAAATTAAATATCCCTGTCAAAGTAGACTAACAGAGTAGACTAACCACATTGAAAAGCACACAACATACCAGTGGTAGCAGCAACAACATGGGGGCCACTTCCATAGCTGAGGCAGGCTAGTTTTTTGCCACATAAAGTATCTAACCTTCGAGGTTCAATGCTGCTCTGTGTGTCACCGATTCCCAAACAACCACTGCAGTTAGTGCCAAGCGCAAAAACCTGTCACACAGTGATACTGTTAGTACAGAAAATATTTACTATCATAGCATTTCAGACTGAAAGTTTAATAAAATAGTTACAGTTTTTAAGATTTTGTCAGATATTTTAATCAGAACTATATCATTGTTAAAGAAAATAAGAATTCTGCAGCAAGGATAACTGTTTTGGCACAGTAAAAAATTGTGCAAGGCAAGTTGACATCCACTCCATTTACTGTGCTTGCAATCGCCTTGAAGTCCTGTGCCCTGAAAATCTTAATCCAATGTGTGCTTAGACAAACATGATGTAGAGGCAAACGGTTATTAATTGTTATATCTGCAAGAGTTACCTCATCATTTTCAGTTGCATAAAGTACTTCATTGCCTGCACTGCCAAATACACAGGCCTGGCGAATTAACTTCAACTCCTCTTGAGAGCGGAGAGCAAATATTGGCCATTTCCCAACATCCAACATCTGTTCCAATAAAAACAATATATTGTAGATCAGTCTAAATAGGTTAAATGCTTCTTTTCATATTGGTTTTTTTTTTAATCATCACAAGTATTACATTGTTTTGAAACAGTTGTCCTGTCCATTTCACTAAAGATAAATGTGAATATAAACTAAGTAAGAAAAGGCAACCAAATGACAAATGAAAAACAAATAGGACAGCAAATTATGAACCTAATCCAAACTACACATATCACTTTCAAACTACTTCGTCCCACTTTATATGTTTTTAAATACATGTATCTGCTACAATGTTACCTTGGTTGTTGAACGCTTCGGAAGCCGAACATTTTGGTTTTCGAACACCAAAAACCCGGAAGTGATTGCTTCTGTTTTTGAACGCGCCTCAGAAGTCGAACGGCTTCCGAGGTGCGTTTCTCCATTTTCTCAATGGAATTTGCCAACCGCCCATTGCGTCTTGGTTGCCGAACATTTTGGAAGTTGAACGGTCTTCCGGAACAGATTATGTTCAACAACCTAGGTACCACTGTACTATGATTTGTAGGTTCTCCTTGAGCAATACAGTGGTACCTCGGGTTACGAACTTAATTCGTTCTGGAGGTCTGCTCTTAACCTGAAACCGTTCTTAACCTGAGGTACCACTTTCGCTAACGGGGCCTCCCGCTGCTGCCGCTGCACGATTTTCGTTCTCATCCTGGGGCAAAGTTCTCAACTCGAGGTACTACTTCCGGGTTAGCGGAGTTTGTAACCTGAAGCGTTTGTAACCCGAGGTATCACGGTACATGCTTTGTCCACATAATCGACTCCTTGGGAGCCAGCTCCTGTTTATTGCATGTCGGTCAACACACAGAGAGAAAAGCATTCATTTTCAAGCCTACAAAACATCACGACACTTTATTGCAGGGTAGTCCAACCCACAGCCCATTGAATGAGGTTCTTATAAGCACATTACATATAATTTAGAGTTCCTTTTTGGGCTGAGCAGAAGAAGATTCACAAAACAGAGACTGAAGTCTGGATTTTTTGTTGCCAGAGTTCTGTTGGGACTGCAGCAGCACAAGTATACTCAGAGAGCGTTTCTCTCGTGGACTCACTGTTATGTAGGCATACTAGAGACCGAATTGCTATGGCCTGTGAAGGATGGCATTTCCCCCTTCCCCTTTCTAGCACAGTGTTGTATATGACTCACACCACAGTAGACTTCACTCATGGCTCTGTGGCGGGTGGTTTCTTGGCGATGTTCATCTTTGAATCCAGGGCGGCTCAGCTAAGTGCAGAAAGCGCGGCTGGTGGCTTGAGGTTCGCGGCACGGCATCCATCCTTCACTGAGGCAGCCTTTGGGAGGGGGGAAGGGGGAATGGATGTCCCAAGCTGCCTGTTCTCTTCACGCTTCTGCTGCACAGGCTCCATCCTCTGGCTCCTTCTCATTCCAAGGGTCCTAGTTGCACTGCACACAGCTAAGTATAGCTGTTGCATGTCCTTCGCAGCCACAAGGGGCAGCTGACAGTGCAGCTTAAAAAAAAGGCAGGCAGGCAAGTTGGCAGTTTGGGCTCACACAGACGTTCAGGCTGCTTCTCGAATGCCATGTACCATAGTGTACCATGTATGTTATAGGCACACAGCCTGCAATCCAAGGCACCATTACTCTGGAGTAAGAACCACTGCAATAAATGGGACTTACTCCCAAGGAAATGTACACAAGTTCAATAGGTAACCTTTACAACAGGGACGGGAATCTGTGGCCCTCCAAATGTTGATGCTCTGTCACCCCTACATATGGTCTGTGCTTGTTGTGGAAGTTGGGGGGTTGAGGTCAGATGAGGGAAGGGGTGGGCTGCAGGCCACACTGTTCACAGCGCCCTTGCTGGGGGGCGTGTGTGTGAAGTTAACTGTGGGGCAGCTGCCTCTGCTGCTGGTTCCCCTTCTAGCCTTTCTGTAATGGCCACATGTACTGTGGTGGCACCGGTGGTCCTATGAGGAGGGGAGGACGGGGAGGTGGCTCATAGTCCTCTACAATAATTTCTGCATAATATTTTGTGTAATAAATGAATATAATAAATGTGTTTTAATGATATATTTTCAATTAAATATATTAATAATGTATATTCAATACTATTTATTGCAAACACTTTAATTTACAATATGGAAATTTAATTCAGTTCAGTTTGTGGCTCACAGGTTCTGTGTCACAGAACTCTTGCAGCCCACTTGGTCTGGGGTTGGACCACTCTGCTTTACTGTGAAGAACCAATCTTACCTTTTCAACATCAACAAGTCTTAGTTTAGCTCATTCAGAGATGAAAGTCTATGCCATTTCTGTAGCCTAGAAAAATAAGAGGAAGAGGTGATTAGGGCAATCTGTGAAGCTCTGTCTGACAACATCTCAAGATTAAAGCCACCATCTGGGACATTTTCCCCATTATAGCTTTGAACAATCCCCTGTGCATGTGGTTTTTGAAATGCTGCTTTTAAAGTCCATACAGGACTGTGGCTTTACGCAGCAAACATATTTCCAGTGTTCTCTCAACAAATGCTAATAAATCCACTCTGTGCACCGTCAGATAACTAATAGGCTGTAGTTCTTTAGTGCACAACCAGTGCCTCTCAGCAGATGCATGAACATCTTAAACAGTTCTGCTGTTCATAGACATAATGAGCAGACCCATCAAAATTCCTCTCTATCTTGCCCATCTCCAAGAGCTCAGACTGGCTTACAGTTGACACAAACCAGCAATTCTAAGAACAAACAAAAGCTAAAATATATTCATCTACAAAACCAACTTATAAAACTTGTGCACATATAAAACACACCAATGCCAACATTGCATAAGAATAAAATAGTACAAATAAAATTTTAGATACAGCTTCTTTGTCCTGACTGCTGCGCATAGACAAAACAATCTACAGTTATGCTTTGACTCTGTGCCTTATGGACCCGACGGACAGCCAAGGCAGCTGCTGAAATTCTGTTCTTTTATTTTGCATCCGATCCAGGCCACATGGAAAAGCTGTCTGTGGAACAACGCCGGCTCCCTCGGCCTGGAAGCCAGAGTCGCCTCGGACTGGGCTGAAGCGTCCAGGGGGCCTTTACGTCCGTCCCCCCCCTAACCTCTGGAGAGCTTGTTGCCGGCAGGGGCTCCCTAGGAAGGCGGCGTGGCTCTCCCCAACCGAGGGGCGCTTTTCCTGGCTCCCCCCCCCCCGCCTGAATCCCGGCCGCACGCCGAGCCCGGAGCCGGGGGAGCAGGCCGGTCTGGCGCGGCGCCTCAGGCCGCCTTTCCCCGCGGAGCTGAGCGCCTGGCCGGCTTCCGAGCGCGGCATCCCTCAAGGGCTCTCTGGGGACGGGACACTTCTCGGCCTGCTCCTGCGCTCTCGGGGGCGCCGGAAGGAAGGGACGCGGCCGGGGCACCGCCGCCTGCGCGCCTCCCTCGCCCCGGGCGCAGTTTGCGCCCCGCAGAGGGACCACCCGGGCGCCTCCGCCTCACCGTCCTCCCGCCGCTCCTCCGCCGCCGCCGCCCGGCCCGCCTCGCCCTCGGGCGCCGGCCGCGTCCCTCCGCTCCGCCTCGGCCCCCAAGGCGGGCGCCGGGCTCTTCCGCGGCGGCGCAGCTCTTTCCCCCGCCGGGCTCTGGGCCTCCGCGTCCCCGGGAAACGGGCTCCTCTCTGGCGGCTCCGTCCGCGGCCCCGGAGCCCCGTGTCCTGCCGGGGAGGAGGAGGAGGAGGAGGAGGAAGAGGCGTCTGCCGAGGAAGGCAGGGGTCCAGAGATTCTTCGACCGGGCTTGCAATTCTCTTTCCTCGACAAAGAAATGGCCACACTGGGGAAATTCAGGGTAGAAATAAATGTCTAGAGGATTTCCAACCTCAGGACTCTGAAGCTCATAAATTTATAAAATAAAACCTAACCTTTTATGAACCAATTATAAAATAATTTCACAGTAATCCTTGTAAAGGTAGCCACGAAACATTCCAAAACGCACAGGAACCAAAAATGGGGAAAGTGGTGGCCATCTTCTAGGACAGAGGCCAAGGACTAAGCAAAACAATTGGCAACTTAGATATTTTAATTCAGCACATGTCTGAGGCTGCTTTGCTGTATTACTAAGAATATTAATTTATTGCTGTTGCTTAAAGGAAAATGCATTTTTGAGACCTAGGAAGCTGTAAGTAAAGAATGTTAAACTTACTTTGCACTGTGTGGTCTTTTTTATTTTTTGAAAAAATTGTAAATGGGGTTCAGCTGCTTCACGCAGCTGAACAAAATAAATAAGAATTAATAGCATATTCCTAGGCTTCCTTAATCAGCCTAATGATGGGACCATACCCTGCTATTGGGGCTCTTGGTGTGTTAGTCCCACGTTTTGAAAACAGACACCAGCTGCCCCCACACACACTTTGTTAAACCACACAAGGGTCTCTAGAGGATTAAACATAATTAGTATACCCTCATACCAATTTCCATAATAAAAGTGAATTGATGACTTAAGTTATGGGTGGTTTGGCAGTCCTATACCTAGCATGCCTCTTTGGTTCATTTTCTAAGTAAAATCCGCAAATCACTGTCACTGGATAGTGACTCGGATGTTATTGGCAGGGAAATTCAGCTTCAATGGAAGGTAGAGAATAGGTGAAAATCATTTCTATACATGTGTAGGAGGAAGAAAAGGACAAAAGGTCTGGAATTTTTCATACCCCTGACCTGTTTTTGAATAAATGGCAACTCCCATTAGATGAATGTTGTAGGAAAAGAAAGCAATCAAGACCTGGTAAAGCCACTTTATTGTCCTCCTCCTTGGCACAGTAAACACCGTTACATAAATTACTGTACTTGCATCTGCTGCCGCTGGAAAGATCTCACAAATTCTCTATCCGAAGCTGGTGCAACAGGGTTGGGTAGTTGGATTTAGATAAGGAAAGTAAAAGCTCAAGGGTAGAAATACAAACAAAGTCTCTGAAATTTGATACCAATTTATTGAAGGGATAAAACGGTTCTTGCACCTGCATCTCAACTATCTTAATGATTCCCTGTATGGACATCAAGATGAGATACTTTTGAATTGTGCCCTGAAACTAGTTAATTAGTGGCATTTTGATTCAGATTGTTGTTAAACCAAAAAAGTACAGAACTAGCTTCCTATTGTTATTTATTTGTAATATTCCTCACCCACCCATCACCATCAGGTCCCAAAGCAGGCTACAGAAGTTCAGCATCCAGTCATAAAAACAGAAAAGCCTATTGCGATTAAAAAACACTATTCCAAATGTGAAACTATTCCAAATGTACGAGAGCAGTAAAAATTCAGCCAAAGAGATTTTATTATTATTTATTACATTTATATACCACCTTCATCTTCTAAGGATCTCAAGGTGTTGCACATGGTTCTCCTCCAAGGCTCCTCCCCATTTCACCCTTACAACAACCCTGTGAGGTTGGTTAGGCTAAGAGATGAGGACTGAGTGGTCCAAGGCCCCCCAGTTAGCTTCACGGCTGAGTGGGGATTCGAACCTTGCGCTTCCAGGTCCTAGCCCAACACTTGATGACCGTTACGCCACACTGGATCCCACCAAACAAAATGCCTTAACTGTCAAAGGCTAAGATGAAGAGGTCTGTCTTCAGCATGTGGCAAAAACTCAGGTACGAGGTGCATTTCTGGGGGGATGGAGTCCCATAATTTAGGGGCTGCCACAAAGAAAGGACCCTATTCTCTGCACTTCCAAGGGCAGCAGAACTACAAAGAGATGGTTGATCTGCTGATCTTTAGTATGCAAGAAGGTCAGTAGGGAAGGAGGCTGTTTTTCAGATATTTGGGGCCTAAGTTATTAACGGCATTAAATACTAATGTGCTCACGAATCCCTCGTGCTTGTTCATCTCACAATCCCATCTCATTTCCACTTTAAGCTACAGTGTTTCATTTTAAACTCTATGAAAATTAGTATTCAAATATATAAAAATCAGAACTGCACAACTTTTAAATAAGTATTTAATCTGCGTGTACATATAGTTTCTACTGAAAGAGCCTCAGCACACAAATGGTTCTACTGATCTGTTCCTCAACATGACAAATTTCCCTCATGGAATAGATGACTGCTCAACTGAAAGCACAAAGAGGACAAAAAAAGGTAAGTTTCACAAACAATGGTTCTGCTTTATCGTCTATGCAGATAATCAAGACTCCAGTTTAACTCTGCCAAATATTTGTGGGATAAAATATAGCTAAATTACATGTCCTAAATAAATCTAGGACATTAATAATTGATGGCTCTGGAGGCAACTTAGTCATCATATGATGTTATATTGTGTTGTTACTGTATTGTGGAAAAATATATATAAAAATATTTTTAAAAAAGAATGCACCTGTATTTATCTTAAAATACACATGTTAATGCATTTTGGTAATTTTTAATGCTAAGAAAAATTAAAGGAGGTGTGAAATCTGAATCTGGACTGTATTGCAATCAGGACGTTTGAATTAGGTTCCTTTGCTTAAAAATGCAAATCAAGCAGAATTCTCCTCCATCTGTAACCAAGAGATCATGTAAAATATGCTAGCATCCACGAGAATAACATACGCCAGGCACTGGAATATGAAAAGTCTCTTTAAGGGAAGAGATTTAACACATCTAGTTAAACACGCCTAGTTTCTCTACGCCCACCTTCTGTTACGGAAAGCAGTCCAGAATCATAGAATTGTAGAGATGGAAGGGACCCCGAGGGTCCTTCTTCCAATGGAGGAAGCAGGATGGGACCAAATATCATTAGCACACTTTCATTTTTATATACTGTAGTAACCTGGGATTGCTACAGCAGTTTTGTCTGTTATAGTAGACATTCATAGCTACATACCTACATTTTCTGCTCCTTCTTTTAATGGTGAACTATGCTTTGGAAATAATAATTAAAAACTTCTTGCAAGGAAAGAGATACTGCAAAATCTGAAGGGATTTACTAAATATCATAACTCAAAGTAGATGAAAAGGTTCTCTCAAGATGTGCTGCTTCAGTTATGAGCATCATAGGAGACTTTGCTGTCCTCACTCCAGTGTTTGCCTGTCCTCTTCTTTCTGTTCCTTTCAGCCATGACAATGGCAGCTACCACAGTGACAAAGACTGTGAAAGTTATGACAAGAACCGTCACCGTCTCTGCAATGCACAGCTGGGTGTCCACAGATGACAGAGGGCGGTTTCTCAGGATATGGGGCTCCATGCATGTCACATTGTGATAGTCATCTAGGATCAGCCTTCTGACACTGTGCAGTTTAGCAAAAACCCTCTGAAGGTCACAGTCACAAAACCATGGATTGTCCGAGAGCAAGATGTGAGTTCCAGAGGTCTGGAGAGATAATAATGTCTTGAATCGAATATGTTCAATTTGGTTGTGCACCAGGTTAAGTATTGTGAGGCTGCTTAAAGAAGTAAAGACGCCAGGGCCAATGGTTTTGATTCTGTTGCCCTCCAAGTTCAAAACTTCTAAGTGTTGCAGCATAGAAAAATCTCCATTGTTGAGGTTATGAAGGTGATTATTCTGAAGGCAAAGTTGCCTCAAGCAGGTGAGACTGCGAAACGCACCCGTTTCTATCAATGATATATTATTATTTTGCAAATTGAGCTTCTGAAGATTTTCAAAGTGCTTTAAGTTCTTGTACTGTAGCTCCTGCAGCCTATTGTAGGCCAAAGTGAGTTCGTAGAGAGTAACGAGACCCAATGAAAAACTGTTTCCAAGAAAGGAGATCTCATTTCTACCAATATCAAGCTTATGGAGTCTCTCCAGGGAGATGAATGCTCTCTCTTCAACTCTCCTGATGTAGTTGTCACTCAGAAGGAGAACCCGTAACTTCCACAGGGATCTGAGACCTTTGCTTGGAACAGAATGCAACTGACTGTTTGACAGATCCAAGTGTTCTGTCTCCGGAGGGAAAATGAGATCGGAGCTGACATTGACTCCTGAACAGTTCACAAACATTGCCCCTTCTGTGCAGAAGCAGATTTTATGGCATGGCTTATGGGTTTCAGAGACACTAAAGGAGAGGGGAATCCAGAGGCAGATTAAGTAATGAAAATACATCTTCAGTCTTGTTCTCTATGTTCTTTAGTTCCTGTTGTACAACAGAAATATGTTTTTTTAAAGCACATTTTAGAAAAATACCTAGAATTTTTGGTATATGATAGAAACACAATGAATGATTAACCTTGAAAACTTAATTTCGGAATGACACAAGTGAGAAAAGGTTGGCTTTCTGGTTTGTACACACACTAGAGCTTCAGCCACGACCCTGCCTGACTCTTTAAGTCCAGTTACCAGCTCTCTTCTCGGATTCTCATGTGATGAAATCATTGAGTCTAACACAGAACTTTCTGACTGTGTACTTATTGGAAGATATAAAGCCACTTCATTCCATGCATAATTTTCATGCAGGATAAAAAGAAAGTAAAAACATTTGACTAAATTTGAAACTGGAGGTGGCTAACCTGTGGCCCTTCAGATATTGTTGAAGTACAACTCCTATCATCCCTGACCAGGCTGCGTGGGGCAGAGGACAACTCATCAACATCTGATGGGGCAAAGGCTCAGGTATCTCTGTTTCAAATAACGCCTGGTTTGGAAGCAATGGCAAATGATGATTTAGGCAAAAGAGGAAGTGATGGAGTGTGTGAACCTGATGCTCATGCAGGGAAAGGTAAAAGTAAAGGACCCCTGGATGGCTAAGTCCAGTCAAAGGCGACTATGGGGTTGCAGCACTCATCTCGCTTTCAGGCCAAAGAAGCCGGCGTTTGTCCACAGGCAGCTTTCTGGATCGTGTGGCCAGCATGACTAAACTGCTTCTGTTGCAACAGAACACCATGACAGAAACCAGAGTGCACAGAAACATTGCTTACCTTCCCGCTACAGCGATACCTATTTATCTACATGCACTGGTATGCTTTTTAACTGCTAGGTTGTGGCAGAAGCTGGAACAGAGCAGCAGGAGCTCACCCCATCAAGCAGACTTGAACTGCTGACCTTGCAATCGGGAAGCCTTCCTTGGAGGTTTTTAAGCAGAGGTTGGATGGCGATCTGTTATGGGTGCTTTAGCTGAGATTCCTGCATTGCAGGGGGCTGGACTAGATGACCCTTGGGTCCCTTCCAACTCTAAGGTTCTCTGATTCTAAGCCCAAGAGGCTCAGTGGTTTAGACCACAGTGCCACCCGTGTCCACACATGTAACAGCAAATAACAGTTTAGTGTGATGTCCTAACTCAGCTCAACATTTTCTATGAACGTTCAGAGTGATTTGCATATCCTGTTCTGGCCTTTTAGGCAAGAAAAACAAATAATAAAAATGGCCTTCCTAATCAATAGCACATTTATATTCACAGAAATTTATGAACCCTCACATTTTACTGAATGAGTACATATTTGTTCAACAAATTTCCAAATAAAAAAAATTAAGGCATACCCGCCAACATTTCTCTGATAGGGAAATAGGGAAGTTCTATTCCATAATAATAATTTTACTATTTATAACCCCACACATCTTACTGGGTTACCCCAGCCACTCTGGGCAGCTTCCAACATATATAAAAGCATAATAAAACATTAAACGTTTAAAAAACCTTTCCTATACAACACTGCCTTCAGATGGCTTGGGGGATGGATAATTCCATACCCTCCAAATTTTATCCAATGAAAACAGGGACATCCTAAGGGAAAGTGGGACATTTTGGAATCAAAGAAACTGGGGCGGCTTCTCTAAATCAAGGATGTCCCTGGAAAATAGGGAAACTTGGAGGGTCTGTAAAGAGTGGGACCCAATTATCATTCTGCCAATGCAAGGATTTCTGCTTGCTCAGCGTAACATTCTCCCTCCCTTCCCCCACATGTTCCCTAAACCTGTTCTGGGTGTTTCCCCAGCCCTTGGGAGCAAGAGCACAGACTTCCCCCCACAACTGAGGGGGATGGCGCCTTGCAACATACTGACATCACTCATGCTTGCACACGAGACGTGCACACACCACGTGGCGTGCAAGAGTCACGCAAGCACACCATGTGGTGTGCATGCACAAGGTGCACGTGGTTGCCACAGAATTTTGATGCCCCCCCCGGCTTCCCCTACACGGAGTCCCTGCTCGAGAGTAGATTTGGGGAGGGTGTACAGCACAAAGGAAGCAGAGGGAGAACTCAAGTTCTCTTGCATAAGCAGACATCCTAGCACTCCCCAAACCATTTAAAACAATCAAACTGAAAATGTGCTTTATCCCAAGACCATGGGTCTTATATAAAGCAGATACGTATCTGAGAGCAGCCTGGTTGTGTGATTATTCACTTGTGGCGACACGGAGGCACCCTTTTCTCTGATGGCACCACGGTTGTGCAATGCACCCCTGCGGAAATTCACGAGGCCTCACCTGTTCCTGCATTTTGATAACTTTTGAAGGCACACTCGTTTACGCAAGCATTTCCTTGATTTCGTGACCTGTCTTCTGTTTCAGTTGCTATGTTGTTCTAATGGGATTGTTTTATTGCATATTTTTTATTGTAGACGTTTGTATTTTAAGGTTTGTGTAACTGGTTTTTATACGGCTTAGAAGCTTATTTTGGAATTAAACTGTTGTAATAAACAGTGATGATGAGGATGTAGCTTAAAAGGATGAATGATCCACCGTAAGAGAGAAAGCCAGTGGGGGATAATGTGTAGAGTTTTGGATTTTGAACAGTGAGATCAGGGTTCAAATCCCTGTGTCATGTATGGAGCTCACTGGATGACCTTGGCCCAGCCAACACCACCTCCTTCAAGCCCCATAAAAGATCACTGAAAATTAAACCAAGTTGCAGCATAAATGGAGTTTAATACCATTGTTTAAACATATTTACAATCCCACTCAAGTGGATGGGGTCTTATTTCTAAAACGACAAGTTGTTTAAATCTTGCTGTTCCATGCAATTATGTTTCTTGCTATTGACAGCCATGGTGGGCATTTTCCAGACTTTCTGGAAACATTATTGTTATGCTACTGTGAAACTTATTTGGTTAGAAATGTACTGATTAAATGTAAGTGAATTCTGGAATACTTGAAAGCAAAACTGCAGAGCACATTTCCAAGTTTTCTGATTGTAAAGTAATTTACAAATGCTTCTCACTCTTATTTCTGCTGCCTCACACCATAAAGATCAAGGCTGCAATTCCATGCACACGTATCTGGAAGTCCCATTGACCCTAGTGGGATTTACTTCTGAGTAAACGTCTGAGCTGCATGGCTATTAATCTGATTTCCCAAACTCTCATTGCTTCAGTTCTTTAGAAAAAGTGACATGTATATATTTGTTTTATACATTCTGTGAAAGCAATAGCTCCATGTACCCTTTCAACTGTAGAATACCCTTTAGGTGCACTCTCTTATTTACAACAACAATAAAAGCAACAACCATGCTACTGCAGATTATAATGCCACCCTTTTACATGGCTAGGGTTAGGGTTAGGGTTAGGGAACTTTGGTAGTGACAGCTGCTTCAAAATAAATTTAATATATCTGTGGTCAACTTTAGAAAATGAGGGCTGTCACTGCCAAGACCACAGACCCCACCTGAGAGTGGCAGGAGGGGGAGGAATGTAATAAAACTGCAAGTTCTTTAGGCATGTGTTTCTTACTATATAAAACTCAGTGAGAGTAGACAGTAGTTGCAATAATGTCTGCAAGTGTCCTTAAAAGTCAAAATATTTCCCAGTTGGCCAAAACCATAATATCAATGTTGAACACAAGAAACTCTTCACAAAGCAGAAACAAATATGTATGTTGATTCTTTAAACTGTTTTAGTAACTACTAACTGCACCAGCACAGGTGAAAAGATCTGTTATCTGAAGGAACAATCATGTGTGTGTTTTTATCTAATTGCCTGTATGTGCCTTTCAGCAACATTCGCTCAGATCATCCTTACCTTTGCTGCAGCCCAATGCTCTTGCCAGGGTTCCTCCTTCAAATGTCCTTTGGACATGGATAGTGGCAGATGGAAAAGTACGGAGATGAAAGGGTTGGCTGTCAGTGTGCTGAGAAAGACAGGTTGAAAGCTTCATGCAAGGCAGAAGGATAGGGAGCGAGAAAGCATTAATAATGGAAGCAGTTGCAAAATTATGCTGGCCACCTGCTTATAGCTGCAGTCACTTTGGAAGAGTGTTGAGATCTGTAATGTGTATAAAGAGGCACATTTGGGTCAAACTATAGTGTGACATCTAACTTTTAAGGAACTGGAGTACAGAAAAATCAGAGGTGAACCTGCATACATATATTGGCATATGTACTGGGGATTCTTGGTTGCGACTCTTTGTAGTTACGGTACTCAAATGGGTATATTGATGTAAAAGATTAGCTGTTAAATCTGTATAAGCTACAGTTTCTGAGATAGCAAAGAATTGCACGTGGGCTTAAATTTAGGGTTTTTGTTCTCACAGATGTATCTTTGCTTATACTATTCATGCTTTGCAGGTGGGATTCAGGACTAAAAACATTTAATCTTGGCTACACAGAAGTAATAAGATGCCACGTAAGACAGGATGTTAGCAATACTGCTTGTAAGCATTTCTGACTGTTTGCCCCCCCCAACTCTTTTCAATACAGTATTGCCTTTTAGAAAGTGAACCTATGAACAGGGACTGCCTTGTGTTGTATATGAAGGATGAGGAGGAGTCCTTCTTCATAACTCTGTGAATAGAAATAAGACACAATCCAGTGTTGCCAAGGCCCTAACCCTTTGCAGGGAGCAGGATATAGCAGGAGTCCTTGCTCCTGCTCCTTGATCTCTCACTGGCATTTGATACCATCAACCAGGGCTTCCTCCTGGTCTGCCTCGAGGAAATGGGGATTGGGGCACCATATTAGAGTGGTTCCAAGCATATTAGAGTGGTTCCAAGAGAGCCAGTGTGGTGTAGTGGTTAAGAGTGGTAGACTCGTAATCTGGTGAACTGGGTTCGTGTCTCCGCTCCTCCACAT